AGAAAGAGTGAACCGAGAGCAATTGCATTTAGAAGAAGATGTGCCGAGCAATCCCGATATATAAACGTAGGTCGATGAATGACTGGAAGGATGGGCACAAACTTGGTGAAGAACATGTGTAGACTGCTATCAAGGAAGCGAGGCGTCAAGTCGGAAAGTTCCACATGAGAGGTGACATTAAACAGCTGCAAGATGTCAGTTGGTCATCAGAATATAAGCATGACTCGAAGGATGACGAACAACAGGTGCCTGTTAGTTGGCATACTTACTGTATTGGTCAGAAGTCCGTTAATAGTCTGGAAGGCTCGACGACCATCCTCTACTGTGGCGAGCTCATCTTCCCTATTTTGATTAGCGTCACTGCGTTGCCTAACTGACGCTGGGTCACCTTGCGGAAGTTCGGGACCTAAGATTAGACTAGGTACGGACTGAACCCAATTTATACCATCTCCCGACACTAAACTCTGGAAGAGTTCTTCCGAGTCAGGCCATAACAAAGAGGAAGACGCGTCGTGCTGTAAAATTCGATTTTCAGATTGGCGTGTGGGCCAAAAGTTTTGACCAGGTCTGTGTCCGTTTCCTTCGTTGCCAAAGTCGAAGACGACATTGCTGTTGGCAGCTGGAACTGGACTACCACCGCGAGGTTCAGGGAAGGGGTCAAGAGACGTCTGAATAGATGAACAATCGGATATGACTCTTAAATGAGCGGCTGGCTTATGGCCCTTGGTGTGCCTAGTGAGTACGTCTCCACGCGAGAAGGTCCGATCGCATATTGTGCATTTGAATGGTTTCGCACCGGTATCTTGAATAAGACAGGATCAGACGAGATATTGGATATTGGATATAATCACAAAAAGAAGGCCTTCCACTTGAAAACAGGACATTCTGTCGAACTCACGGGCTCTTTCGTGTCTCTAGAAGGAAGTTTCAGCATGAAGTCCGTCGTCCATAGTGATGTGATGTATACCTTGAGATGCTCTTTCTTCGTGAACCTTCGGCGGCAATAAGCACATACAAAGCTGGTCGCGGTACTTTGCCGAGTTTCGTCGGTCATTGCACCGGGTTCGCATCCCATATCCGTGTTTCCCACATCCATGTCTTGTCTGGATTTCAGACGTGTTGATGGAGAAAAATGGCGTCCCCATCTTCCCCACAAACTCCACGAGACAACTGACAAACGAATGCCCGGGCCGGCGCTAGCACCGAACAGGGATGTCCTCTTTCCCACATTGATCACTTGCCCCTCACGGCCTCAGTGCACCTTCGTCTTTTTGCTTTCCCACCTGGCTCACTTCACTTACTCCAATATAAAGGCTTGTCAATTACGACCATCTGCGCTGCAATGTGACCTATGTTCACCTCGAGTTATTTCGGTAAGGAGACATTAATTTGGGTTTGTTCAAAAATTTCCGTAATGATGTAATTTCATATAAATTCCTGCCTTGGGCATGAATGCCGCCTCATGTGGCGTCATCAGGACGGCTCGCTGATGTTTATTTGTCATTCGTCCTTGGCTAGTCAATTGTTCCTTGCAATTGCACATTTGTGCCTCATGCGAAGACTGCTAGCTTCATGGATTCTTTTTTTTGTTCTCGAGGTATTCATTCCATCAACATGGCTTTGGGTATATGGCCTTCTCTTGCTGGTTAACGTCACCCAACCAGCTTTAATGTGACTTAGAAAGCACTTCCACTATTGCAACACGTATTTAGATAGAAGAATTGGACAGTTTACGGTTATGGTTCTCCTCCATCCTTTAGTTACCTGGATGGAATAATTGAGAACTCACAAAGCTTATCGGCATTGTCTTCAATATTGCAGTTACGGATCATTATACTCACATGCAAGATAACTCGCATAGGCGTTCGAGAAATTATTACTTGTGTCCTGCTCAATGACCAAACCTGACCGGGCAGCTAATAATCCCTATTCTGGCATCCTAGAGAATTCCAAGTCACCATCTGCCTCAAAGTCTGTGGCGCTTCGTAAAATGGTGCGCAGGACAATGTGTAGAGCCCGAGGGGGATTATTGCGAGGCATCCGTGTAAAAGCTGATACTGATTTGCAATCTCGCAAGCGGCATTCCCGCACATCGATGCCTGTCTTTGCCAAAACCCATGCGGACGATGATATTTCCTCTGTAAAGGATGAACTCATCGGGTCTTTCGAACAACTCTGGATCACGGTTGGCGGCTGTGTAGCATAGTATAACTGGTTCGGACGTATAATTTTGCCGTGTAATTGAACGTCTTTTGAAGTGGTCCGCATGAAATCTCGATACGGGCTATATAATCGAAAAGACTCTTCCATTGCTGCGGGTATCAGCGATTGGTCTTCTCTCAGCTTTTTCTGAAGCGCTTTGTCCTTTGAGAGGTGGTCACAAATCGACCCTATGAGAATCGGCGGTGCCACTACGCTGACGACCAGTGATTGTCGAAGGTAACCACTATGGGCTTGTCAGTTGTTACGCCTGGTTTAGAAATTCAAGAGCACCGACATCAAATGCTCTTCGCTAAGAGGTTGTCCTTGCGCACCGTGCTTCAGGAGGAGCGAAGATGCTGGGTCTTCTTCCGGTTCTCTGGGTTAATGCGACGGTCCGCCAAGAAATCCCGTGCGATTTGGTACATCTTCATTGAATTAGCTGTTACGTTAATATCACCGTCTTGCATTCTCATGCGTTCAGCCAACTCGAAGCGGCGACAGCTAATTTCGGCGCCACTTCAGGCTAGAGGTTTAGCCACTCCGACTCCATGCGAGCAACAAAGTTGGCCACGAACTCAGTGACCCCGTGCTAAAAATGGCGCAAATTCGGCTTCCGCATACTTCTGCAGAGGTTCCCTATGAGGAACCAGACGAGCTGACTTCACTGTACGTTCCAGAGCGGTTCGGAAAGGGGTAGGGGCCGGCGCATCAAAGGCCTCTTCCAACATTGCTGGTGTGATTGCTGGATAGATATTTAGGAGCAAATATGCTCCCAGATGTGAGTCTTTCATTAATAAGATATCATGCGTGTTGGGTGTCTTTACTTGTATTGAAATTAGATGAAGTTCCTCTTACCGTCACGATGACCGTTATGGCATGTGGCATTTGCGGTCTTATCTTCCTCAAGTACATGTACAAACTGGACAACAGAAAGAGAGCTCAACAAATTACAACCTGGGACGAAGTACAATTTGCTGCTGAAGTAATATCCCAAGAGAGGAGGGGCGACTAAAAACGCACGCTTATGTACGGCTCGTAAATAATCTCGGAATCGAGCTTAAGGGAGCGATGCGTTTTTGATGTTATTTTGTAACCCTTTCTGTTTTTGTCGTTTTTGATGAAGTGTCCAAGTTAACTAAGTCATAATAATACAAGCATCAGAACAAGCGGCAATATAGGAAATTGGTGTTTGGCTAGGTGTCAGTTTGTCGAAATCTGACTAGATGCATCGAAGCACCAACCTCATCTTACCTTAAACCCAAATATAATTACCCTTTTATAACTTCTTTCGTAATCATTAAAAATCAGGGTGACGGGCATATGCAAAAGGCACGTGCAGCTGTAACCAAGGTTCAACTGAGCAAGATAACAGTATGTATGGTAAGAATAAGTGACAAACCTTTAGCACCCACTTAAGTGACACCAGTTTTTGACTTAACAAATGTGGCTTGAAAGCCCGACTCGTTGATCGTCTCAGTTCGGAACAAACGATTTCCGACAACGATCCGAGCAGTTCGGGGACTGACGCAACTGACTAGCACACCGTTTTGCTTCATTCTTAGCATCCAAGAATCACCATCAATTGTGATTCATGCTGAACTCTCCCACGCCCAAGCCCTTTGAGGCTCCCCTTGGAATTCTTGACTAGTCTACTGCATGGTAGACTGAATTCAGCACCTGGGTTTGAAGCAGGGCCAAGATTCGGCAAGCACAGATTGAAGCTTTAGCTCATTATAATGGAGAAATCGGCCGTGTCCCTGGTAACTTCTATCTATATAACGTCCTTATGCCACTTCAGTGGACCCATCCCAGAGTACATAGCACGATAACAGCAACGACTTCGCATTAATTCGGCTTACTTTATGTGTTATCGAATGAAGTGCCACACGCGTACTTCGCTCCGCAGCTAACTATTGTGTGCAAATATGGCATGACAATATCCTCCTTGACGAGCCATTAAGCTGTGGCCTAAGACGTAGATCTGAATACTTCAAAGAACGCTTGGCCAATTTCTGAACAGATCAGCGGTCAGTCCGGCTAGCCGGAGGCCAACGGTTGTCTTTGACCTGGTTCGTGTGTTCAATTCAGCAAGAAAACAAAACCCCACATTCTGATGCTCTGTTGAAAATTAGCTTTTTCGAAACCATTTTTCCGTTACAGGGGAGAACTTTAAATCACGCTTAAATGGAAGGCCACAACAGGGAAACACCTCCTTAGCACGAGGTGGGACAATGCTCACGAAGCTGATTCCGGATAGATTGGCCCCATCTCAATCTTCCGAAATGGATGTAAGGTGTTCCTTGACGACCTTTCGGGTATTGCAGCCCCCAAGTGATCAACACTTCCTTCCGAATCGTCTGGTCTTTTCTGAATCCCCAAGGCTTGCCACGCTGCTGCCGTATCTAATCTAAGTTTCCTCCTGCATTCTTCATACTTCAGCCGGGTCTGGTAGAGAAACCGGATTGAAGCGTCTGCTCACGATTGCTGTCACACCAAAGAGTCCTTGCGGATATCCAAGGGACCACCCCTTTACCCCTGAGACAATCCACTAATGAACCGAAAAAGCTTACCATAGACAAAGTCTGATGTTTAGCAATCATTGAAACAGTTTAATGATGGGGGCTTGTTCGGTCTCGCATGAGATGGTCATACTGTTCATCAAAACTATTTAGCTCGGTCTTGCTTCTGCCAAAGATCAGATGTTTCTGGCAGCATAAATTTTGTTTCTTCTAACTTCTACTTATTTATCCGCGGTTGTTGCATCTTGTTGGCCAACTCAGCATTTGCAACTTGCCAATATGGCTTTCTTCGTTCTTTCTATTTCTTTCTTCCTCACTCACCTCGTCTCAGGTCAGGCGCCTAGCAATTCGACAGATAACCACCCCAAGCTTGAAACCTTCAGATGCACTGTCAAAGATGGATGTCAAAAGAAGACCAACTATATCGTGGTCGACTCCAGCCAGCATGCTATCGAAACGTCTAGTGGAGTGAGTTGTGATACCGGCAACAGCCCGCCTAACTCCACTGCGTGTACGACTCCGGAAGAGTGCGCAAAGAACTGCCATATTGAAGGGATCTCCGACTACAGCGCCAATGGCGTATTTACCCGTGGTAGCGACCTTCGCTTGACTATGTTCAACGACAATGGTGCAGAGGTTTCGCCACGAGTCTACTTGTTGGAAGAGAACAAGGAGCGATACGAGATGATCCGGTTGACCGGCGCTGAATTTACTTTCGATGTTGACATGGTCAAGCTGCCCTGCGGTATGAACGGCGCACTCTACCTGTCCGAGATGCCAGCCGACGGTGGCAAGAACACTAGCAGTCTCAATAAGCTTGGTCCAAGCTGGGGTACTGGCTACTGTGATGCCCAGTGCTTCAAGACCTCATTCATCAACGGAGTCGTAAGTCCAAGCTGTGCCAATTATTACGTAGCTATTTCACTGACAACGATTCAAGGGTAACTTTGAAGGGAAAGGCTCTTGCTGTAACGAACTTGACATTTGGGAAGCCAACTCCCGTGCGACGCATATCGCGCCTCATCCTTGCAGCTTGTCAGGTCTCTACAAGTGCACCGGCGAGGAGTGCGAAAAGGCAGGCGTGTGCGATAAGTCTGGTTGCTCTTGGAACCCGAACAACGTAAATGCCACCAACTACTACGGTAGAGGCGACGATTTTGAGGTAGATACGACCCGCAAATTCACCGTCGTCACTCAATTCCCCTCGGAGAACGGCAAGCTCAAGGAGCTCCGCCGCATGTACATACAAGACGGCAAGGTCATCCAGAACAACGTCGTGAACATTGAAGGACCTCCAAAGATCAACTTCATGGACGACGAGTATTGCCAAGCTACCGGCGCATCGGAATTCATGCGCCTGGGTGCCATGGAAGGTATGGGAAACGCCATGACCCGTGGCATGGTTTTGGCTCTGAGCTTGTGGTGGGATAAGGCGACGTTCATGGAGTGGCTTGATCAGGGCAGCAGCGGACCTTGCAACGCTACCGAGGGTAACCCGTCGGTGATCACTCAAATTGTGTCTAATCCTGAGGTGACTTTTAGTAACATACGTTATGGAGAGCTCAACTCAACAATGAACATGAAGCTCTAAATCAATAGGTGCATAGAAAGCATTAAATATATTGCTTTCCATCTATAGTCCGAGGCACTTGTGATGGTGGATGCAATACAATACAACGTTTCCAATCTCTCAACAGTCCTTTTGACCGTTAGCTATTGCTGGTTCAACTGCTGTTGTTCATAATGGCATCAACTGTCTGAGCGACATCAGCGGTGCAGGATGACAATCTCAGATACAAAAATCGTGATACTCACCTTTGCTTGATGCCGCTTATCTACATCATTCTTTAAAATTGAAAAAAGAAGAAGAAGAAAGATATTAAGTGTTGTTCAATGATGGATCTAAGTGGGCGGCTTTGGGCCACTATCGTAGACTATCAGAGCTGTGTGGCGAGTTGCGTAAAACTTGATGAAATATGCTCCACCAGATCAGGAACCAATGATTTCACCACAGATGCGCCGCACACGCTTCTTCGACATATTTCAGGGCATTCTACGCTCATAGTCTGTGGATGTCAAGATATTCTCAAGACTGTACAGCGATTGAAAAGCAAAAGCAAGCAGTGAGTAGTAGCAGCTAGATTCCACTATGTATGTTTTCTTAGACGAGACGAGCTATTTTAAATGTCAATTTCACGAAACCACGGATCGAGCAAAAGCTCCGCTGGTGAAGGTCTCTTCGTGGGATCATACTGCAAAAATCCGTCTAATAAGCCTTTTGACGTTGCAGGCATCCTCTTCGGTCAAGTCCAGCCCGGCTTGGTCAAAAAGCTCCTCTATGGTAGTCTGTTCCACCACACAAGAGGCTCTTCCCCATCCCCGACACTCCCAAGTTGGCAATTGAAACGCTTTCGATCCGCGGTGAAGTATAGTGAAGACGACTTCCAATGCAGAAAAAGCTCTTCGGGAAGAGCTCCGATCCTAGCCGTAAGTAAGAGAAGATGGTCATCATCCTCAAAGTTAGACCCTGGAACGCAAAAGAGAGGCTGTCCAGTGATGAGCTCAAAGACCAGGCAGCCAAAATTCGAAACATCAAGAGTTCGGTCGACGCCTCCTGTTAGAATCAACTCAGGAGCTCGAAGGCCGACTGGAATGACAGGGTTTGATGGCGGGTCTGTAAAAAAGAAAGCTAATCAATACAGGTAGCGATTAGTATAGGTTTTTATCACAAAATACAGTTCAATGTAAGGCTTATGTAATCGTAGAGTGGGTATTCACCGCCGCCCATGTCGGAGAGTTTGATGTTGAAGCCTTCAGTATAGTGTGTGAACTGCTCTAGCGGCTGTGCGATGCAAAGGTATCGAGGAGCCCATTTATCTTGTTTACCATCTAGCCTTTCCACCGGTGGCGAAATTGACCTGGCTTGCACATCTTCAGCCTGGCGGAGCACGTCCTTAGGTTTGGATTCAATATCGTCAAGAGTGAACAGCAGGTTTCCTGGTTGAAAATCTCCATGCGAAACGCCGTTGTCGTGTAGGAATTCCAGGGCTTGCAAGGACTGCTTGTGGATACTCTTTGCCATATGAGGCGGATAGCGACTATCATTTCTTGTCTGCGAGGCTTGAACTGAGGCAGCTCTTCGACCATGTTATTGACACTCGCGCCCATAGGTTCAAGTACTAGGACCTTGTGAATGCCGTTAGGGCCTAGGTGCTCGAAATCGCCCAGTAGCCGGGTGACGTGTTGAGAGGCCTCCCTTAGTGCAACTTCTGCGATATGGCGTAAAATCCTCAAATCAGCTGTAAATCTTGAAATCTCCGAGACAAGAATCTTCAGGGCAATGTATTGATTGTACCTTGAAGCAAATTAGCAATTGCACTTGGCGTGGCTAGATGCAGACAACGCAGGAGACAAACTCACCGCAAGTCACTTGCCAGCCAGACCGTAGAGTAGGAGCCCTCGCCCAGCTTCCGGATCACCTTATACTGGCCATTTTTGAAAACATCACCAATATGGACGGGGTGATAGCCACCAGGGTGATAGTCCTCCACCCACTCGCAAGGTGAGGTGATGGTTTTGAATCTTTGCTCATCGTATGTTGGGGCCCTTGAGGGCGGTGTGGGAGGGGAGAAGGTGCTCATGACTGTAATAGCGAGATATCGTTAGTAGTTTGAGGGTGGCACGACGGGCGTACATTGATTGTTCTTAGTGGAGATGAGCATTCTTCGTTAGCGTCGTGTCGTCAAGTGGATTTGACAGACTGAGCTGGTCATCATGCAAAGATGCCTAACATCAGGTCTTTGTTATTGCCCTGGCTAACCGCGCGGCTGCACCTCAACAACTCTGGGTCCAGATCCAACAACATAAATACGGATGTTATCACAGTACCTGCGCTGCCTGCAGATTTCATTTGGATCCATGGTAAATTTCCTCTCAGCGAGGAATAGTAACGGACGCTGAATTCCAGGAAAAATTGATCTACCAGCCTGAATAACTAACGGTACCACTGTACGAATGACCATTTTGGCACTGCCCATCGGAGGAATAGCCAGTAGCACCTTGTTTGATCGCGCATTCTGACAGTTCAAGATCAGTCATCGATTCCATACATTCTCAGAATTATACGCACACCAGTGACTTAGGACAAGCATTATTGGGTTGATAAGACATACGTTGGAAGGACGAGGGCAAAACAAAAATGAAATAGGAAAAACAACAAAAAGGACAATGGAGAGCACATTTTTAAGGACGAATCACACCTTCGATAACTTAACTTGAGTTCCAGTCTCCAGGAAGGTAATCTTAAGATGATTCTCCTGGGCAATTTCTGTATAGCTGATTGGACCATCCATTTGGGAAGAAGTGACATTTGTCATATTGATACTAGAGCGCAGGTTGTCTCCAGGCTAGTTGTACATGCAACTTCTGGGGCGCTCGGCATATCCTCCAAAGACAACTTTCACCAAATATACAATGGGAACTAGCACATGGTTGTGCAGTTTCTGGCCGACTGGTGGTTGGACTAAAACAATATAAATGTCGAACATCTGTAGAGTCTCGGCAGGGCCGCCCCCGAAGACCGTCAATATCTGGGCTGAACCGCCTGCTGAAACGTCACGATTCGGCTCTTGAAGAAATTGCATATACTCACACGATCACTGTCAAACCTTATTTAGTCGTCATATCATTAATGATCAGTCTGATTTCTATCTCTTTGGCCCCCTAAGCAACTTGGTTGGGCTATGGCAGATTATGTAGTAAGGTCAATTCAGCAGTTCTTTAACTTTTTCTTTGTTGCCTTTGACAAAAGAACGCTTGAAATTACTGCCGAGCGTGGAAAACCAGGCTCATGAAATCAGTCATTCACGCGTCGCGGTGGAGAGGCTCGAGCCGCTTGCAGGCGGTGATCAATGCTAGTGTTCTTGACACCAGTTGATGTCACCTTCTAAGAGTATGAGTTGACTGGGTGAAAGTATTGCACAGCTGCAGACAAATAGCCTCTAGATGATAGCTAGTTTTGATTTAGGGCTCATACAGAATGAAGGTCTGAGAGCGCGCGAAATGTCTTGAATAAGGTACCGGAAAAGTGAAAACTGGCCATCTCTTGTGTCCGTGTGAACTATCTGGGAACTAGTTGATGGCCATTTCAGTGGAAAAGCCATCCACCTTGGCTTTTACTTCAGGCAGAGTGACAAAAACATGCGCATCAAACGGCTTACGTCGCTGTCAACTTGATTTCACTCGCTAGTAATGATATGATTCTCTGAATGTTTTAGAGTTAGATCTGGTGTGAATTCCAATCTTTCTTAACTACATAAAACAACGCTTGCTGTTGAAGAACTGAGACTATTAATATGTATGTGTTTTCCTCATGAATGTATCCTTTTATCTGTGTTCAGCCTATTGGGCCCCTGTACCTTTTCCCTTCGAATCCTTCTTAGTCTTCTTCGATGCGCCAGTATTCCACTTCTTGACACGGACGAGGTAGTAAGAAATAACAGCGATGAAAATGTTGAAGAAGATGAAAGCCCAGACAATACCAAAGTTACGCCATCGCTCATCGTAGAAAATGTTGCTGCCAGCCAGATACTGATCAGCGTTGCTGAGAGAGCAGTATCTGCACTGCTCAGTTGCGTCAGGGTTCTGCAGCTGACCAGGGGCCGTCTGGAGGTAGTCTGAGAGGTACTCGCCACATGTTTGATTGGCAGGTGGGTTGAAAATGGCGGTTTCGCTAGCGGAGCAAGTAACAGCCCGGCCGTGTAGTTGAGTGCCGACAATGCCGGCGACCCAGTAGGTAAAGGGAGAGACGCGGTACATGAAGATCCAGAAGCCGGGAAGTGCGGATGGAGCTTGCAGGACACCGCAGAAGGTCAAGCTCATAAGCACCAAGAGCGTAACCATGCCCGAAGCGGTCTGGGCATCGGGGAAGGCAGCAATGGTCATGTGTGCGAATGAGCTGGCGTAGATGAAGAGTTGAATGGCGTACAGGAGAACCAATACCTGTCTGACAGAGGATTGGACGCCGATGATGGGATAGTAGAAGCAGGCCCAAATGAGGATACCGGTGATGATCTGGTAGGGGATCTCAACAATGATACTAGCGAACATGAAAGCCTTCCAGGAGTAAGCCTTGCTGGGACGCTCGCGGACTTCGTACAGGGCTCTCTGGGTGACAAAGTGTGGCTGGATCTGTTGGACGATGGTGGAGAAGATAGTGATGACCATGAAGACACCGAAGACAACGTTCTGCATACCAGCCTGGCTTCCATCGGCATTCCAGAAAGAGAATCCAATGAAGAGACCAGCGGCGATACCAAGGAAGAACTTCGCAAAAACGTAGTTGGGCATACGCCAGTATTGCTGGAAGACTCGAGTGGTGACCTCCATGAGTTGTGTGGTGAAAGGCATGGCGAACTCAGAGTGAGCACCGGCGTCCTCGCTGCCGGCAACCTCCTCATGCTCTTTCTCAAGGTGAATCCTCTCGATCTCGGCCTCAACACCGTGCCGTTCATTGCTTGACTTCCAGACACTGTGCCAGTCCTCGCCTTTAGAATTGTTACCGTTATTGACAATCTCGAGCATGTACTCTGCTGGGTTCTCCTCGTCGCCACACTGACGAGCACCGTGGGACTCGAAGTAGTTCAGGAGAGTGCGAGAGTTATCACCGATATCGCCAAAGTAAACGGTCTTGCCACCACGAGCGAGGAAGAGAAGGCGGTCGAACTGCTGGAACAAAATAGCGCTGGGCTGATGGACGGTGCAAAGGACAGCTTGACCCGAATCAGCAAGTTTGCGGAGGAAGGCGCAAATAGCCCAAGAGCTCTGGGAGTCGAGACCACTGGTGGGCTCATCGAGGAACAAAAGAAGCTTGGGCTTGGCGGCCAATTCGACACCGATAGTGAGCAGCTTGCGCTGCTCAACGTTCAGACCCTCGCCGGGAATACCGACGACGGCGTCGGCAAAGTCGCGCATGTTGAGCATGTCAATGACCTCCTCGACGAAGGCATACTTTTCCTCTCTGCTGACGGTTTTGGGCTGGCGGAGCATGGCGCTGAAGCGCAAGCTCTCGCGAACAGTCGACGTAGACAAGTGGAGATCTAGATACTGTTAATAAACTACTCGATTGTTAATGGATGAGAATGCTTACCTTGCTGCTGTACATAGCCAGTCTTACGCTGGAAGCTGGCATCCAATGGCTTGCCGTTGACAAACATGTCTCCGGTAATAACACCCATGGTGGTTCTCTGGGCAAGAACATCGAGCAGAGTCGTCTTTCCAGCACCAGAGACACCCATGAGGGCAGTGAGCGTACCAGGCTTGACCCAGCCAGAAACGTTGTCCAACAACCGGCGGGGCTCGCCCTTGATCTCAATGTCGTATACAACATCTCTCCAGGTGAAGATATCCTTCTGAGGGGGGATTGACTTGACGTTGCCATCGGACTCTTGCTCCTTGGAGGGCACCGCCATATCCTCATTGGTAACGCTGCGGCTAACACCGTCCTGGAGGTGGGCAGGAACGTGGCCACGACGGAAAACGAGAACCTCAGCGGTACTGGTGGTGGAAGAGTTGAGTTCAGTCGCGACGAAGTAGATTATCATGAAGAAGAACAGGAACGCAAGAAGGATGCCGAAGTTTCGCCAGACGTGAGAGTAGTAGTACTGGTAGTTGGTCTCGATAAAGGCATCGCCACTGACAGTGCGCTGGCCGGCGATAGCACCGACAGCCGAGCAGATCCAAGAGTCCCCATTCAAGGGGGTGTAAGAAGGAATGATCGCTGAGCAGGTGAACTCCCGGCCGTGGAACTCGTTGGCGATGAGGATCTCGAAAGCGTAGAAGATGGGGTTGATCCAGCGAATCCAACCAAACCAGTCAACCATCTGAGGTACTCTGATGACGAAACCGGTATAGATGACAAGCGCCAAGACCATGACACCAGCCAACATCATTGCCTGGGAAATGGTCTTTGTGATGGCGGCCATGGTTCTGAAGACGGCGCTCATGACAAAAGTCGAGATGTAGGTAATCATGAAGTAGAGGAAGAACTGGCCAGGCTCACGACGAAGTCCTGAGAGGAAGTAAAGCGTAAGGTTAAAGCAGGTTGCCGTGACGAACTTGATTGGAATGTCTGCCACAACACCAGCAATGGCTTCCGACGATGGGTGATAGAAGGCATACGAGGCGTGCTTTTCAACAATTGGCCGCTGGTCGTACAGGCTGTTGATTTCGGAAATGGCAGTCAGAGCATTCATAAGAATAGCCTGAAATAGAACAGACCCCTTGGAGTAGAAGCCGGCGGTTGCATCGGGAGTGCCATAGAAGACCGAACCGATCACAAGAGCCAAAATGATGTTGAGGGCGGCCGCTGTAGCAGTGGCTGAGATGTCGTTCCATATGCGCTGATAGGCGCGTTTTGTGGTGAGCCGGACCTGCATTGCCATGCTGATAATATAGGGAGACTTGGGGCGGACGTGCTTGGCCTGTCTGTCGTTCTTAACCTGGCGGAGCTCGGTGAGAGCCTGGCCATGGGGATCAATAGGGTAATCTTCAGTGTGCTGATCGATCTCTTGGCGAAGAGCCTGGAACTCTGGAGACTGGCGCCAGTAGGCCTCAAAATCCTCCGGCGTGCGAGGGACCTGGTTCTCCATGCCAGGGCGAGCCCTGCGCTCGGAAGGATTTGTAACCGAGGTCAAAAAGTCACCAGTTGTCTGACGCTGAGGACATTCCCAGCCCATACGCTCAAAGTATGACTTGGCGGCACCAGCAGGGCCGAAGTAGATCTGGCGACCTTCGTACAGAACAACAGCTTTGTCGAAGAGGTCGTAGATGGCTTGACTGGCTTGGTAGATGGCGACGGCATTGGCGCTACCGGTGAAGTCAGAAGCGAGGCGCAGAGATTGCACAAACTTGAGAGCTGTCGCTGAATCCAAACCGCGGGTGCTGTTGTCCCACGCGCACATCGGTGAACCAGCGAGCATCATCTCTGCGATACTGACACGCTTTCTCTCACCACCAGAGACGCCGCGAACGAAATCGTTGCCGACCTTGGTGTTGAAAGTATGGCTGAGACCGCAGACGGCCATAACAACCTGTGCAGCCTTCCTGTGGTGTTCCTCCCGTGTCATACCCTGTAGTCTGTGCGAAGGTGTGCGGACCGCGGCTGCGAATTCGAGGGTTTGACCGACAGTCAGGTGAGGGAAGTGCTTGTCAACCTGGGCAACACAAAGTCAATCGAAGTCAATACGATAAATTATCTGTGTGATTTTAACTCACCTCCTGGTTATAGACAGTCTCTCCTTTGAACTCCTTCATCATCTTCTTTTGAGGGATACCGTTGTAGTGGATGACGGACTCCCCTCCCAATGTGAGACCCTGGAGTTCTCCGGTCATGGTCTTCAAGAGAGTGCTGCATCCAGAGCCAGGGCGACCGAGAACGATCAAAAGTTCGCCGCTTTTCAGAATACCGTCAAAGCTGTTGAGGATCCTCTTGGGCTCTTTCTTCCCGAAGCTGAAGTGCTCGCCGATTCTCAACGGCGCCTTTAGGAAGTCGCCGACGGTCTGCTGAAGCTGCAGGGCGGCGCCGGAGCCCGAAACGCTAAGATCCCTGTAGGCAACACCAGCGTTCTTAAGGACGATACCTTCGTTCTGCATTTCCCTCATGAAACCCTGAAGCCATTTGGAAAGGTCGAAAGACTTGCTTGAAGGGTCCAATGCGGGATCGTTCGTTGTTGCGAACGCCTCGCCATAAGAGACGTTGGTCGAAAGGGGGCGGCCGTTGCTGGCTACGCTTTGATGCCGGGACAGCGATGTTGCAATTCTCTGCAGTTCTCTTCTATCCTCCTCATCGATCATCATCGTATCGCGGTGGGTATCCCTGGCTGGGCTGGCCATCGCTTCGGCCTCGAGTTCCTCGTCGGATGAGTCCCCATTCTTTCCCGTATTGATTGGCGCGAAGCCACCAGTATATGCGCCCATGTCTTGTTCTGATGAAAACGTATGCTCTCCGTTCATGGTGACAGAGGATGCTGTTGTTGTTCTTGTATCTGTGGTGCCATAGCTGCCTCTTGTTGCTGTTCTGTCCTCCATGGTTGGGAAATGATTATCCATGGGCTTGGCTCCGGGGAGCTAGGGACTAAGTAAAGTGATAAGATCCCACGATGCGTTTGTTGATGAAAGTATATGTATCGTGTGGTTGTAACGGCAAGTGTATGTGGACTCTATTGTTCGATGAAGACCAAAAATACAATAGAGATACCAAGGGGTGTCGGATGAAGATATTATATGGAATATCAACATTAGGAACGGATCTGGGGGGCACGTTTGCGGACATTGCCAACCCCCCGGGACCACTGAATTGGAGCCGTAATACCACCAACACATTGGGCGTGGAGTTTGGTGTGTGCGGGTGTTAAGGCGGCCGAAACAAGACTGGCGGAGTTGGCGCGCTCCCGCCTACCGGCCGGCCGGTGGCTATGAGGTCACTCCCTGTAGCCATTGTCCCGGTCGAGACCTCTAATTCCGAACTAACGAGGATGCGAATATGTCAGCTTGCAAATGAACGTGCTTTCTCCATGCACGGCGTGCATGCAGGCCAGCAGCCCGAATTTCCACTACTATGGGGGGACATGGATGACGGACCGGGCGGGCTTTGGTGGCCACCACAGTCCGACCCCGAGTCGGGGACTTAGAGCCCCCCGAGAGCTTTCGAGAACGCGGCGCAAGGGCCATGCTGCGGCCCCTAAAGAGTTGCCTATCTAAGCTGTTTACGGCTAGGATCCACTAGCAGCGGCCGGGAGGCGTCTACTTATTTTCCCATTGCATCATGGTCGCTCCCAGATTGGGCGGCTTTGTCCACAAAGTCCCACCCGTATAACCTCTGCACCATCCGTAAATCTGGCGTCACATCGCTTGCATCGCTGCCGGGACTCTCCACGGGAGATTTACGTTGCTGGGCAGAGCTACGGCTGTCAGCAGCATGCCGAGATCAATGTTATGCGATGACACGTCCGTCACCAACATGCCGAGCCCGTCCGGAGTCATTGCCTTCTCGGACTTTGTGGATCGCTGGTTGATAAAGGACAGACATGGCCCCAATGTCCACCACCCTTATTCTCGTGCACTTGTCCGCGCTGCGGACTTTACACTAACCATCCAAATCCTGCAGCGACAGTGAAGCCAGGACGAGTCCGTCTTGCGATGACGACACTCCGCAGGTGTAGCGAAATGCATAATCTTTCAATGTCAGATCCATAATTGTAAGCTTCATGTAGGAAGGGACTAAGGGTTGGCAGAAACTAGAATTTAGTATCATCCGGTGTTTCCACCTGTGGTGGGCGAGACGCTCATAAACAGTAGACCCGTGTGCATACCCCTTTTTCGACTTTCGCCCATGACTTCGGACGCCGGAGTCCTCGAGTCGGCTAAACAGCAAGCCGCTGAGTCATGCCTGGGTGGCTTGTCGACGCGCAAAACATTCCCTCCCGAGCGACCGAGACATGCTGGGAAGCTCCCCGCCAGATAAGCTTCAGCTAGCTTGCGGTGAAAATCCAAAACCGCCCCTTTTCGCCGCTGTTCACTCTGGCTGATGTATTTCTCTCCTGAAGCTTTGGCAAGATATGAGATGGCGTGGGTGGCATCTTGGCATCCTCCCTCAGTTTGAACGGGTAGGGTTCCCGCTGCGTGACTGAATCCGTGCTTTCCTAGTTGTCAAGTCATGGAAGGTGCAATGCCAGAATTTCCTCTGCAGTTGCTTACCGAGCAGTCCTCCGGGCTCACCGAGATCTCTTTTACTCTTTCTTGACGCCCACTTTGCCGATCATTCTGAGACCCCAGACAGTCACAATTAGAGTTGCGCCATACAGAGCAAAGCAATACCAGAACGATGCCCGATAACCCTCCAGCAACGCTGTCGGGCTCTCCTTGTCTGCCACTGTGGAATGTGCTGTCACCGCACTCGCTATGGCACCCGAGGATGCCAAGCCAACGCTCTTGCCGATTTGGGCGATAGTGTTAAATACGCTTCCGGCCACACCTTGCTGTCGAGCTGGGAACAGCGAAGTGATCAGTAAGTTGGAAATGGTGAATAGCGTGTCCGCACCAATTGCATTCATGAACATTGCCCAGAAAATGCATGTCCAGTAAGACCATGCGGGGTCGACAATTGCCATCAGCAGCGGTGACAGGCTTGAGAGGACGACAGCGAGGAGGATGGCTAGGTCCGCGCGAACACGGTGCACGACGAGCCCTGCAACAATGCTAGCCAACACTCCACCAAAGGGAGCTGGCAAAAAGCGTACCGAGGTGTCAATCGCAGAGAGCTTTTGGAGGTATTGGAGGTAAAAGGAGCTGAGCTGCTCTGTCGCATTGAAGGCACCCCATACCATGAAGACGCTAACACAGATGCCGGTAAATGTATGATTCTTCCACAGCGAGTTAGGGATAACCGCGGGCCGTCCCAGGCGTTCTTGTCGCTCAACCCAAGCGATGTATCCGCCAGCGAGGACAGCAGAGGTGGCCAGAAGGGCGATGTTCTCGGCTTTCTTCATCTCGTGTATACTGTCTGTGATGACGCTATCGAACGTCAGTTCCATATGACACTGTTCTCATGGGTACTGGACCAGACTTACGCAAGCACATAAGAGATCATTGATAGAAAGCCGCTAGCAAGAAAGGCCCCGGCCCAGTCAACTTCAGTTCTGAAGCGATGCCACGTTACTGGCTCTTTCTTTTCTTTACTAGGCAACCACTTCAACGCGATGAGGAACACGACTGTATTGATAATCGCCGCGATATAGAATCCCCATCTCCAGCCGATCGTGTCAGTGAAGACGCCGCCTACACTAAGACCAATGGAGAACCCGATTGGTTGACCCCCGCCCATGGACGCGAAAGCAGTGTTTCTCCGCTTGCCTGCTGGGAAGGCGTGTGTGATAACACTCACGGCAGAGGGCAGGCACATTGAGATGGCAACTCCTGCAAAGGCTCGGAAAATGATCAGCTGGATTCCCGTCCTTGCCATGCCACAGGCAAGTGTGAAACCCGACTGAAAGAAGCAACCCAGGAGGTAGAGTTGTCGGGCGCCGTAGAGGTCGGTCATAGCTCCAGCAAGTAGGAGGGTGCATCCGCAGGTCAAGGCGTATGCAGAAGCAGGCCTTTTTAGAAACTGTAAGAAGACATTCCAAACACTACCGGTAAATTTTCAAGCATTGCTTCATACCATAGTAGTAGACTCTTTTCCAGATTAACGTCTTTAGCCATAGCAGGAATGCAGACAGTTACGATGCCGGCCAGAAGAGAGCTAACGCCGGTGATACAGGTCACAGATGAGATGACGACCATCGTTTTGCCTTGAGAAAGGTGCCCATGTTGTGCGGAATCGGACGGAAGATCTGCGTGGTTTGGCTCCCGTGAACATGTTGATGAGGTTGAGAACTGCGGCAGTGGTGTCACTGCTGTGGTGACGAGTTCAACCGTTGTCATTGTTGTGGACATCGTAAGCATGGACTTGCTGCACAACTCAAATTGTAATCATTGTGTTATTACATCCACGCGATGCAAGACCTGTCTTCAGGCCGCCTAGTCAATTAATAAAGTTTTCGAATCGATTGTCTAACAAACCATCCAAAAAAAAATTTCAAAAGGGCGTACAGGGCGCGGAACACGCATTCTGACTGCAAACTCTCGACATCATTTCCGATCTCGGCCGAGCATACTTAGGTCCCCGAGTAGTCCAATCAACCCACAGAATAGCCCCTTTAACTCAACAGTCACTACAATCATTCGATTTTCCCCAAGTTCGCCCAATCAAAATATCTTGTCGGCAATTTGGTAACGCCACCGTCCAATTTCACGACAGGTGAACTTTCCAAGCATTACATGCCTAAACCCTGAAAAGTACGTCGCCGTGGCGAAGCGAACGCCAGTAGGGTTGCGCCCACTAGCGACACGATGAGACACACTTATAGATAGGTGTACTTAATACGAAGGCAGTGTACGTGTTATCTTGGATCGATCTGAATGTCTAGTGTCGGTCTTGCGTTCTTTTTCTCTCATCAGTTAGAAGGGTATACCTCCAACTATTTTTATGCATAACTAGTATGCCAGCAAGCTTGGTGATTAGGCTCTGAAGTCGAAATCGGGAACATTCACTCAATACCAAGTAGTGCTGAGCCCAAGGCTGCTGGCCTATCAGTGGAAATCATCTGCCATTCTATATTTTTGCCCATACAAGCTTCTTCAACCCAATACAGAGTCTGGGTTGGCTACAGGCCAGCATTTGCCTCTCAGCTATCCTTGGCTCCGACTTTATGTGTGTTCTTGCAACCTATCGACTTTTGCGCACTATGAGGTAGAGCAAGGTGAAGTCAGTTACTTAACCTCTGCACACCCAACCTTTGGGATCGCTCTAAGAAAGTGTTACTTCTATGGTTGAACAACAGGTGCAAAGACAACTCAAAGTTACTGCAACGCTAGCTCAAATCAGTGCTCGAATCAGCGCACCAGAACAGTCAAGCTCTTTGAAATATTACACCAGTAAATGTCTATGAAAAGACGCCTATATAAGATGCGTTGACTTGAATGGGTTTGGTACTGTTCTGGAGTTTTTGAATGTTGTGGTTTGACTATTTTTACGTCCCTCTGTACTAACTTGTAGCGTTAACAGACTTCAGACTACGTAGTGGTCTAGAGTCCGGGCCAATAATGTCTCGGCTTACTAATGCTTTCTCGAATATTCCCCCGAATTTAACTGGATACCTAGCGTGCGTTGCTACGACCCCGCTCACCGCATTAATTTCAATCTCGCCTTCCACGGCAAGGAACCACAATCGTTGCTGGCATTACTAAGTCACATAACCAGCCTGTACAAAACAAGTACACCATCTCTTATCGACCACCATGAGCGGGACAAGCCTGACATCCGCTACGGCGTTTTCGCCGTCGCTAGAGGCCATTAAATTAGCCGCTAGCATGTACAATGCTGCCCGCGAAGGCAATAAGAGTGTCCTTGAGGAGGCTATTCTGGACGGGCTACCGCCCAACCTGACGAACGAGAAAGGAGACACCTTGGTGAGTGGTGATGCTCATCACTGAGGCTTTCCAGGGCCGGTTCCAGCGTGCTGTTTCAAACCATCAGTCCAAAGTCGCGTTGTGGCTAACCTTCAGAGCAGCTGATGCTGGCGGCGTACTACGGCCACGCTGACCTAGTCAAGCTCCTGATACAACATGGAGCCGATCCTAACAGATTGAATGACAAGCGCCAGAGTCCTCTTGCAGGCGCTGTCTTCAAGCGTTTAGATTCTGTTGTTGAGGCAAGTCAGCAAGATGCAACTACTAGCCTTGGGCCAGCCCGTTACAGGCATGGATGCTACTTGGCTGTGGTACCTGCACAGAATTCCAGACGTCATTGCTAACGGGGCTCGCACAGGTCCTTCTAGAAGGCGGTGCTGATCCAGAGTATGGCACGCCCTCGGCGATTCAGTGTCTTTCCATGTTCAAGCAGGAGGGTAAGTGGGCTGACAAGTTTGAGGCGGCGCCCGGAAGGGGAAAGGCGAAGGCTGCGCCTCAGGATACGAGCGAGGAGAGGGCCCCTGAGAAGTTCAGAGCATGAGCGATGATCAGTGAAATGCCGGTGTATAACAACGTTCCTCGGCGACGCATTGGATCATTATAAGGAACACAGCTTATTGAAGACATTGCGCGCTCATCAAGTCAGTTGAAGTTGGTCAGAAGACCTTGACGGGTACACCCCGAGAATCCCGTAATCTTTACGTTGTTTTTAAACATAGAAGCTTCCAAAAAGATTAGTAAGAATCAGGGTATTCGTTGCCTGTAGCAGATGTTATTCCTACATGACCTTAATTTCGCCTTAGCAATGCCCTTATGTGCCACAGTCAAGTAGGCCACCACACTTGCCTCGACGCTCTACAATACCAAGACTTGTTCGCTGTTTATATCACCGCTCCATCATGGAAGGCATCTGGTCTGCGGTGAAAAAGGGTGACAGGACCGGGTCGTAACATACCTGACCGTTGCCTATGTTGTGGTCGGTGCTGCCGCGGTTGCCGGATTTTATGAGGGGCATACTGTCATACTGGGACCATATCTGATCGATCAACTTGTCTGAAATTAGGCAGCAGATGCTGGAGCAACCATCATAATACCGAACTTTGGAACAGACGTGTGAGCCGCTTTCTTTGCGAAATGGAGTGTTGGGCTACATGGCCGCAGTATGGAGTCCTGCAACTCTGGGTAGCTGGTGTCCCTGCTTGAACCAATCTTGAGAAAGACTGAAATACACAACTGAGAATATGATTTCCGCATGGCTGGCGCTCCTTTCCCTTATTTGTACTCGTGGACTAGGTGTCTGCTAGCGCCTTAATGCGTCATGTACGGAGGAAGATATCAGGCAAGCGCAATCACTATGCGAACAATACCACGGGCCTTAAGCCAAGAAAAAGGAAGTCTACTTAGCTATGAGTTTCAACAGTCCTATATGATCGGTGATCGGGTAAGCATGGTTTTCTCGTACCGTGGTTTGGAGGACCCTGTCTCGTGTAAATGCTTCATGATCCAGCTCGCTCCCAGTTCCAAATCCTTTTTACGTAACTGTCCCCCTAGCTGTAAGTCGACTGAAATAGTTTGAGATCACTTCTGGCAAAACGCAATAGCTTTTTACAAGCCGGGTCAAGATAACTCTAACCTCATCACACGCAAAGATTCTCCCGCCTCCTCAGGCTCACTCTTTCAAATCCGACGACACCAGAGACTCGTACACCATTCCGCGCGGGATTTCCTCCCATTGTTTGTCCTCATCGAGAAGCTCTTGACTCGCCTCCCACTCCTTGCGAATAATCTGTGCATGAGCCTCGCTTCTTGGCGTGATCTTTGCAGGAAACGGTCTCGGCTGCACCAAGACTCCCTCAATGAGATCGTCCGCGTCCGGCACCAGTTCACGCCCCTGACCATCGACGGCCCTGTCAAAGTTGAAAGCCCACAGTAGCCTCGAGATACTCAAGAACAGTGATCTGTCAGCAATATGCATCCCTTGACATAGACGCCGGCCCGCGCCGAATACGTAGTGGTCACGCTTTGCAGGGTTGCCATTCATCGCCGACTCAAAGGAGTTCTGGTCGTCGCCTTCATAACGAGACGGGTTAAAAGCTCGGGGGTCCTCGAACCTGGCCTCGTCCATATTGATGGCCCATACATTCAGTATGACCCCAGCCCCTTTCGGAATCTTGTAGCCCATGTATTCGTCATCCTTGATGACGGCATGGGGAATCCCAAGGATCGCCGTTGGCATCCACCGCAGAGCTTCCTTGATACATGCTCGTATGTAGGGCATAGACTCCCAGTCATCTAGTGTTGGGAGTCTTTCTGTGCCGCAGATACGGTCCAATTCCTCCCGGGCTTGTTTTTGTACGGAAGGGTACAGAACCATGGCCTGGACGAAGCCCGTTAGTGTGGCTGCGGTGGTATCCGAACCTGCTTCGAGGGCGGATCCAGATATATACCCTGCTAGATCATCAGAGAAACCTAGAGTCTTCTGGCTTTCGAGGATACCCATGCAGAAACACGGCTGATCTCAGTCAGCCGTCTGGTGTCCACTCAACCGACAAGCCTGTGGGGACTTACCTTTGCTGTCCCCTGAAGAACGCGACTTTTCGCATCCATCCAGTGACCGACATACAAAGCCCTCTCTTCTCTGTGCAGACCTTTGGCGTATCTTTTCCCTGGCAGCAATGAACCTAGACTTCTGAGAATTGGGTACACATCCAGAAGAGCCGCCGCGGAAGAGCCCACAACCTCGCTCCACTTCTCAATGCAGTGGTATAGCTTCTTCAGCTTCTCGTCGTGAATGCTCGCCGTACGGAACCCAAACACCATCTGCGTCGTGAGCGAGTTAGTGAACCGGCGGATGTGGTCGATAAAGTGATGCGGTTCATCCAGAAACCCGGACAACATCTGCTTGCTCTCAAGATCCTGGTATGGGACGTAGCCCTTGGCTGCACTGATATTCAGAACCTGGTGGAATATTTTTCGAATCATTCGCCATGTGTCTCCGTATTTCTGTTCTTCGTCAGCCTTGAAAGTGGCATCGAGGAACGCCCCGGTCAGCTTCTGCCGCCCAAGACTTACCATGAGAACAACGCGGAGATTCGCACTGACTACGTTTCCGAGATATACATCGGTTCGAGAGGAGTAGATGCTACTGCGTTTGTTCAACAGGTCTTTTACCGCCAAGTCAGACGAAAGTACGACCATAACCTTGGTGCCGAGGATGAGGGAGTATACGGGACTTTTAGCGACGTCAATGTCAGTACGTTGGTCACATTGGTCTTCACGTGGACTGTTGCCTGGTCTAACATACCCGTACTCTTTCGCCCACTTCTGGAACTGGTGGTGCGGTTGTTTCGATGGGATCTGATGTAAATTACCGATCAACGGCAAGGTGGGAGGGCCAGGAGGATAGTCTTTGGGCCGTCTTCCAACATTCCGCAGTTGGAAGACAGCAATAGCAATAACCGCTAGGGGAATGAGGAACACGTAGACCATGATGTGGAATCGTTCGAAACGACATGTGCGTGGAAGGCGAAAGATAACAAGCGAGGCACGGGGGTGGCCTGGGACATATGTACTGGCCAACACGCGCAACTGCAATCCGTTGCACCCAGATATTAATCCAGCCAAGGCCAAACAAGCGGCCACCTTGTACAACGCCATCTCGGCAGGCTTGTTCCAAGCATGAACCCCTCATCAAAATGGCCTACCGCATTACCGCCCAACGGATAAATCGCCTGGGCAGCCAGCGTTGCATCCTGCGCAAACAGGCGCCGAGACAAGAATAGGTATGCCCCTACTTTGTCGCGAGACATTCGTCAGACACTGTCAGACCCCGCATCTGAATTTCGAAAGGGTAAGCCGTAAACTAGGCAGTGTCATTTGCATACAGCCAACGATCCACATGTGACATCCCACATGGGGAAATGCGGTGTAACTGTACGATGCACGACCGTTGAGGCACATCCCGTTACTCTCTTCGACTCGTCGAAACGAAGATCTGCAGTGCAAGTGCTTACGCTTCCAACATGAACACAGTTGGCATGCATTCAATCCCCTCGTCAAGGCCCCTTTCTTTGTTGCTCTGCAAATGAAGCCGAATATCACTTAGAACTCACACTGTTATCAAAGATTCCTATGTTTTTGACTCTGGCAGTAGAGCGTGGAAGTAGTTAAGGGGTTTTCGTATGTAAGAACATCCGGAGGGCACTAACCAAGGAGTGTTCAACATGATAAGTAATTGAAGAGGCTAGACTTGGGATGGCCGAGACGGTCCTAACGGCATGAGGACTCATCAGGAGTATGCGCAGTTTTGCACATCTAGAGTCATGTCTTGGAAGGAGTGGATCAGCGATAGATGACTTTCCATAGCAAACAAACCGGTAGTGGCGGATTGGCTGCGGGGTTTGACAGTCCATCAGTCAATGATATATGAACTTACACACCTGCGGGCCGTGAAATGGCACGTTCGTCAATGTCATTTTAAGAAATCATGTCTGATTTTGGTACAGTTTTGCCATCAAGTCATAGTCCAGTCAAACCACAACTACGGCTAAGCGGTAATGACCCATGGAAGCTTAGAAGCAAAGTCCTTGATGGTAACCATGTAAGGCCGGGACTCGGCTTCTGGGAATGGCAGACCCGGCAAGACTTTGTTCTGGGAAATGCAGGCATTCCACTACCCGAGTGTGGATTCTAGAAATACTATGCTTCGGCGGGTCTGAATGTACCCCCAGCGTCTAAATTCAGGCTGCTAATCCCGGGTTTCAGAGCTGCTAGGGCTTATTATCCCTGGTATCTGCAATGTACACTCCTGATCTCACGATTTATAGTCAATTGAAGCTTTTTAGCTGAGTTCTATCAACTTCTCGCGGACTGATTTGCTGTACTACAATATGATGGGCAATAGGGGAGGATCCTCATGCGAGTCAATATGTTGCCCATTTTATCATCAAATGATATACAGTTGGAGGCATACAACCGGACCACTTTGGCTCTTGGATGAGCGAAAGATCCCTTGGCTGAGTGGTGAATGATTGATTCGAATAGAGATGGGTGCCTCGTGGTTGAAGAGAATTGCGATCAGTCCACGAGCTTGACTGAAACGCTTCTCGGCATCAAGACGCATCACCACACCCGTATAGCCACTTCAAGCTGTAACACGAAAGGCAGAGTTGGGTCTCGGGTCTCTATCTCAGGAAACAAGGCGATTGTGAACAATAGCGCCTGTTTTTGCTCCGGAAAGACGCAAAGGGGGAAGGAAAGGCAATAGCTATGGGTGTAAAAGTTCTTAAAATGTGAATTGAGTGGGATGAGGTTCGTCCCTGAGACAAAGACCAACGCGGCTTGCCTCTACGAGCAAAGACTAGTCTCCCCAAGGTATCCCACCCTCGGGATATCTGCGCCGGTCCCAATGCTGCTAACGTTCATAAAATATCCAACCACGCCGATACACTTTTGTACATTTCCGCCATCCTCCTTCACCATATTACAGGACAAATTCCACATCCATGTTCAAGCTTGATCTGACAGCCCACGCTCAAGCCAGCCCGACGCCCCTCAGCGCCCGCATCTTGACGCCCTCCCAGCTGTTCAGCTTCGGGCGGACGTCAAGGTAGAAGCTAGGCTTGCCGTGGGCGTCTGGGCGGCCGGCGTAGAAGTCGATGACGTACTCGACCTGCGTGCCGCAGCGGTCGACGATCCAGTCGTGGCGGTCAAAGGGCGGGGTGTAGCCCAGCAGGGTGTTGACGCGCGCCTTGGGGGACATGTTTGTGCTGAGACCAAGGAAGGAGTGGAGTTTGGGGCCGTCGCAGCTGTTTGTTGTCAGTCTACAGTCTCTTCAGATTCAAGCATTCCCCCGACTAAGGGAGTATAGGAAACGCGGCGATGGGGTGTAGGGGAGGCTCACGCTGTACCCTCGAGATACGGCTTCTCCCATTCCTTGATCTCCTTCCACGCCCTCTCGTTGACGGCGTTATGGATCGGCACCACTGTCGCCATGTCCGCGGCGCGGGTGTCGTGACCCTTACGCTTCATGGCGTCAAAGAACATCTTTTGGGAGGGGTAGATCCAGTTCCCCGTTGCCTCGTCCGCGCCCGTCTCCTGCTCGTGGTTCGAGGGCCGGCTGTTGCCTGGGTACGCCGAGGTCGCCGTCCGGGGGATCGTCGAGACCTCGCGCTCGGTGTCGAGGCCTGGTTTCGTGGGTACTGAGTGCAAGGGATTCGGCGCGTCCTGTGTTTTCGAGGAAGAGGTGAACGGAATGTAGGATTTGAGGGACTCGGTCCAAGATTGTGAGGGCTGTGGTGAAGCTTGGTCAAGGGATTGATGGGGATTTTGCTTTCTCACGGGGGAGGTGTGAGGGTTCGCTGCGGCGCTTGCGGCGCGGGCTTGGGCGAGCCATGCTTCGCGGGACTTGTGGTCTACGGGACAGGCCTCGGCGCCGGCGGAAGAGGCGGAGGATGGCGTCGCGGGATTGTTCGGAGACGGGGAGGGCGTCGAGAAAGGCGTCAGAGACAGCAGGGACTGCGTCCAGGATTGCGACTGCGACTGCGGGGGCGGGACGTCGGCGGGAGTGATGACGGGATGCGGCGGGTGAGGATGCGCCTCGCTCGGGTTCGCGGCGCGGGCGTGCTGCAGCCAGGCTTCACGGGCCTTATGATCGACGGGACATGTCTCGGGGGCGGCGTCGTTCTTGGGGTCTGACATGATGTGATTTTCGTAGTCAATGGCGGAGGAGTGGGAGTAGGAGGGGGTCGGGGCTGAAGCTGGAGGTTGCGAGCAGGTTAGGAAGACGAGGTCCACGAGATCGGCGTTCATTTTGGAATGATCGTAGCTGCGAGTAGGGGCGTAATGTTCATACCAGTTGAGGAATAGACGCGCAGGTGGTCCTGGAGATGTCGGGATTTATCTATACTAGAGGCTTCCGCTCCCCTCGATGGGCCGTAGTCTGGACGCGGTAGATCCGATGCGGAGCGGGCGGTCTAGATCCAGATTCCGGGGAACAGGGTTGCAACGGGGTTTCTTTCTTTGTTTGTCTGGCTCAGGTCTGAGTGCGTCGTAGGGATATGCGACAGGAATTGCATTGGGTTTCTTGCGCTGGGTCAGCTTGGCTGGGTGAGGAACCGTTTCGAAATCGGATCCCTCGATGCATCAACTTTTTAAGTGGAGAAGCAGGTATTGCTCTGGGACCTTTATTTGGCAAGATGTGGTTGATGCCGTTTGATTGGGTGGCGACCTTCGAGGTTGACCCGTCGGGTGGTTCCGATGACGCCGGGACAGTTGTTCGCCATGGAGCTCCAAGTTTTGTGCCCGATGATGTGTCAGCTAAAACGTCAGATGAAGGTATCCCGCGGTTCTGCCGACGTGTGTGGCTAGAAGTCAGTTTGTGCACGGCCTTTGTGGCTTGTGCTCTACACGGAGCTCATTTCCACGGACCTTTGTCAATTCCGTGGCTGAGGCTCTCGGACTGGTTGGCCGACGTCGAGTCGGCTACCTCGGGAAATGACGGAAGCGGGAAACAGGAAACAATCGGATGGTTTTGAGAAGTTGGGGTAGAGAAACGTCAATGCTTCCCCCAAAAGGCCGAGTGCACGTTTTCCCAACGTCCCGGAGCTACGGACGCAGGTGGTTCGACAAGCTGCATGAAGCTGTCACATGGGCCAACTAGCATTGGTTCGCGGTGCGGGAAATGGTCGCAATAGAAGACAGAGACCTGCAGAGCTCCACATGACATCAATTGAGCTGCGAGCACATGTCAACAACGCTCTGAACGGGGAGTATTCGGGATTGATTTGCAACGTTTGTGAATGCACGGTGATATTTTGTGTGACGAGCTTAGACTATCGGTACAGGATAGATTGGGAACAGTCGATGTGAGGTTAAGGAAATAGAAAAAAGAAGCCAAAGCTACAGACAAGCAGACAGCTCTTGTCCATGCGTTTGGATGTTGTATAGCCCAGCAAACTCCTGCGGTCCCAGCCAAGCTCCCACTCGGCGGTGGGATCCGGTTCGGTCACCTCAAGCACATGCTTGTAGCTTGCAGTAAAAAACGCGAAGCCGCCGACCTTCCCTTTTCTGCTTATAACTTTTCCTTGCCTTCTCGTCACGAGTGCGTGACGTACTTGGTGTTGCCGAGTTTTCCGTGTCCTGCCGAAAGCCCCAATCCCGGGGGGCTGTTTGTGATGGACGGGGGTCATGTCCACCGTAGTCTCTCGTCTTCGTACACACGTGCCCGCCTTGATTTTTTGGATCGTCACCTCAACCCCCCTTCGTCGCTCGTTTCTTGTCCTGCCCGCGGATTCTTATCATGGTGAGCCCGTCTTTTCAGTCATTCATAAAGTTAAAGACGTGGTCCATGGTGGCTGTTCTATTGCTTCTAGGCAACCGAAATCAGCCGAAGAGGGCGGCACCGCCGGACTCGACAGCCTCGATCTCGGCCATGTCGAGGGGCTGGCGGCGGAAGCGGGCGGGCAGCTCGGAGCGGTCAAAGAAGACGCCCGAAGGGGGGACGACGGGGCCGAGGTTGTGGCCAGAGGTGCCGCCAACGCCGGAGCTGATGGAGCGCTGAAGAGGACCGTGCTGCTGGGCGTGGTCACGGTAAGCGCTGAAGTTGTTGTGCTTGGGGGAGGCAGAGCCGTTGCCGAAGTTGGATGGCAGCTTGCCGGTGGGCGAGGCCGGGTGAGGAGCCGGGGTGTGGTCAATGGAGGCTGCGGGAGAGGTGATTAGCACGTAGGCCAGAAGAGCACAAGAATTGAAGAACAGGACGTACAAGGAATGGTGCGGCGGCCGAGGAACTTGATGCTCGGGGTACGCTCGGCGTGGGCGGCAGCCTGGCGGAGAACTCTGGTCGCGAACATTGTGAAGGTAATACGTGTCGAGGGAAGTCCGAAAATACGTAGTGAAACTGAAAGTAGACGAAGCTCGTTCGTGCGGGTATATGAAGAAAAATCTATGGAGGTGGGAGTAAGTTCGGTTGTGTCGACTCTCCTCCTTGCCTGGGATGATAAAGCTTTTCTGTTGCGTGGCGCTGGCGACGGGTATCGAGGTTAAACTTTTGGAGCGGTAGGGAACACCGTTGTGCAGTCCGAGGGATCTGTTGATTTTGTGTTTTATGTTTTTTCTTTGTCAAATGGAGGCCTTGGGTATCTGCGCGCAAGGCAGAGGAGCTTTTATCAGCAGGGAGGAGAGCGTTGTCGAGAGGAGGGTTTGGTGGTTGAAGGAGGGAAGAAGGTGGGAAGAGAGAGGAAAGTCAAGGCGGAGCTCGGCTGGGAGAAAAAGGAAGGCACGTTCTTAATATTCATCAGGTTGGGAAGGAACGGGGAATTTTCTTCACAAGCCGAGAGACACCGCGCGCGCCGCCGGCCGTGCCCCATTTTCTTCTTTCTCTCTCTCACTCTCTCGGCTCTCTGCTGGTCTGCCCAGCGGCCACGGTTTTCCACCCCCCCCTGCGCGGTGTCGCAACGCTCGGTTGGGGGTTGGATTCCTGTATGGCGCATCACTTTTTTGGTGGACTCCCTGGGTTGGGTGTCGCTGGCTCTCTGCTTTTTTTTTTTTTTTTTTTTGCGCCTTTCGCTGTCTTTCCCGCGCCATTTTCCTGGCAGCCTGCAAGGCAACTCCGGGAGGACGGGGCTAGGACAGAGCAGGGAACGCACAGGGTGGCAGGGGATGGCATCGCAGCCCGCCAGAGCTAGCGATTGACGGTGGAGGAGGCCAAGGAGGGGGAACGGACGACGGGGGACAGGGACGAGACAACGTTGATGTGCGCTGGGAGGATGCGAATGGTCGTCTTAGCGCGCCAGCCCCGAACCCGACCCGAGGCCCTTGGAAAGTGCTGCTGTGCTGTGCTGTCCGGAGATAATGTTCACAGTTGAAGCCCCGAGGAAACCGCCGGTTCGGTTCTTGATGCGGGTTGCAGATGTATGTCTCTGGACGTGGTGCTCCAGCAGCTCACTACCGAGGCGGACACTGGAGCTCCTCTCGTTTGAGAGGCCCAAGACAACACGATGAGACAGTTGCCAGTATCTTGCCGACCAACGCCGGGCTCATCATCCAACAAGGGCAGGGCCGCCATTCATCACCTCCTCACCGGGCGTTGTTCTCGTACTCTCTCTGCGGTCTGCAGCTAGCTAGGTGTTGCTACTCCTCCCCCTCCTCCTCCTCTCCCCGTTTCAGGGATCTCCACCATCCCAAACGTCCCCAACGTTCGACGGACCGCGCCATTCCCAGACACCGGGCGGGCGACCTGTATGTAGAGTGCACGCACCGCTACTGGCTGTGTAGCTCGAGATGCAGAGACAAGGGAAGACTCGACACAGAGAGTGACATCGGAAACCCACAGCCCTAATACAGCCCCCCGGGACGGCTGGATCCCACGCGTTCGGCCACCGCAACAATGCTGTCCATAATTCGTCGAGACCTACCAAAATGACAAAAACGACCCCTCCCCTTCCTTGCTCGTCCTCCGCTCTCCCGCCGCTGGTAGGTGTTCTCCGCCCCTCGAAGGCATCTCATCTCAGTGACAGCCAGTGACCGAATAGCGGGACAAATCGATTTTACACGGGAATTGCGCCTTATCACTGATTTCCCACGTCATGGCGGGACATCGTACCATCCCCATACCGGCACTATCCTTAACTCCTCCATATCTCCATCAGACAGAGACGCAGAGGACCACTCACACTAAACTGCATCGAAAGGCTCGTGAATCAAGACAGCCTGTGGGCCATGGTGTTGTGTTGTCTGGTCGTCTTTACAGTTCAGTCGCTCGCACATACCATAAAACTCACAAAAACTCCGCTTTTTCCAGCAGACTTTGTCACAACATTCGCGGCCGGGCTTCCCACACCCGGCCTGGTCGGATGGTGGGCGAGGATTCGGATGCGACATTGGAACAACAAGCTCTGGGCCAAGACATTCGTCCGACCTTTTGCGCGTGCGAAACCCACGCTGCAGCGCTCCAGTGGCCCCCCTCGGTTCCCCAGACTCTGGAGATATCAGGCCACCTTTAGTCTTTCCCATAGCGCCCGTAACATGACAAACTGCGCCGTGTACAGCGCCGGTGTCCCATGGCAGTCGCTCGTCGGCGTTCGGCAATTTAAGCGCAGAGGGGGAAAGGAGGGGGAGGGCTGGGCTCTGCCACTTCGGAGATCACCACTATGCGGAGGATTATCAATCAAAGGCGGCTTCGGGGAACGGTTCACGAACGACGATCAACGTCGCACCCGGACAACCGGCGATTCGCGAAACAGAAGGGCGAGGGAGAGGACAAACTCGCAACGAGCAACCCAACAAGCATCTCGTGCGCTTCTAGCCCTTCTCCGTGCCTCCGCGTAACAGACCCGATCCCGGTCCCGTCCACACCACCAAGAAAACCCAAGACACGAAAGACACGAGGAGAAATCTCGACCGAGGTGTGCGCCTGCATCGAACGATTCTGCGGGCGACCGGGCGAGCAGCCCAGCCATTGGGCTCGCAGTGCCAGGACTGCACAAGCCGAGACTGGGCACGCGAGCTGGCCCCGCGAAGAGGGTGTTCTCGTCAATGAACTTCTCCCCCGGTCGTCTCTTCTGCAGCAGTGCATCCTACCCTCCCCGGCCAGCACCTACCCGATCCAGCGTCTTACAGAACACAGGATGCGAGCGGTTCTGGAGCACCGCGGTGCTGTCCAGGACAATCACAGCACAGCAGTGACAGTGACCCAAGGACCAAACAAGGTGCCGTCAACCGCTGGGGCCAGTGGCCTTCACGCCTTGGCTACAACCCCCACGGCACGGACGACACCGGCGGGGGCGAGGGGACTGGGTCCGGCCTTGCATTGCATTGCATCAGATGCGCTCGCGCCTGCGCAAGCAGCACCCCCTCGGGTGGGATGGTCCTGTCCGGTTGGGCTTGGAGGCATGGCCGCTTGCCGGACCGGGTAAGGCAGCGAGCCGCCGGGCGCGTTTTCTGTTCCGCCGCCCCTAGACTCGAGCTGCCCTGGGATGGGTGATGGTTTTGCGGGGGAAGTTTTTCGGGTCCGAACTGTGCCATGGTTTGTTCTTTCGCACAAAAGGTTTTCTTTCCGGGTTTTTTTTGTTTTTGTTTTCTGGGAGACTCCAGATTGATATGTGACTTGCTGCCCAGATGCAACTAGTAGACTTTATCCGCTGTACATAGTCTCTCCCCACTCCACACGCTGCCGGGTTATCAGATCCCTTCCTTGTCTACGACGCCTGCGACGCGACGAACGAGCTCGTTGCCATATCCCCTGCAACCGGGCCGGATGTCGGGAGGCGCGATTTGCGCTGCTCGCCACTGGGCAGGAGCACCATTCGATCCCGGTTCTGGACGGGGTAACCGGGGGGGGGGGAGGACGAATGTGGACGGTGGGACGCGGTGCGGGTGCTGCTCCGATAACGGCACCGCGCGCTCTGGCTGTGGGGAGCGCGCGGAGGGCAAACTGCCTCGATTCGCGCGGTTGCAGCAGATTGTCCACCTCGCGAGATGGAGCTCCTCTGGGTGGGCTTTGGCTGGGGCCATGTTCCCGCACGTTGACGACTGGGAGCTCCAGGCGTATGATATCTGCACGTTTGACCCGAGTTTCGCTAGAACATTCAGAAGATTGTAGCCATGGCTTCTGACACAGGCGTCGAGCAACACTGAAGCAAAACAGCTTGCTGTTGGAAGCATCGGCCAAGTCCGGTGTCTTGTACAGGGAACTAAGGCAAAGTTGCTGAGACTGATCGCTTCGTGCAGTCAGGCTGACGTGCTCGAGACTCAAGACACTCTTATCGTTGCGGTTCTCGGGTTTCGTGGTGGCCCGCTGGTCTTTATAGGGCATTCAAGGATATCGTGCGTTCGTTTTCTAAACCATATCGGTTTCCTCCCTCCACTCGACGCAGAGGAAAAAACACAAAATGCTCTCTAGTGACGGTCATCGTCGGCATTTGGGCCATTGTAGATTCTGGTGTTCAAGAGCTTCCCAGTCATTCCCTCCGGCTCAACGCTACAAAAGGTGGACTACTAGCCCTTGCCTCGATTTTTCAACAAACAAGTGAGCTACAATCACTTGTGAGAGACGTTGATAGTTGCAACAGAAATTCGTATTGAAGGTGAAACCCCGGGTTCCGAGGGGCCATTGGTATCATCAGCAAATCGTACATCATGAGTGTTGTCCGTCCTAAACGCCGTGTTCCTCCCGCGTAACTCTGAATCCTCCCCCTACTGCTCCTTCTTGTCCGTGTATCCCATACTGATCTGCGGGGCAAAGGCAGCCAAGTTGGTCTCCTTGACGTCCCAGCCAGCCTCTTGAAGTGCCTCGAAATCCAGCTTTTCATCTTCGCCATCAATCTCGATCTCATCCACGGGGATGACACCAAGAAGCTTGCGCGTGCCGGTCTTCATGCTCAGCTGGCGATCCCGCGCGATGGTGGTGGCATAGTACCACGCCTTGAGCGTGTTGAGCTCGTTCGCCTCGTTGTGCGATTGGTTGCCGAGCAGCAGGATCTTGATGGTGGTAACCTCACCTTTCTCACAGACGCAGAGCACGAAGCCCGTCGCGGCCTTCCCCTTCGTATCTTGCTGGTCCTCACCCTTTAGCGTAAGGTAACGGATGCCGGCGCTCTTGGCGTCGGCAGTCATGGCATCGGCATAGCTCTTGGCGAATCTAACCTTCGCGACAACCTCCCCTCGGTGGTTTTTGATGACGGGCGACCAAAACACAATGTTCTCGCGACTAGCGACCTGTGCGGGCGTCAGCACCCGCTTCGTCTGCACGTAGTGCTGGAACAGAATGGTGGCTCGCTGCTGGTTGAGGATGGCGAGCTGGACGCAGCGGACACCGAGATAGTTCATGCCGAGGTGAACGAAGACGAGAAACACCATGAGCACGAAGACGGCCTCCCTGCCCTCAACGAAGCGAACCACGATAGATCCGACAAGCAAGCCGACGAGGCCAACTGCCGTCTCTTGAGATGCCTCCTTCGCGTTAAGCTCGCTGAGATTGTTGCGGCGGGCAAAGTGCTTCGAGAGAGCGGCCTTGCTCGCGCCGGCGGCGACGCCGCACATGGCGCGCAGGGCCTCGGCGAGAACGAGAGCGGCCACCTTGGTCCAAGGGTCGAAGTAGGGGCTGAAGAGGTCGAGGAAGAAGGCGCTATCGTTGAAGATATCAGCGAGAAAGCGGTATCTCTTACATTCGGGCTCAATGACCAGGCCGAAGCGGTAGGCGAAGACGATGGTGGCGACGCGGGAGATGCCGTCCTTGAGGACCGTCAGGAGGAGGGCATAAGTCGCTGATGAGTTCGGGTCGCCGACGCCGAGGCCTTGAAGGATGGCGCGATTGGAGAGGAGGCCGGTGATGGTAGAAAAGAACGCCTGAAGAGAGTCGTAGGTCTGATAGCCCAGGTAGTCCGGAGTCACCGAGTCCGGATAACCAATGGGCAGGAACGCGTCGTAGAGGATTTGACGCATGTCGGTGAGGATGCCTGCGGCGGTATTTGACGTGTTGGTGATGTGAGGAAAAGGGTGGTGGTGAGGAGCGTGCACCAGTGTGATTTTGTGAGAGTCGGGATCGTGCAGCCACCGGCGCGTGATTCTGCCGCTTCCATCTCTTTCTTCAATGAGAAGGTCCTCCTTTTTTGTTCTTTCCATCTTGTTTCCTGGTGTTTACCCCAGATGCTGGGGAAGGATGGGGCAGAACGTCAGAGATGTGGCAGGATGGTGAGAGACAGGTAGGTAGTCAAGACAGAAAAGTGGGTCGCAACTGGAAGTGAGTGCTACAGCACCGGAATGTGAAATGCAGCACAAAACTATGTCAGCAACTGATCTCATTGTTGTACCTATTCTGGAGGATTGCACCCTTGATGTTTTCCTTTTGGCTGGTTTGAAAGGAACTCTTTCGCCACCTCATTATTTATGTCCAATGGTGCCCGTCTGGCATGTTATCTGGGTTGACAGAACATGTTTCCAAAAGAGACTGACCGTGCTGGACAAAAAGTACCCAAAGTTTACTAGAACACACTCTCACTTCAACTGACAACATTGTGAACTTGGCATTGACAGATTGGCTTGCAAAATCGCAAGGATATTGATTTGTGTGATTTAAATTAGGAGCTTCTATCTGCGCAATGATGATTGAATGCCAATCATAGTTCCCTCACTTATAACGAATATGCTTCCATGTGCCATTAGATTGCTCATCGCTTAACCGTCTGACCATCCTCTCCAACAAGGTAAACATCCGACTTAATCGGGCCCTCGCCAACGCCGGTCTGGATGACACGGCTGACACCGCTCTTGAGGATGCCGGCTACAGTCTCATCGAGCGTGGCAGAAGACTTGAGACTCTCGACGCCCTCTTTCCAGCCGCCTACAGAAGCCAAGATGGGAGAGAAGGCACCGACAACGGTAGCAGTGTCCTCCTCGAGGTAGTAGATGACGGCATTCGGGCCAGCATCGAACGTGTAGGCGGCAACAGTCTTGCCAGCGGCGGCGTTAATCTGCTCCACGGCACGGATGGCGGCACGGGAAACGTCGTTCATGTAAAAGATGGGAGGGTACGTGTCGGAGCACGAAGAGTGGAACGAGTTGGAGTCCTTCATCGTGACCTCGGCAAACTTCTCAAAGTCGCGCTTGGCGATGGCCTCCTCCATCTCAGCCATGTGCTTAGGCACCACCTCGGTGACGCGCTGCTTGAACAGGCCCGACGTCGCCACCGTCTGCTGCATGCCCGACGTCGACGAGACCCCCTTCTTGGCCGCGCTGACGACGAGAATCAGAGCGCGCATGTTGGGCCAGTGCGACGCCTCGGCGATGAGGTCGGCTTTGGAGTCCGTGCCGTCGGCCTTATCGCCCATCCTCCACGCAACATATCCGCCGAACAAGCTACGGCACGCCGATCCGGAACCCTGTCTCGCGATAAGGGAGAGCTCGGACGGCGAGTCAGGGAGCTCGTAGAGGTCGGCGATGGCGCGCACGAGGGCGGCAAAACCGGCGGCCGAGGAGGCGAGGCCCGCGGCGGTGGGGAAGTTGTTCTCGGTGACGATCTTCAGAGGCAGCGCAGAGAGCTTCGGCAGAGAAGGGTTCTTCTCCTCGAGGGCGGCGCGGCGGGCGCGCAGCTCGCGGAAGCAAGCTTGTGTACGAGCACCCGAGACATCGGAGGCTTCACCGTTGAGAATGAGGCTGTCGCCGGCTGAGTAGGAGGCAGAGCAGGAGGCGGTCGTCAGGGTTCGGAGGTCGGCCTGGGAGAGGGTGACGGAGAGGGAGCTGTTGGTGGGGAGGTTGAGCTTCGGATCGCGCTTGCCCCAGTACCTGCGGTCGTCAGCAACAAAATCTCCAGGGTAAAGTCTCTTGAGAGATCGTACTTTACAACAGCGATGTTGACAGGCGCCGTGGTGCTGGCGCGGTAGACTTTGTTGTCCGCCATTTTGCGATCGAGTTTGCGGCCTGTTGGAGGAGGCGGTCAGTGGAATTTGAGGCGGGGCAGATTAGACACGGAGATGAGAGGAGGCAATTAGGAGGAACCGGGCAAACAGACTGTCGGACTCTAATAAGCAGAGCTGGATAGGTCTTTTCGAACTGTGATACCACACAAAATGTCCGACTTTACGCAGACAAAAGGTTGGGATGAATTGGCGAAGCCGGAGAATAACGACACTGGCGGGGTTGCGAAGCTCCTCCATCACAACAACGGCGTATTTGGGTAGAAATGCGATCCTTGCCTAAATAGGCTTAGTGCGGGGTCTTCAGGGGTCCGACACTTAGACCCTGCACGAAGAGAAGTACTGTACTTTTCGTTGCGCCTACCTCAAGTGAACAAACGTTCGAAGGAACCGCTCCTCCCGTTCTAGAAGCACCACAGAATGTTTCACAGGTCAACTTCACTCATTCAGGCTACCTCAGTTCACATTCATCATCTTCACCATCATGATCAGCTTTCTTGTCACAATATTAAGATTATGTGATCCTATTTGAATCGTTCGCTGAATTACCCAAAGACATCTGCATTACCACCTTCTTCTTTGGGTATCATCTGCAATTTCCCAGAATCCATTCCCAGACCCTCAATATCAACCAAACGCCAAACGCCAAACCACAGCATCGTGCTCTCGTCCTCATTGAACACACCGTATTCCCAATCGTATCCCTTGGGTTACCGATCTGCCATTGAGTGCTGCAGCTTTGTGGTATGTCACGCTGCAAAGACTTCTTCTGAACTGAACTGCTCTCCCTTGAGCCTACCCCGTCATTAAATTGAATCCAAGAGGGATGTTCTCCTTCTTTGTCTCTGTCTCTTCTGAGTCGAAATACCAAATGCCAGAAGAGAGGATGTCGATGGCCTGCATGACGCGAAGGAGGTAAGGATAGTCAACCGTACGGATCGCCTCAAAGGCAAGGTCTGCCACCTCTGTCCAGGTTGCTGGGACAGTGACCTGTGGCGCATTCGAGTCAACACTAATGCGGCGCGCAACGAGGTCATATCTGCGCTGGTCCAGATAGCCAACAATCTGTCGAAGGACTTGTCTGTCTTCATTGGTGAAGGGATCGTGGAGACGGTCAATCGCGATGTCGACCAAGGTACAAAACTGGGCTTGTCTGGCCTCCGCTGTTACCTCATCTTCTTCCACATTGTTTGGGTCGGTGTGGAGGATGTGAGCTGCTCTTGCAGTCTGGTAGCTGTGAAGTCTACGGTAGTTGATAGCTCTGCCCGTGATATTGAGGGGGGTCTCCTGAAGGATGCCGCAGGATTCAGTATCCTGAACTTTTTTCTCAGTACCGTTGTGGCGGGTGATTGAATTTGTGGTCCGTCTACTGTGGCTGATGGGGTGAGGGATACGAAGGCCATTGTGAGTTCTGGAGAGGATGTTGTCCCGGGGAACTTGTGGGAAAGCTGCTGTTGGCGAGTTGATGATAGGCTGATCGGAAGAGAGCCAGCTCTGAGATCGAAACTGAGGCTCAGAGATGGCTGAGCTGAAAGATTCGAGGCGACCATAGGTAAACTGGTGCTCATTGTCGCCAAGGCAAGCGGGGACGCCGAGGTTGTCGATACGACTATCCAAGGCATTCATCGAAGCTCCATCGAGAGCCTTGGCGGCAGGGGGCGAATGAAAGAAAGCAATCTCTTCTGTGAAAGAAAGAGGCGTTGTGTTGCGACGTCTGATAGGTTTGGGAACGCGGTAGTCATTCACAAGTCGGTAGCTACTGTCGATGGTGTTGCGCTGGAGTTCGACGGTGGGAGAATGGAAGAGTTTCGAATCATCGGTGAAGAAGCCAGGTTGCCCAGTAGACTGTTGGCTCTGCCGATGATTCCTGAGACGGGCCGGAACTCGAAGGCCATTGACCAATCTAAAGCCATTTGTGATGGTGGGCGTGTGGGCACGCTGCACCGTGGCGGTAGGAGAGTAATACAAGCCACAAGAAGCCATCTTCCTTGTCTTAGAGGGCTGTGACGGTGGGGCTGATGCTGGTGATGATACTTTCGGCACGGTTTTGGGTCTCGTTCAGAAATTGTAGAAGGATACTGGGTGGACTTCTTGTTTTATAAGGTCTTTGAGGTTGTCGCGCAATTGTAAAAAGTTGAAGAAAGAAGTGAATTGAACAGACAGGTTTTGCCCTAGATGAAGATAGGGCGAATTTGTGGAAAAAGGGTGAGGTGGAAGTGAAAACAGTTAGATTGACGAGAAGAAAAGGAAGAAAATGGAAATCCAGGGTCTCTTATATAGGAAAGAGACAGATGTATCTCCGATAGCTGGATGGCGGTGCTCGATTGCGATGTAGAGATCCATGGTAGCCGTTGACGATGTAAACTAACTTGCTCGCAGAACCAGGGCAGAGGCTGCTGTCCCGGGGCGCACTGTAGACATGTTACCAATCATTCGTAAATTGATGCCTACGCAACATTCACTGTGTGACTACAATACCGTCGGTGATACTACAATTGCGTGGCTACGGGGGAAACCCAAGTTACCCAACATTTCTGACCTAACAATGCGTGCGGTGATGGCAATTCGCGCCTTCGTGTGGGTGACAGTGTTGCAATAGTCTTTCCAGACAGGTTTTGGCGGCACAGCCTCATCACGTCCCTCCCAGTGCACTATATGCGAAAGTTTCTTTCGGTACTAGATCGTAACTTCACCCCACCAGGGTTTTACATAACTCTAACCAGTTGTTTTTGAGCCAAGAGAGGCCAACACGACTAGGCAACAAGTGGCCTAGAGTGAGCATTTCCCTTGGAACGGCCGCGAAAACCAGTTTTCTGATTGATTCTTGATGTCTACCGGAAACCATCTTGAGAGATCGCTAGCTTGTCTCCAGAAAATCCAACTGCAGACATATTGTGTTGCGATAAATCAGGGCAACGTTGCTATCTCGTAACATATTGCTGAACCAGGATACTCGACAGAATCATTGGAGAGCGTTGGCAGTTCATCTGATGTTGTCACATGCAAACAAACAAGGCGCAATATAGATGTCAACTGCCTCGTCAAATCATCCCGCAAAGAAGACATCAGATCGCCCATATCATGGCTCTAACTTTATAAAGCCGAGTTTCGTCAAATGTGAATCATTGGGTGTATTAGTGACTTTTCTGAGTAACACTGGACAAAACCAGTGTTTGGAAAGCTTGTACATCGACTGAGTGTAGTCACGGAGCGGTCAGTTGGCAGTCCCGGATATTACATGATGGAATCAGACTTTAGTGATTTAAGATACTTTGCGCACATAACCACTCACAGGATTATCCATGATCTGCTTAGCATAGCTCGCACCCGCCTAATGGGATTCAATCTCGCGGGACAAAATACCCAGGACCTAATTATCGTCGTCCCCCAGCAATTAAAACTGGCGACCTTGCCGACCTCCTTGCACTGAATTTCGAAGTCTTCCCATTTGAAGCCGGCTTCAGTAGTACCAACACACTAAAAGTCTTAATAAATTTGACGGTCCAGTGAGCAGATTAGGTGAAGACGAAACCTTTGTTGGGTCACTTACCAAATCATGATTTAAGCCATCCAGTGTCTTACCCAGAGATGCCGGCTGGCCGTCGAAGCTTTTGAAAATCCCTTCTATGTAACGGATGCATACCCTCCTTGTGGCAGTGTCCTCGCCATGACCATTTGCAGCACATAGACAATAGCGGTGGTGGGCCACCACTTCCTTGATGCAGAGCCTGGATTGTCAGTGTACTGCGGGACTCCGACGAAATTCGAATATTATGCTTACAGCAGCGGAGTAAGAAGAACGAGAAGCTTCATTATGACAGTGTGCCTTTAATGTTGCATCGCTGATTATAGATCTCGAAACCCCAGATCTAGTACAGCTGTATGATGATGAGATGATGGGTATGGTATATATATACATACATATCACAGTGTGTGTTTTGCTCCTTATCGGCGACACCGAGATTACTAGCAGACTAGCTAGTAAGAAAGAGACGCTATAGGGTTGGCAGTACATGGGAAAGTAAAATTGATAAAGCACTCGTCTAGTAGGACCTTGTTACGCTTTTACCCCGCACGAAATGAAAGCATAAACCTTCTTTCAAAGCTGGGATCTAGAGTCAGTTCACCAATCCGGCCTTTGGCCCACTTATAATAGGACCACCGAACGTCCCGTGACCTTGTTTACAGAGAGCGACTGAAACTGATGACTGGACTTAGCCTGGCATTGAACTCATCGAACTTCCGCTCATGCCGTATTGCTTTCCGATGTCAACCAGCAAGTACTTGGGGAATTGCCACAAAATTTGACTACCGATTCCGTTTCTGAAACCCAATGAAGAGTCGTACAGAGAACGCGGGCCGCATATGGCTATGATTAGAGCGAGGAGTTTGGTTAACTTTTGATGATCTCTTCAGGGGTAAGAAGTTGGCATCAGGGGATTTCCAACTCCTATCGCCTTAGGAGCCTACAGAAAAGCCATGTAATAGCCAGTAAACTTAGAGGTGACCATTTTGAAGTGCATGCATCTCTGATTCAATCGATGCTTTTCACCACGAATTCTGATAGCTTTTTGGAAATTTAGCAACACTGTGCGAAATATGGACGATGATAAGAATCTGAAGACGAGATACGAATGGAATAACTTAATTATGTTTTCATTTTCCTAGTTCCCCTCCACCGTTACTAGACCCGTTGGGATCAAATGTACAGAGCATTAAGCTATCATAGCATTCACCACTGTATGTAGTCAGTTGAGTCTGTTTTGCTAGGCGACAGTATTTATCCACAACCATAACTTCCAGCGGGCTAGGTAAAACAACACGTAAAAAGCTCATCTCAATCAGAATCTCCAGAGGTAGCTAGTATCAAGGTGGCTTTTGTTGGTTCGAAATTCTGGCGCTGTTGGAAAGACATGGCATGTCGCGATATAGGGATGAGAACCCGATACTAAATTTCCGGAAACAAACCATCGGGAATCTCCTCATTATTTTGGGATCAATTGGCCAGTAATAATGGAAATAGGTTGGTAACCTTGCTGTATGTCATAATAAAAACAAGCGTTTCGATTTCATCTGGTGATGCTTGAACTGGCGCCCTGGTTCCGCTTGGGGTGTCAGCTGCGATTTCAACTACTGTTCGAAGCAAGGCCCTGAATCGATGGACATAAAACTTCCAGTATTCTGTACTTCTCTCTACTAAAGAGTACTAGATTGAACTAACACCTCAATTTGATTCTACTGAAGACTCGTATCAAGTGGGTAAGTATGCCCAGGTTGCAATATAAACAGATAGCTAAGTAAATTCTATTTCAGCACGTAGCTGTAAATAGCGATCAGATCAATATTTAACGAATGTATAACCAAGTCTTTGAACTGTATTTGGAATATCCATGTTGATTCCTTCTCCCCCATTTTCCGTCAAACCGGGCAGAATCGACTGGATATTTGTAGTCAGGGCCGAGATCCATCAGCATTCGGAACAGTCGTCGCATCTTTTACCAGTCGATCCGCAAGCGCAAATGCCATAACCGTCTTCATATGCACATGCAGCATGGATGCCGGCAATCATACTAACAAAGGCAAGGATAAAAGAGACCTTCATCGTGGAGTTTCTTGTGGCGCGTGGTGTCTAGAACAGGTTAACCAGTGATTTCCTATGGGCTGAGAAAGAAACAGCACCTACAGTGTTGCAGATAGATGCGAAGAGCTTTCAAGTTTGTAGACCTTGTGATTGTGCCGTGAAAAAATATTCGTTGACTGAGTTCAGTAGCCCTCGAAAAGGTAGGTAGGTTCATATTGATAATCTCTGTATTAATACCTTTACAGAGAGATTCAGCAACGAGTTGTTCGTAATAACCCGAGAATCAAACTTTGGATTGTAATTAATATTGAATTCTAACATATCCTGCTAGTGTCACATCAACTATGACTTGACCTACGGGAATTAGGCTCGAACGTATGTGCGGATAGTCCATCTACTACGAGTGGGTGTCAGTTAAAGACGATCTACGAGCGTCCCGGTGTTTTCCACATTGTTTAGAGTTCCATGTTCTTTGGTTGGAGAGCAGTTCGCAATGTTTCAGTTCCATTGGTGCGTGCTCCTTTGCACATTTTCCAACTGTACGTCCACTTGTAGTTCCCACCTACCACCCACTGTAGCTTTCATTGAGATCGGCTGGACAAGGGGCTTGGATGACTAGTCTGACTAGCGTACATGGAGTTTCTTAACATGTAATTGCGGTTGAAGGGCATGTTGGACCGGTGGTCCTGCGGCAAAACAACCCTCAAGAGTTATGTGACACAATACAAATATCATCCCGTCGCGTCCGAGGCAGGCAAGGAAAAGGCACGTTACGGCATTGAAGACAGTTTCGCTGCTCAATTTGTCTGAGGTATACATCTTTTTCGTTGAATCGTGGTGGATGAATGATAGGAATGGGGCAACTTAGAATTTACGAAGTGGCATCGTTCATGCTATTTCCAGGATCACAGTGGGGACAAGACACGTAACCCGCTTAATGTATGACGAATCAGGGCAACTATATAATGGGATCTTCCGGTGCTTCTATGTAGCATTCCTACAAGCTGTGAAACCTAGCGGCATGACTTTGAGCCATCAACGTCCTGTAATCGAGTAAGGATCCATATCCTGCTGTTGCTTTTCTATGTGCCGATACCCGTAGCGAGGGTATTCACAGCGAACATTTGAATCATTCCTCGCAGACCGAGAAATATGGGGCAAGAAAGTTCGAATGCTGGCAAATGGTACATTCTTTGCTCACTGCGAACATCCAGTCCAAAGATTCAATGTGACACTTGGTTGGTGCCATTGAGTACCGCTCATGACAAGAACATTTCCCCGATTACTTCAATCGCAGTGCAGGTCTAGGATCACTTCTGCTCAAAGAGGTTCTCGTTTACATGTCTGAGGTTCACTCTAGTCGTTCAAAGGTAGAAGTCATGCCAACCCGTGGCGTAGCGAGTCGTATGTCCTATGGTCTTGAGAACAAACATGGGATCAGACTATCCTGATCTTGTCGTTGTTCTGGGAGGTGATACCTTTGAAGAAAGACTTCATGATTTACTTGCTTGATATTACCTTGTTACCGGAGACACAAGTTCGTGTCGGTTCGCATAGTGAGCTGAAGGATGAAGCAACGGGTTTCGGTATCTTTCTCAGTGTTAAGGCGGACAACACTGAATCCGCAGCACGGGCAACCAGGCTCCTCCACTCAGCACTCAACCTGTCTGTGCTTTCGACACCCTTCACTACCCGCAACATGTGTACGTGTCATGATCTCCGGTATCAATGCATGGGTCTGCGGGTGCGACGCGCCAGAAAAGATTGATTGAAATGGTGAGGCTTAGTATGGAGCCAATGTAGCCAGCAGCAGCAGTGTCATGCCTTAAACCAAATACAATAAAGACCAGCACAGCATGGGATACTGGCAGTAGTCAGGTGGTGACATGAAACTAGTGGTTGCTGTTCCGTTCTTCTTGATCCACCCGGCATGTGGTACGCCTTTGCGAAAGATTATGTTCCGGACAAGACAAACGACAGGTTTTCCGGAGGTACAGCAAAGTCGCATACCTGAGTTCCGTTGCCAGGTAGTGAGTCGGCGATTCGGTCAAGGGTATTGCAATTCACTTGGGTTTGAGCCGTCCCTACCAGTGGCCGAATCAGCTAATCAGCTAAGTCTTAAAGTTTTGACGGGCTTGATTTTTTGGTCGCTTTCATATCGGTATTGTCGTTCACAACCAGGACCACATGTTTGTTACCCCATTGTCCTACCCCATTGTCCTATTCGCAGAACTGTCCTTAGTGGGCAATTCGTTACCGAATCTTAGCCTCTGTTCCTCCATCAAGATTTCCATCTCCACCATTCAGATTCCTTGAGTAACTATCTGTTGGAGTCATATGCCATACAGAAAAATGATTTCTCAACTGAACTCAGATTCATCCGCAACGTCTTGCTATAACTACAAGTCCAGAGAGATGTGTGTGAAATGCTGCACTGAGATCGTGTACAACGCGCGCCACTTCAACTCCAAGGTTGCGTATGGATTTTCAACGACATCACCAGAAAAATCGGCTGTTTCACTAAGAGTCTGACCAGTATGACCTAGGGACGCTTTAAGGCAGCTTGTGACAAGCGTCGGTCTACCACTACTCGTCATAGCCGTGAATACGTTGTTGTCGTTTTCAAGATTTGTCGTCAGCGTGTGGCACCATTAAAACTACTTGCTGTACCCGAATTGATGCTTTGGATTGATAGGAGGTCGAAAGCAGAAATTTCTGCTCAATTTGTTGCGGTGAAGAGTACAAGTTGATAATCGCCCTTTCTGGTACAAGCATGTGTCGTACTGTGGGCTTGAAGTACTTTGTCCCCGTCAACTACATCACAAGTCTTACCACCAGTCCAGCCTGTCCCAGAATTTCGCCTTTGCTATTTGTATAGTATCACATCCAGCTCGTGTGCGACATGAACATTCTTCGTTGCATCCGTTCCTTATGTTGTTGATGGCACATCAGCGTCAGCGTGGTTGATCTATTAGAGCGCCATACGCTGCTGACATCAGAAATACCCCTGTTGTGCCTTACATATGTGGCGGTTTCCATTGGCCCAAAGCATCTCATCGCCCTGTCATGTCGGCACGACAGTGATTGGCTACCTCGGACTTCGTGGGGGTTTTCTGATGTTGTCTGGGTGCATTCAGGACGTCAAGATTCTGCTTCGCCAGAGCTTGCGAAAGCTACAACCAATGATGCACGAGCAGAGCCTGGTGGCGTACCCTTGTGCCCTGTTAGGAAAGCTGCCGATGTTTTGTGGTGTTTATCAGATCCAACAGGACTTGAGAATGACTGGCCACTTCTGGGGCCAAGGTTCCAGTTATAGCGAAGTAGCACAGTAGAGACATTGTTAAATGTGTTCGTGGCACTAGGAATATCTGAATGTGAAGCTCCGGCTTCCCGTCAGCTAACAAAACAGCCGGATAGTTTATGAACATCGATAATCTTTGGGGCTGCGGCAGGCATTTCTCAACTCCGCCCCTTCAGGCAACAACTTAAAGCTCTAGCGCTGACTTGGCTGCTCGGTGATCCCTGCAAACAAAAGGCACGCCAAACTCGCAGCGTGCATACCGAGCGAAGTTAGTTACCGAGAAATCCACCTCTTCTAACCAATAGAAACATCGATGAAAGCTTGCGAGGGGATAAGGTACTTGAGCATGCCTAGGTTGGGTGCGGTAGTCATACCTAGACCACTCAGTTCCGATCCTTCGGGCCTTAGAAACAGGAGGGTCAGCACTAAATTCTTACAGGCGCCACCTACAGAAGAGTAGCAATCTGGTTACCAGGCCCGTGTGGATGGCACAACTGGCGGTTACGGACAGATGGGTGGTATATGTGACGAACAACGCCCTTCACCATTTGGCATCAGTAGGATTTCCTATCGTTCTCATCCTCAAGACCGACCTTAGATCTCTCGACTGCTTCCAGGAACCGCTTGGCGCTCACATTAGATCAAGACTAGCCTGCTCCAATTGAGGGAGGGAATCGGAATCATGGCGGGCAATGACACCGCAAAAGCCGGGAGCTTCTTGGCCTTTCTCGTTGGGGACATACAAGAATCGACGTCTTCGTATGTCACCGTGGCGGTACTGATGGGTATCGCGATACTGGTTCATAAATTCTCTTCGCCCGAGATGGACGCACGCGAACCACCGTCGATGAAGCCTCGGATTCCGGTTATCGGACACCTAATTGGGATGATCCGGCACCAGAGCAGCTACTTCAAGACCTTAGAGTAAGTCTGCCTTCTCGGCATCTAGCTAATCTGCAGAAGCGCTGACATCACCGCAGAAACCGCAAGATGGCAGCTGCTACTCTGCCGATATTAAATGGCAAGGTCTACGGCATCTGGGACCCGGTGCTGATTCAATCAGTCTACCGAAACCGGGACTTGTCTTTCGAGCCGTTCGCTGTGGAATTCGCACAGAGGGAACTCGGTTTCAATAACGCGACCCTCAAGATTATCCAGGAAAGCACTCTGGTGCCTGAATTCTTCGATGGCATCCACAAATCCATGACCGCGGACAACCTACACCGGATGAACGCCAACGCGCTTGCCTACGTGTCTAACGCGCTAGACAATGTTTGCAAGGGCTCTGCAGCGTTCGAGGCGACCAACTTCTTTGTGTGGGTGAGAGACTTGATGACGATGGCTACGGCTGAGGCCCTCTACGGCCCCAACAATCCATTGAGAAAGGATGCCAGCTTGATGGAGGATACATGGTAAGTATTCCTCAACACGGCGCCTTTTGGAACGTAGCCTCATACATGCTGTAGGATCTTCGAAGCAGATCTGCCAATTTTGATGCTCGGAGTTGCGCCGTCCATCACAGCGAGAAGATGCTACAACGCGAGACAACGGCTCCAAGCGGCCTTGTCCGATTATTACGGCAACGACAGAGATTACCACGAGGATGCGTCCCAAATCGTCAAGAACCGCGCCGCGGCCCTGCGGAACCATGGTATATCTGGCGAACAGGTTGGTATTTTTGAGCTTGCCCTGCTCCATGTCGCGACATCCAACACGATCCCTACCTTGTTCTGGTTCATGGCATACGTATTCAGTCAACCTGAGCTAGTGGCCCGCTTGAGAGACGAGGTGTTGCCAGTGGCCCAGCGCAGCGGCAACGGCGAAGTCACTATTGACATCGGGACGGTCGACGAACGGTGCCCGCTGCTCGTCAGCTGCTACCGCGAAGCCATCCGAATGTCAAACCAGGGCATGGGCAACCGGAGGGTGATGGAAGACACAACCATTTCAGATGGCAAGGGGCGGACGTATCTCTTGAAGAAGGGGTGCAACGTGCAAATGTCGGCGCAGGTCACCCATCGCTTGGAGCAGTCCTGGGGCCCGGATAGCGCGAGTTTTGTGCCGGACAGGTTTGTGGTGAAGAGCGGCAAGGAGAACGCGGAATCGGAAAAGATGAAGAGAGCCTCGTTCATTGCGTTTGGCGGTGGGAGGCACCTGTGTCCGGGGCGTAACTTTGCATTTGCAGAGAATTTGGGGTTCGTAGCGTCGTTGCTGGCAGGATTCGATGTTTCGCCCCTGGACGAAAACATGAAGGAGACGCACAGCGTTCCTATACCAGCAACCTGCTCAATGACAGGTGCCGTTGTGAAGCCTGCGGACAATGGCGCGGGATACGGGGTTCGAGTCCGGAGGCGAGAAGGGTGGGAAAATGTGAAGTGGCGGTATATTAGCTAAAGAGTTTTGTAGAGAAACTCATCTTCTTGCTGTAATAAAGGTGGACAGACAATAAGCATGCGTTCGAATCCATCAGAATTGAAGTTCCAAGGCACTGCAGCCCCCGGGTTGGCGGAATGATGCTGTGCTGCATTATCCATCGATGATTCCATCGATGATGTCCAGTAAACAAGCACAGGTGACTGCTCAGACGCAACAGACTCGGCGGGAGCCACTTTCAGCTGGTCGCCACAGGTTCATGTTCGAAAACCTGGATTGTTGGAGCGCCTGCGTGGCACAACATTGATGAACCGAAGCTAGCTCCCGTGGAGATTGGGTATGACGATAGGAGACCAAGCTTGGAGGCGAGACTGGGGTGGGGATGGAGCATTTGGAGCTGAGCTGCACTAAAACTTGCCAAGTCTGGAGCTGGAGCTGCAGCTCCAGCGGAGGTTTGGAGCTCAGCCACAGCACGTGACAGCTACTCCGTCGACGTCATAGGGACGAAGTGCTACTGTCAGAAGCTCTCGGCTGGCAACGATGCCAATGCCTACTTGATTTCGTGAAGCCTTGCTGCGGTTCTTAATAACTATTTCTCAGATACTGGAAATGTCCGTCTGACTCGACGAAATCCTGAAACAACCATACGACCCAGCTGCAGCAATCAATCTCGAAATGAGCTACGCGTTCCGTCGCGTATGCCTGCAATTGCCTACCAGCTTCAGCCCCAAGCATGGTCCTCTGCGTCAAGCTTTCCGCCCAGCCGGACTCGGCATTGGCACCCAGGCCCCGGGGACAGGACGCACGTTCCGTCTCTCTGCAAATCTGCGGGACGATATCGATGATGCCAAGGCCAAGAAGGCGAGCCAACATGACATGTACAAGGAGGAGGAAAAGGAGAAGTTCGAGCGGGACGAGCTGATCGCCCTGAGGAAACAAGAGGAGAGGCCATGGCACCGTGCTGGTGACGAGGTCGAGCAGCGAGAATCGTCCAAAGATCCTACCAACGGTGACAAGACACGAGGTACGACTCTCCTGCGCTGTGGAAAGCCCAAGCGCATCCGCTTGAACCTGGTACTTACTTTGCTTCAGGACGGCTACTCACGACACCGACGCGGTTGTTGAAGCTCATCCTGCCGCTACCTTTTCACGCAGAGCAATCACGGATCACACAGACACCCAAGAAAAATGACGAAAGGGACGAGATTGCACCCCTTGCTCTTCTTGTCCACCCTCAACAGCCGCTATCCTACCTCGAACGGCTGCTTCAAGCCGAAATCCCACCCATTGATGATGGTCGCCGAGAACGGATTCCGAAGATATACTTCCGAGCAGAGGCGGACCACCAGGAGGCCAAGCCAGACAAGCGAGCATCGCAGGAGCAGGAGGGCAACGTAGCCTCATACTCTGGCCTCGGCCACGAGGGCCCCAAGAAGGACCGTGACGACACGAATTGGGTGCGATGGAGCAGCAGCACCGAGGTTGGCGACTTCATCAGGGACGCCGCTCGCGGACGGGAGTTCTCGATCGGAATCGAAGGGTACAACCAGGAGCTGCGCGTCGCGGTGCCGAGTTTCAATGACAGAACATACTATATGCGCATCCGGCTACGCAGGATGTCTCGCCGTGTTGAGGAGTTGGCCAAAATCAAACAAGAATGCGACTACCTTGCGCATCGTGGAGCTCATCGTCTCGCACAGGGTGGGTTTGCCCTGCTGTCCGGCTGGTGGGGAGTGGTGTATTATGTCACCTTCCACACCGACTTTGGCTGGGACCTCGTCGAGCCGGTGACGTACCTCGCCGGACTGACCACCATCATGGGTGGTTATCTCTGGTTCCTGTACATCAGCAAGGATCTCAGCTACAAGGCGGCGCTGAACATTACCGTCTCCAAACGGCAGCAGGCGCTGTATCAGGAGCGAGGATTCGATCCTGCGGGGTGGGAGGCACTTGTTCACGAAGCCAACTCGCTGCGCCGCGAGATTAGGTTCGTGGCGACCGAGTACGACGTCGACTGGGACGAGACCAGGGACCTCGGCGGCGAAGAGGTCCAGGAAGTGCTCGACAAAGAGAAGAAGGGCTCAAGACGCAGACACGACGAAGAGGATGAAGCCGACGAGGATGAACGCGTACAACACAAGCGCAAGGACGACAAGAAGGCGTCCAAGCAGTCGGAAGAAAGCGGTGAGAGCAAGAAGGCATCATAGCGCATCGTTGCGTCTGTCTCTTAGCGCGGTAATTTGTACATCATACTCCCTACGTTCTGGGCATCATAGAAACGCGCATACCCTGGAGGAAACATAGCGAAAGAGCGTTCAATTTTAACGTCATGATTCTGCGATTGACCCAGACCTACACAACATACGATCTTAGACTGTCGCGTGCCCAATTCCCAAACCGCAATCTGAAGAGGATCAGGAGACAAGGTCGCTGTGGAAGTGACATGACTAGAGGGCGAACCGCGGGAAACCAGATCGGCGGGTGTTTTAGGAGAGATTCATCCAGGTTGAAATTCACTAGTCACTAATACCTAGCCTAGATGGCCGCGGCCAAGGCTCGGTGTGTGCCGGTGACATGCACCGATGTGGGCCGGGTCGGCTTCACCGGCAAGCTCCGCTTTCAACCGCTGCCACCCACAAGCCATGTTCCCAGCAAGGGAAGGGAGCTCTGGCCCATGTGCACGCCCACTACCACCCCGCCGCCAACGCCAACGGGAGAGCTTCACCCCACTTGGTTAACGCATCATCAATGCCACCACCCAACCAACAGGTCCCTGTTTGTCAGAATCTCGCTACCTCGCATATGGCGCGTCACTGAATGGCTGCTTGTTCGTTCCAGAAGGGGCTCTAGAAGCTGTCCCCAGATCCGACGAGACCTCTGCATCGACCCGAGGCGCATCTCGACGTCGTCCAACGCCCAGGTACTTAAGACGGACTGCTCGATATCACTCTGAGAGAGCTGGTCTACCCCGCTATCCTCGTCTTCCAGGCCTTACCCCCGAGCAGTCGCGAACCATACCCGGATTGGACATTACCTCCTATCCGTCTCGTCTCTTGCCCTACCACCTCGTGCCCTTGGTACCCTCCTATCCCCCCCCCCCCTTCACCAGCAGTTAGAGATTGGGCTAGAGGCCGCTGCGGCAGATCCACAGCGATGCCTCCGCAAATTATCCACCTGCCGGACGGGCAAAAGTTTACAGTCACACCTGTCTTCGCAGGCCTCTTCTTCAAGTCGCACGAGCTGAACACGCATAAGAACCCCTTCCCCATCGGTTGGACTATTGTTCTCAACACCGAGGATAACGAAGCCGAGTTCAACCATGTCGATGGCGACCAGAGCGAGGAGGAGCGCGCCCAGGCGCGCCGGCGTCACGTACACAGCTTCAAGCAGCCTACCCTACAGAACGACAACCTCTTCATATCGTCGATATCGCAACCCTCGAGCGCCGAATTCAAGCCCGCCGCTAGCCCAACCCGCCAGATCGCCATGATGCTCTGGGTCACGCTCTACTGGTATTTCCACCAGCCCCAGCCGTCACCCTACCTTACGACCGACGCATCCAGATTCACACCCGAGGAAGCACGACCGAAGGGCGAGTGGCGCATCAACATCAGGCGTGATGGTGTGTTGCGCGGCAGGAATCTGATACCGAAGCTAGAACGCATGGGTTTGATTGCTTCGCTGGACTCTGCAGTTGGAACAAACCTTGAGGACAATGGCGAAGAATGGTCGCAGATGTTTGTTTCGCGTCGTATGTTCTGGCAGATACCGGGACGGCTGTTCTTGTTTACACTGCAGCGCACAAGTACCGCATCATCCTATCCCGAGTCTCCGGCTGGCAGCCGCCCGACTTCACCAGCTCGTACCGAGTCAATCCATTCGAAGCATCCCACGCCCATCCACTCCCCGCACCAGTCAACAGGGAGTCGTGTCGATATCGACGTGCCGGGAGGGCCACCGCCGATGTCCATGGTCACCACTCCAAACTTCCCAATCGGCCCATTCTACTCAAGCTCCCATCTCCCGACGTACTACCCGCCGGCACCGTTGATGTATACCGTTACGAACGGCGTCCGGCATCCCATACGCCGGAAGCCAGGTCGGATGGGCGAAGTCTTCTACTCCCGGTTCGTGCCAAGCGTGGGACAGTATCTGTCCTTCCGGGTCGCGTCTCTTGCACCGGAAGCAGTTCCTTACCTCGGCCCCGTTGGCCCGAAGCCCGCCGAGAACAGCCATCTCACGACGCTCTCCGATACGGCTCTCCTACAGTCATGGATGTCGAACCCGCGCGTCCAAAAGTTTTGGGGAGACTATACGCCGGACTTTTTGAGCAAAGTTCTTAGCTTGAAGCACTCTTTCCCGGTCATTGGTATGTGGGACGGGGTGCCGTTTGGGTACTTCGAGATTTACTGGGTCAAGGAGGACATACTCGGCCAAAAGCTGGGCAGCGACGCCGGGGACTACGACCGCGGCATCCACGTCTTTGTTGGTGAAGAGTGGGCCCGCGGCCGCGTGCCGGCGTGGCTGTCCAGCCTAGTGCACTGGTGTCTTACGGATGACTACCGTACGATGCACGTTTGCTTGGAGCCACGGATAGACAACGCGAGGTGACCAGTTCCCCGGACAACTCACTGATGAACGACATGCTAACAGGGCAGCCACAGATTCCTTGAGCATTTGCAAAAAGCCGGCTTTGCCAAGGAGCGAGAGGTTGCGTTCCCCCACAAGCAGTCTTACCTGATGAAGCTGAACAGAGACGCGTGGGAGGGGCCGGGTTTGTGATGGGGATGAGGATGAGTGGTAATGCAAAAAATGACTTGAATGCGGTGCACAATTGACAACAGGGAGTTGGCGTTGACATTGGTTGGGCGAGAAGCATCGTGGCATAGAGCAGAGACTGGTGTGGACGGTGCTGTTGGCTTATACATCCGTGGTGATACACGCGACAGGAGATACCCGATTTCCACCTTGCCCTGAGGCTATTTAACAGAAAAGAAAATGTAGCATTGCCCTCTAGCGTTGCAGGGTTGCAGTTTCTACAATTCAACGGTGACTGATCGACGCTGACTCGGGAACTGGTCTCACCATCTACTACGTAAACGACCACTTTACGCGACGACGTCACAGCACGGTCCAAAGTCGCGTGGTCTGAACAGGGGCTCCCAGCGCGGAAGCTTCTGCGGGTCGGCGCCAATGCCGTCGGCTTATCTCATCGGCCCATTGGCCCAGCGGCAACCCAGGGCTTATCGCTCCACTGAGACACGGTTATCTTGTGACCGATGTCCGACACCCCGAAACCATCAGACGGACGGGCCACGCCCCAAACCTAAACCACCAAACAACTCTACTCGCCGTGACGAGATAAGACGCATCTGTCCGCACTTGTCTCCTCGATGCCTTCTTCCTCCCGGAGTCGAGAACCGCGCTGCAGTGGACTATGACCGGCCGATCGCCTTCGTCCTCCGGTTTCCTCCCCATGCCTGGATCGCCGTCATCGTCGTGGGCGCTGTACCGCGCCCGCCTCTCCGCGCTCTTTCGACATGCTGATACGCAGGTCGTCGTGGCCTTTTGGCTGCTCGGTACGCCTTGCGCCTCTTTCCGCCGGTGTTCGAGCCATGTACTAACGTGACCCGCACCAGGCCTCATCAACAACGTTCTCTACGTGATCATCCTCTCCGCCGCCCAGGACCTCGTCGGCTCGTCGGTCCCGAAAGGCGTCGTTCTCCTCGCCGACGTCCTCCCTTCCTTCTTCACGAAGCTCATCGCCCCCTACTACATCCACCGTGTACCCTACTCCCTCCGCGTGATGGTGCTCATCGGCCTCTCGTGCTCTGGCATGCTCCTCGTCGCCCTCACGCCTCCCAGCAAGTCCGTCGCTGTGAAGATGGTCGGCGTCGTCATCGCCAGTCTCAGCTCTGGCCTCGGCGAGCTCAGCTTCCTCGGGCTGACGCACTACTATGGGCCCATAAGTCTCGCGGGCTGGGGCAGCGGCACGGGGGCGGCGGGGCTGGTCGGCGCCGGGCTGTACGTCGTGCTGACGGACTGGTGGGGATTCAGTGTGCGCAACAGCCTGCTCTTTTCGGCGTGCCTGCCGTCCATCATGTTCGTCAGCTTCTTCGTCGTGCTGCCCATGGGCCCGCTGCGCGCGGGAAGCAAGGAATACACGACGGTGCCGGAGCGAGACCTGGAAGAGGACGACATCACGGAGCTGCCACAGAACGCCGCCTCCTCGGCGCTGCTCGCGCCGGGCCCGTCGACCACGTCGACGGCGTACTCGGTGCATCACCCGGACGAGCACAGCTTCAAGCGCAACATCAAGAGGGCGAGGGCGCTCTTCGTCCCGTACATGCTGCCGCTGCTGCTGGTGTACATCGCCGAGTATACAATCAACCAGGGGGTGGCGCCGACGCTGCTGTTCCCGCTGGGGTCGTCGCCGTTCAAGGAGTTCCGCGAGTTCTACCCGATGTACGGGTTCCTGTACCAGCTGGGGGTCTTCATCTCGCGGTCGTCGACGCCATTCTTCCGCATCCACCATCTGTACCTGCCGTCGCTGCTCCAGGTGGGGAACCTCATGCTGCTGACGGCGCACGCCATGCTCGACTTCATCCCGTCGGTGTACATTGTCTTCATCGTCATCTTCTGGGAGGGGCTGCTGGGCGGCGCCGTTTACGTCAACACGTTTGCGGAGATTATGGAGACGGTGCCGAGCGAGGACAGGGAGTTCAGCCTCAGCGCGACGAGCGTCAGCGACAGCGCTGGCGTCTGCATCGCCGGATTCCTGGGCATTTTCATGGAGGTGCAGCTGTGCAATTGGCAGGTGGCGCGGGGGCGGGATTGGTGCCGCAAGATCAAAATAGGATAGAGATGAATACCAAGTAGCACGTTTTCCCTCCGCTTGGCACGTTATGGTGTGACTGGTGAGAGTTCTGGTGCCTCGCTTGCGGGTGTTGACGATGCTCAGCGGAGCCCTCAGACGAGGTTTGGCCCGCTTCCTACCAAGACAGTGACAATGCCTGGATGCACGTCAGAAACAAGACGGATAGAAGGCCCCCCCCCACCCACATGAACGAACCAAGGGTGCGAGGAAGAATGAGCCGAGCCGAGCAGGTGTGGACCCGCGGATGCGGGTTCTACGTATGCAGGTCTCTGGCGGCATCCCAAGAGGCAACAGCAGGGCCATGAAGAACAGAATGGGGATGTTCGACGTCAGACGTTGTGCGACCGGCCCAAGACCAGACCCGGCAAGAAAGGGACGGCAGAGCGTGCGATGATGTCTCAAGGTTCCACATAATTGGCAACGGGCGGATCCGAGGCCTTCTGGCATGATTGTCTGTGTGATCTCTATGTCTCTATACAGCGGCTCGGCTCAGAAACAGCTGACACAACACGCGACCTCGACGGTCCCCCTTTCCCCCCGTCCTGATCGATTCGATAACGCAAGCGAGCCATTTGTACGTTTCCAATAATCGAAGAGTGCAAGGCCGTCGGACGTGCTTGGGCGGTCGAACGAGATTTTTACCATCCAATGGACTCTGCATGTGTTTTTAACTAGTAGTAAAGGCGCCAGGGAGGGACCCAGCGGACCAGCGCAAACGGGTTCGAGATCAAGCCAGTAGCGGCATCCAACGTTTCCAATGGCGCCGCTGCATTGACCGCCGGGCGGCCTTGAGCTGTTCCCAAGCTGCAGAGCCTGACGGTCCAAGACGGAAGTATTCCGGTGTCTCTGCAGCGCTTATTTTTCTTATTTTTCTTTTATTTTTTTACTCGACCTGTCCAAGGTGCACATGCAGCGATTCAGCGGTCAGCGCCGCGACGGGTCGACGACGACATGGTCCCAACCCGACAAATTTTCATTGCCTCATTCTTGCACGTTTTTTTTTTTCTCTTCCCGTTTTTTGGCATCGATCTGGTCTAGCCTGGCGCTGGACTACGTAGGGGAGGCGAGCAACCCCGTCGTCCTTGACTCATTCGTTAGGTTACGTCTTGTTCTGAGGATTGGTTTGTGCTTGCTGTTCCGTTTTATATTCGCCCAGATCTCAATTGAGAAATTTCTATCCCTTTGCTCGAGCCATCGGGCCACTCTTACATGTATTTCACTTCACGGTATCTCTGCCTTCACTGCGCCTGCACTTGATTGCATCTGGGGATTCACGTCCACCTGCCCAGTTGTTTTAGATCAACCCGCGTCGTCGCTTCCCCTGCCCCTTTCTGCCCCTGCTCGGCTCCTTCCTGCACCATCGCCCTCGTCTCAATTGATTGCCTTTTTCGGCTCTGATAAGAAGGGAAAGAGTGATACCACCGCTGCCTCTTCTCCCTCCCCTCTTGAATCCTCCATCTATTTTGCCCACCTCTGCTCGCCTGTTGTTCTTCTCGGTACAATACCAACCACTGGCTTTCTTTAATCTCTTTTGGCATTTATTCCACGAACTTGACGCAGTCTTCTGCCACTATACAACACAATCGACCGCCGTCTGGCAAGAAGATAACCTCAATTTGCACATCACTACCATGCCTCCTCTATCAGAATCAGACCACGATCCCCTCCATGCGGAACTGGCTTCCCTGGATCTCACCGACTGTACGCTCTCACCAGTATTCCACTATTTTTCCTCGCTGCCACCGGAGCTCCGCACCAGGATATGGCGCCTTGCGGCTCCCAAACCCACCGTCGTCGTGCGCATCATGAACAACACGACCATGGAGTATGGCCTACGCCGTCATGTGCCCTCTCTCCTGCAAGTGTGTCGCGAGTCCCGCGCCGAGCTTCTGTACGACGCCGATGACCGCCGCGGCTCTCGAGTCGGCCAGTTTCACCTACTACATCTCTCCCGTGAGCACAAGGAGCAGGGGAAGGGCGTGTACATGAACTACAGCGACGATACGCTGATGATCTACCGAGGTGAGTCTCAGCCCCATCTCCCCTCTGTTCATTGACCACGCAAACTGACAAGCCCTTCAGCACCGCAACAAGCAATCATGCCGGACGCCGTCAACTTCTCCAACCTCCAGCATCTCGCCATGGAATGGGGCCTGCGCCCCTGCTGGGTCCAGAACCATTGCCACACCGGTGTGCGCTTCGTGCGCCAGTTCCCGCGCCTCAGGACTCTGACCCTCCTTGTCAACTTCAAGATCTACCACGAGCCGCCACTGGGCGAGTCGAGCAGCAAGCACCGCGAGCAGACGCAGAAGCGCCGCGCACTGTGGGAGATCAAGACCTGGGTGCTCGAAGCCATCGCACAGGACTGCACGCGCAGGACCCCCAACGGGGACGCGGACGTCGAGGCCTGGACGCCGCCCGAGGTGCGCGTCGTGCCAAAGACGAAGTACTGGACGGCGTCTCCGGCGGCGCTAGAGTAGGACTCCTTCCCGCTACCGCCCGTCCGGAAGACGCCCGTTACAGCGCTGATGATTGTGGGGAGGAGGTGGGCGGGGGTTCCGAAGAGGGATACCTACTGTTATGGCTACCTCTACGAGATTGACCCGTATGGTCGTCAGTGACGCCGGTGGCTCTGGTGTGCTGTCTCGTGACTACAGGACAGGAGACAAAGACACGGGGTGAGGATGCATGCAACAACAACAATCTGCAGGACGCTGAGAAAACGAAAAGCGATCTTGATGCGGGACATGGGCGACGCTAAGAATCACGGGGGAAATTTGGTCTTTTTTTTCTTTCTCTTAAATTCTTGCTTGGTTCTTTGTTTTCTGCTATTCTCACGCATCATGGCATGGTAATAGAATAGGGGCATTGCGGATTCGGGCATTTGCATTTGCATTTCAGGAACAACACGCAACAGGGGCGTACTTTGATACCAAGGGATAGACGGAACGGAACAGCGCCTCTCAGTTATAATATAGCGGACAAGGAATTCATTGCTCTACTGGCTCACTCCACAAAGAGATTGGTTGGCCTGCGTTTGTCGAGAATGAGCAAAGGAGTCGTGGGAACCGGTGAGCCTTGAGCGCGATGCGATGCCGTTGCTGCACTCGGTGGGGCTCAGGGGCAGGTGCAGAGGTAGGGGCGAGATGTGACCCCCACACGCCGAGCAATAACCCTCTGGCACATTTAACCTATAGTAAGTGCATGCAAAGGACTCGTTATATGAGGGTCGTCTCATGCGGTTTGTTCCTTTTATTCATTTCATTTGTTTATTCATAAACGTCGCTCGTTCGAGGTCTGGTTCGATTTACGAGCCATGTCATCTCCGAGGTTCGTGTTTGGTAAGCGCCGGCCTCGGCCGGGGCCGATATCCCTGCGGGCGAAGACTCGGGAATACGACCATGGGTCGGATAAGCTCGGTCGAGCCTGTTCCCGTTATGGGCGATTGGGACTTTTCCATTCAATGCGGGTTCATAGACAGAGGCGGTGCGGTCGTCAGTCTGCGCGTCTCTTGGGCATGTGTTGCTGTTGTGACTTGCAGGACGAGGTATGCGGCGCCCCCGTCTTGTTCTGGGGGCTTGGACTTACACCGTCAGCCGTTGTCTGCTCACGCGAGGCTGGGCCGGTTCAAACTCCGGTCTACCATCGACGGTATCTGGTTATGTCAACAGGTAAACACCAGGAGAGCAGAGAGTAGATGCAAAAGTTGACATGTCTCGGCGCTTGCGATGCACACCTCGAGGATCTCGATAAGTGATGTGAGGTGAGGTGCCTCGGCTTGAGCTGTTCCTCGGGCTTTGAAATCGGGCAAAGGCAGCCTCGCAGGCTTCTAGAACATTGCGCAGAACTTTTTGGCAGTTCTCCTAACAAGCACTGTCAGTTGATTGGAGAAATGGCAACAGCAGTGACATTTTTGGGGAACTCCTTGGACCGGGGGCAGGAAAGGGAGCGCAGCTGTGGTCGGTGATGCACCTATGACGCAGTCCCCAGAGCCTCGGATCGTCTTGGTGTCGTCACCACCAATCAAGGTCCGACCTCACCTCAACCTCAACCTCGTCCAATGCTGCTACTTGGATTGTCGATACAGAACCAATTCCACAAGACTTCATTTTGGAGAATATAAACGAGTGACAGAATCTCGCGCCGACCTTAGAACCAGTCCGAGTCTCTGCCACACCTGCGCCTGAAGGGTTCATACAACCACGACACACACATCCAAATCAGATGGCTTCCCCGAGATCTCTCGCCATCCGCCGCGTCGCCCTGGCGCGCCCCCTCCCCAGAGCCACCGCGCCTCTCGCGGTGCAACAGGTGAGGTGGATCACGCAGAAGCCTGGAGACGGCGACCTCGGCGGTCCGGGCGGACAGGAACCCGTGCCGTCGAGCAGCGGACCCTCGCAGAGCTGGTGAGTTGGAACCTGAAGGCGTTCCCAGGCCATGTTTGAGACAACATTGCTTCCACTGCATTTTTCTGCGACTGTGCTGACTGCGGACAGGCCGACGTTGGCGGCGATTGGGGCCGTGGGGCTGGCCGTGGGAGGATACCTCGTCCACTTGACCGGCAAGTCCAAGGGGCAGGGGACGACGATGGAGAAGGGGGAGTTTGACAAGCTGGCTGCGAGGGTTACGCCGAGACAGTAAGCGCTCAGGCTGTGGTTCTTGTGAGGGGAACGGATTGGAGGTCGACTCGAACTTCGCACAAAGGGACTGAGAGGAATGGAATTTACAAGGGTTTGTAGCACAGGTCCAGACACCATCGACATTCATCAATCATGAAATAATTACCTCTCGCCTATCAAGAGGGCTTACTTCAGAAACTGGCCGAAGCAAGTGCGTCGAGGAACCGACTCATACAACATGAAGGATGATAACTCGGTTGCTGACTTGCTGGACTCAAGAGTCTGGGCGTTGGGTTTGTGGGCTTGTAACATCGACATCGGCTAATTTCTAATGAAAAATGTTATTGTAGAATGACACCACTGCAAACAGTAACTGGTCAGCTGTCACAAGGATTGTATAAAACCGTACGGCTGGCTTCAAGAAATCCGGTCGTTATTTGTGCCTCGATGATTGTGTCTTTAAAGAAAGTGAGATGCTAACTAATACCGCCAATACATGCGTCTTATACTGGATATCCCAGCGGCCGCAAAACCGCGTAGATTTCTTCTACCGTCGCTGGCCGTGGCTTAACTTCCCCCGCTTCATCCACAGTCAATGCGCAATCACTGTTCTCCTTGGCATCTTCTTGCCAATACTGCAGCCGAGACTTGCCTTTAAATGCGTAGACCTCTCCTCCGAGCCTCCTAAGGAAAATCGCTTCAGGGTGACTTTCCGGGTCGGCATACCAAGTGAGATAGATCGATGGAATCCATATGGGGGACGGAAGGACATTTCCAGACTTGTCCCACCAAAGTGGCATGCACTTTTCTCGAACATGATTTTTCCTTCTCCACCAGCAATGTTGTCGTGCTGGCCAGGGTATAGCATCGCCCACAAACATCTCCTCGAGAAGCTGCCAGATGCGGCGGCGGTTGTGCAGCCCAGCAGGAACATGTGCGAGGTCCGTATGGGATCCAGTGCAGACCATGTGCCAGGTCAGCGGCGAATCGAACCACGCGGGATAGGGATACACGTCTTTGGGACAGTCTGGACGAACCCCGTAGTCGACTCCACGGCTGAGCTGACGGGCCAGCAACTCCCAGTCCCACTCGAAGCCAGGCCCTCCTGGGCAAAGTTCAGCGTCTTTGGCATCGACAAGAGCGGTATTAATATCCCACAGCCACGGGAGAAGCCCGACCCCTCGACAAGCTGCTTTGAGATGTTCCTTCCAGATCTTCTGCGAGACCAGGCGCGAAGAGAGTCGAGGTAAATCTCGTCCCATATATTCGAAAATAGTCTCCATGATCTCTGTCGGCATCCTAGCCAGGTTCTTAGCGAGCTTGTCTGCCTCGGCTGTGAGTGCCACTTGAGATCGGCATGGCTGAAGGTTTCTCAGCAGAGAGTTTGTTAAATCTTCAACCTCCAATGGATTGCTGCCCAGAGACTACTATCGTCAGTACTCATAAAAAGATGTCATGACGGCTGAGCCTTACATGGAACAGGTTAGCTCTCGGAGACGTGTAAGGTCCAGACCAATCCATGCCGTCGTAAATGCAGTCGCATTGGGGCACATAATAGCCGTGATTCGCGAGCATATAGTTGACTTGCGGCTGACAGTCCCACAAACCTCCAGACTTGTAACAGATACCTTGTCTCCAACGCAGGGCCAGGAACAGACCACGCATATCTCGAACGTGGGCGACACGAGAAGACTCAAAGACCTTTCCAGCTAATTCCAGGCAAACGGAGTGAACAACAGCATGTACCCGGTCGTCAGAGTCAGTAGAGTTGTTATAGTCCATTTCGACTCTGAACTTGCTGCCGTCGGGATCGATTCTAATGAACTTGGGGCCCTCAACAGTCTCGGGAAAGTGTATCTCGATATCGGAAGCTTGGGACTTTGTTCGATGTTTCCGGACCACGTCTGCTTCTGGAACCTCTTCCGTTCCAAACACGAACGGTTCGTTCATATAATCATACTGGAAAGAGGGGACAAGCTGGCCGAACTCATCGTCTGGGTCGCAGAGTAAGCGCGCATCTAGAAGCCACCTCGACAGTTCTTTTAGATCCTCATCGTTTCTAATGGTTGCTGGGTACTCCCCGCCACCATCTCTGAGGTCTTCAAGCAGCCCAGAACTCATGTTGTTGCTTGTAACCTCCATTCCACAAATCTGGCATGTGTAGTCATTGTAGTTCCTCATGACTCCGACCTGGAGAGAAGATTCGTATGAGTGTGCGGCACAGATGTGCAGGCGGAAAGCAACGGCCTCAATTGGTCCATTTTGCGACTTGAATGATGGCTGCGTAATGTCAAAGTCTGGCTGAGAAAAATCGACGTGTAACTCGTCGCGAAACCTCTGCCGTCACCCCGGGTGCAACTTAAACTTCAGCTAGTTGAAGTAGCAAGCTGTGAGTCATAAGTCAAACCATAACAAGGACGAAGTAGTGATTATCCTCTGGGTTGTTGGAATCTTCGAAGAGGCACAGCCAGCAACTTTCTCCACATGGGCGTGGATATGATTCGTGGGCTCTTCTTTCCAGAGAGACAGACCGACTGAACACCGAAGGCGTCTAAAATGGCCCCCTAGTTGGAGTCAGCCCGGACAGGGCAAGCCCAGGGAAGGGGCTGGGGGCGTAAAGTGAGAGCCAAACACAGCTCGTGCCCCCAAGCTGCATGTTGGAACACAGCAATGCCCACATATGTACCGTCAGGTAGCAGCTGCTTAGAAGCCGCTTCAGATCTCTGGTACAAACCAGAACGCCCCCAAAACAAGCATAGCACTTGCAGCCTTGGGAGATTGGAATGCATATGAGGCCCCTTTCCAATGGTAATGTGTTAGCCTAGGGTATCATTTATGTTATGGAACACCTAACCCAATTATATACGGTTTCCTACACCATTGGCTATGAGCGAAGCCTGCCTCACAATTATGCAGGCTTCAAATCTCTAGACTTGCTTCTGGGGGCTAGGGTAGTCCTCACCTTCATAGTTTGGTTGGGCCATGAACCACTTGACAATTTATCACAGGATAATGACAGCGAACGAAACCCCCAAACCCCAATGAGAACCAACACTATGGGGGCGATTTTTGGTGATGATCATGCTTGAGCTTCTACGTATTGGTCCTGGGGGAGGCGAAGGACAGAGAGCAGGTAATGGTCCTAATTAGGGTGTAAATGGTGGTCAAGGACTACGATAGATAAGTTCACTAGGAGCTCTCAGGGAAAGGGAACGCTTCTAGGAAATCCATCGTGGTGGAACTCATCTGCTTCATTTGCCAGTCTACTCCATTAAACAACTGTCCCTCGTTTTTTCCTTAACATTCTTCTTTAGTATGTTCTATTCGGACAGCACCCGAATCACAAATAACTGAGAATCCTTGGCCTCACAGTTTGTCTCCACGCTTGCGGCTTGATAAGGAATGTGTTATGTTCCAAACCTATCGTGGAAGGTACGGCAGACGCCAAAACGATTTCTAGTTGTGGGAAAGTTTTCAGAGTACAATCCCGGCCTAAACTTACCTGACCTAGCTGCTACAGACTCTTCAGTCGGCACAAGCATGTCATTTCCAGCGACATATCCGATCTCCATGCCATCCAGAAACCTATCTCGAACTGTTCTAAGGCCGGCGATTAGTCCTAAAACTAGCCTCCCGAAAACCCCCGTTCTCGAGACCTCCAACACCACTCCTCTCATTCCCTCAGATGTAAAGTCGTCAATCAGTGCAGCTTCCACCATTGCCATATCAGGTACTCAGACAACGCCGAGTACAACCCACGTTACACTTCTTCCACCTGTCACGATGATCCTTCAACAGTTGTAGATAGAACCATTAGGTCAGGCTCTCGGGCTGACTCTTCTGGAAACCCACCGATTACCCTCCCTCCACAGACAACCAACTCCCTACCCACATCACAGTAACCACGATGCCACCGGGGTTTTCTGTTCAGACTTTGTCACTCACTGAGTGGACAGCGAACGCCTGGATCACAACCACGGCGTCTGATGGTAGTCAAACCGTCGTTCCGGTTCTGGTAGGGTGCCCTGGATGCGGTGGCTTTGACGGCGGGGGCATTATCCTTTGGAACTTCCCCTCTATTCCGAACGTCTCCTTCAAGATCCCCGGTCTACCAAACCTGCCATATTTCTCTTCCCCATGCATCAAGTTACTTTTCCTCGAGACAAACTGCCCTGGTCCTGTCACAGAAGAAAACGCGGACGATAACAATGACGGAGAAAGGAGCAATCACAGCAACCCCTCCAGCTCTCAAGATGCACCATCCAAGACAGCCGTTTCGACGACATCATCTCCGGTCTGTACAGTCACTCAGACGGCCAGCGACTGTATAGCGACATGTAGCCCCACAACTGTCGGACAATCTTCCACCATCACCTGCTTCACAACTGCATGCCATAGAACAACCACGGGATGCAGTGTCACTGGTACGACAGCAACAACGATAAAACTACCCTGCCCAACAAAGACTGGAACAAGCTTGGAAAGACGTGACACTGGGGACAAATCTTGTCCAATCGTCTGCCCAAGCTGGGACCTCATCGAAAATCCAGACACTTATGCTTCGATATCCGATGACGAGGCTGACGAGGCGGCTTTCCAACGACGACAACTTTCAATCGCCGGACGAGTAACAGTGCCCATAAATGGCAAAAAGCATCCATGTTATTTCACTGAGAATTCCAAACTGATCAACAACATTGGAGGTTGTGACATCCGCACCGCTTGCCACAAGGACAAGAGCTGAAGATCCCAAGGTATATGCCTGGTCCCACATTCCTCGAGTGTGAGAACGCTGGCTTTCCAGATATAGATGATCATAGGAAACAGTCGAATCTTGCCAAGCCGAGATGGTACAGCACAACAACGGTTCCAGCTCCAGCTTGCAGCCCTACGATAGTCAAGGTGGACTCAAATTATATGTATGAGAAGTACGGCGGCCAGGGGCTGGATATTAGTGGCAAAACCGGCCGGTCATCGTTGGACCATGTATGGGAAAAGAGCTGGCTGCGGGAATTCTTGGACACGCTGATCAAAGAGGGTGCAAAGCCGCTTGAGACTTTTGAAGATGAACACGCCGACACAATGACTTGCAACGACTTCAAACGCTACCTGTTCAACGCCCCCACTGACAGCATGGGAGATCGGAATCTGCTTCAAGATGCCTTCGCAGCATTGCCATCACAGACCAACGTGGATTTTATGGGAGTTACGCAAGCTCTCAACTCCGGAGCAAAGGTAAGTGAGGAGACCATATCGGTATTGTTGATTTAGGACTCTTAGTCGACAATCATCTCTACGCCCCTTTCAGAGGGCAAACCATGTGCGAAAACTGATAGACTAATCTAGGGACTTATTTTTGCCGTCGAACCTTTCAAAAACACAGCTTAGAATATGAAGAAGCTGAATGTCAAAGGCCTATTTGACAAGGCGATTGGAAACCTTAGGAAAAAGATCGACTTGCTCTACAGCATTCAAATGGGGGTGAGTTTGGTTAATTTGCCAGAAGCTATACAGATGGCATAGCTGACAAACAGGAGGGTTTACGGTGAGCTGTATGGCTATCCCAGCTTCGAGAAACGATTCGCGAAGTCGAAGTACCGAGTAATGAACGTTAATTATGATTGCAGGCGAAAGCTAGATCGAAGGTTAGCAGTAGCGTACCCGAACGTGAAGCCTTTCACGAAGGCTGGGGGGTTCTTCGCCCCCCTTTTCAAGACTTTCATGGACAAGTACATCGACGATGAAGCCAAAAGTCAGGGGGTAAAACAAGTTGTCTTGCGCCAAGTGCATCTTTTCAAGGACAATATTGAATTGAGTTTCAAAGACATCGCTACAGCCAGGAACTTTGATGGAGCAAACCCCGAGTACCTACTACTCCAGCGCAAATGGGAATGGCTGAAAAGTCGAGGACAGGAGGTTTGGGAAATCAAACTTACTTGGGATTGGCCGAACTGCGACGGAGTCGCACGAAGAGATGGCTCGGATTCAGATGTCTGCGAGCTGCCACCCCGGACATCTACTAACTCGCAAACAACAACTTCTTCAACCACATGGACGCTGTCAATGCCAACCAAAAACCTGGACGTCGACCTACAGCACCTCCCCGTCAGTGAACCCATTCCCGCCGAGCCTAAGTGCTTGAAGGACGAAGACTGTACCAGATGCGGAGAAGGGAAATTTGGAATGTGCATTCCCATTCCGGTTGGGCTTCTTAAGGAATTCCTTTGCTCGTGCTTTCCGAAATCCTTAACCGTACACCCACAGACCACAACGGCTCCTGACAAAAGGACTTCGGCGCCACCTGCTCGATGGACAGTTTATTGCAACAGTGATGCCTTGAGGTTCGAAAAGAAGCAGGCATCTGTGTGGGTCGAAGAGTTTTGTGAGGATGCGCATAAACACGGCTGGGACAACGGTTGGTTCGGCGCCGGCAAGGGTGGCAGGGAAGTCAAGACCAATGGCAAAAAGATCTACAACAAGTTTGACGTAACGATCTCCCCTTTCACTTTCATCATTGAAGTTGCAAAAGCAAAAGAGGAGGAATGAGGAATATATTGTGAGCCCACGGGAGATGGTCCACACCTCGACTCTGCGCTGGATGTGCTCAGGAAGAACCCTTACGTCTGTAAAGAATAGCTAGGCAAGCTGCTGTACTGTAAGTCAACGCGTTCTATTTTTGACCAAACTATTGCTAATAGTCAAAGGCGTATCAAAGGGTTGCGCTCAAGACAAATTTTCAGGCGGAACCCGCCCTGGTTTATGCATGCGATGGACCATCGAGGCGAAAGATCAACGATGAGTTGAAGCTGGACGTCGACGCCAAGTTCCGCCCAAAGGTTTTGCAAACACTGGTTTTCACACGCTCCTATTTCCGATTTGTCGTGAATTTAGATTCTCAGTCGAGACAGCCACTTCTCACAAGACTCGTGTTACTCAGCAACCCATATAAGAGACGACTTCTCGTCTTGTAGATAGTTTCCAAGACAACCACTTTTCTACCTCTTAAAATACAGATCGAGGATTTCACCACACGATCCTTTCGCAATGAAGACGAAGAAGAAGAGCAAGAGGAAACATACCTCCTTCATAAGAAGGCCTCATATCGATCACTGACCCGAATGTGCAAACAAGGACCCTTAGCTCCCTTTGGTGCATGAGCCTAAGACTGGAGACTGTATGCTGGCTTGCTCATGAAAACCAACTACGGTGTGGGAGCATGTCTCAGCATCTCTATCGTCCGACCTGTGCCCTTAACCATAATTCATCGGCAAACGCTATTGTGTCTGGCTCCCATCTCGAGGCTTGACTCATCATCTTCTACACTACCTCGTACTGAGAGCAGTCAACCTGACTTTAGTCTTAGGTCGTCAACTTGATTTAAGATGAACCAGGAGATTTCGAAGCGTAGCGGAGGCGATTGTGAACTGTCCATGCTGGCGCCGCAAGAATCTATCCCGAAAATATTGCTCCGGTTGGCCATGTAAACCAACAATGCAGCGCGTGCATGTCAGAAACTGCCAAGAGCCCACTGTTAAAGTTCGACGACTGGAATGTCCTCAGGCTATCCTGATCGGCGGCATCCATGGCTAGAAGAGCATGTTCAAACAGTCTTCGGATGATGTGGCACGCAAAATAAAGTTCTGCCAGGCAAACAAAAATCGGAGGCATTCAGGAGGCGCGCGCTCTGTTTACAGGGGTCAGTCAAATCTTCGCTGGTGGAGCAGCGCTGCTTATTGTTTGCTATCTAAGCCAAGGGCCCAGTTCCATCCACACCGTAAAACTTTTTGGGGCCTGACGGGCCGACTCCAGCATGAAAGAACATGGAGCTCTAGTTCCCTTAATCACCTGCTTGCTTAGGAAGCCTTTCCGAAGACCCAGCGTCTGGCTGTTTCACACAATTGCGGTACCCTCTTGTTATGTCCGTAAGTCCGCGCAATGAGAAAAATCAAGTAGATACTGGCCGACAGCTTCGGTGCGAGATCCTTGGGATGAACTTGACTTGGGACGGAAGTTTAAATTGCATCGATACTGGAATGTCTAGTGGAGCAGCGTGAATACCTATACATGAGAAAGCCGCCGTTGCGGAAAGTTGCATCGGGACCTAATATGACGTAGGTCCGGGCTTTTATGCCATGTTGCAAATTATTTCCGACCTTGGACGATGGTTCCTGAGTCGGTAGATGCATCCCAACCCATGTTTTCACAGCCGCCACCTGCTCTAGCATCTTCTTCATGCATCGGTCTCGACCTTTTTACCAAGCAACGGAGCATTACACTTGAGCAGAAACTCCTTGCAGGTCCCGCCGATCTGCGCAGATATTTCCGGAGTGGCGGGTTCAGTATCCCTGCCCGTTGCATTCTGATAATTCATAAGCATGTTTTCCTGCCGGTTGCCGGTGGATCGGTCCGATCACAGAGGCCTCTTGCCGTCCGACAAAGTTGAACGACAGCCAATGAGGTTTCGCACCGCCCAGCCCCAATGTATTCGGCATGGGCGGCTGTACATAGTACCGGACTCCGCTTTACCGAGTCTTGAGTAAGTTGGCCCGACCAGATTGTGTTGACAAATGGCAGACAGCAGGCACTCCAGTCCGCTTTCGGGGACGGTCCCCGGTACGCCAGTTCATCGAAATGGAACTTGGATGGGTATTGGTGGGTGACGTGATGAGAGAATTCAAGGCCTTGGACTGCGTTGTTGTAGAATTTTCTATCTCGGATCTAAGATGTCTTGATGTAGATAAGAGACGTTGATGCCTCCCACGTCACGAGAAATTAGAAGACGCTCCCCTCTACCAAAGTGTCTACATTCGCTCGCGTGGGCTATCCTCTTCTACTCACCAGGCATTCTTACCACTTCGCAGCCATGAGAGGCTTCTTTACCACCTCTGCCCTCCTTTCAGGAGCGGCGGCAGCGGCAGTCCGCTTCACCAACTCTAACAACACCCATGACTACGTTATTGTGGGAGGTGGCACCAGCGGTCTTGCTCTTGCAAACCGCCTGTCCGAGAACCCAGCCATCTCGGTTCTGGTCATTGAGGCTGGCGGTTCGGTCTTCGACAACGTCAACGTCACCAACCCCAACGGATACGGACTTGCCTTCGGCACCGATATCGATTTCGCTTTCAAGACGACGAACCAGACATACGGCGGTGGCTTGGTCCAAACCATGAGAGCGGCCAAGGCATTGGGAGGAACTAGCACCATTAACGGTTAGTAGTCAGATGAAAGACGATTAATTGAATAAAGCTGACAAGTGGTAGGAATGGCTTACACCCGTGCCGAAGCTTCTCAGATCGATGCTTGGGAGCAGCTCGGAAACGAGGGTTGGAACTGGGATGCGCTTTTCCCCTATTACCTCAAGAGTGAACACTTCCAGACCCCCGAACCGGTCCGTCAGGTTGCCAGCCACCTGGACTACGAAGTCGAAGCCCATGGCGAGGACGGTCCCCTTTTGACCGGTTGGACCTATGGTCAAACCAATGGAAGCATCCCCACAGTCTTGAACTCCACTTTCCAGAGCCTCGGTCTGCCTTGGAATGAGGACGTCAACGCCGGAAACATGGTCGGTTTCTCCGTCTTCCCTAGGACCGTCGACCAAGAGAAAGCTGTCCGTGAGGACGCTGCCCGCGCCTACTACTACCCGTACCAGAACCGTACCAACCTCAAGGTCCTCCTGAACACCAACGCTCAGAAGCTCACCTGGAAGAATGCTACTGTCCCCACCGCCGATGGTGTCAAGATTGTGTCTACCGATGGATCCAGCAGCGTTGTCAAGGCCCGCAAGGAGGTTATCCTCTCCGCCGGTTCCCTTGTCTCTCCTTTGCTCCTTGAGCTTTCCGGAATCGGTAGCCCCACTGTCCTCAAGCAGCATGGCATCGAGACTGTTGTCAACCTCCCCACTGTTGGTGAGAACCTCCAGGACCAGATGAACAACGGCCTCTCCTTCGATATGAAGAACACCACCGTCGATGGCACTATCACCACCGTCGCCTACCCCTCCGTCGCCCACGTCTTCGATAATGTTAAGGAGGTCGCCGCTCAGATGAAGGAGGCTCTTCCTGCCTACGCCGCAACGGTCGCCTCCGTTAACGGCAACGTCACCCGCGTTGCCGACCTCCTTGAGTTCTTCGAACTGCAGTGGTCTCTCATTTTCGAGTCTCAGATTCCCATCGCTGAGGTCCTTGTCAACGCTGCCTCGGGAAGCTGGAGCAGCGAATACTGGGGTCTTCTGCCCTTTGCTCGTGGCAGCGTCCACATTGGCGAGACGTCCACCTCCAACGCCGTCATCAACCCCAACTACTTCCTGTTGGACTGGGACCTCCTCGGTCAGGTTGAAATCGCCAAATTCATCCGCAAGCTGTACGGCACGGCGCCGTTCTCTACTTACGCCGGGACTGAGACCCGCCCTGGCGCGGATGTTGTTCCCGAGGATGCAGACATTGAAGGCTGGACAAATTACATCAAGAGCAACTACCGTTCGAACTTCCACCCTGTCGGCACTGCTGCAATGATGCCCCGTGAGAAGGGCGGTGTTGTTGACACCAACTTGAAGGTTTATGGCACTTCCAATGTCCGCGTCGTTGACGCCTCAGTTCTGCCTTTCCAGGTTTGCGGACATCTTGTCAGCACTCTGTATGCCGTTGCTGAGAGAGCTGCTGATCTGATCTCCAAGAGCTCCTAAATGGCGTGTCTTTTGCTGACCATGTCAGCTTAAGTACGCGTAAACACTTCTTGTCACATATTCCCAGCACATTCTTTGTGTTTCCGTACATATGATAGAGTTTTCTTAGATAATTACGCTAGCTTAACTTTGATGTTTGGTTGCGAACCCTCTTTTGACCCTGTCCTTGTTACTCTATTGAATAACCTTTGCGGCTTGGGCATTTGTTAGAAGCCAGTTTAACAGTCACAAATCGGTACTTAACTAAAGTATGAGGACGATTTCGATGCCAACTCCAGTATTTGTCTATGCGGGCCCTGATCGAGGAAGCGTCCTTTAAAAACGTATAACGATAATCGCAAAAGTTACAGTCTTCGTTTAAAGAAACTATGAAGTTACCGTCTTGGTAGGTAATACTTGACAAGGATGATAATGGCAAGATGGGCAGGGATCGCGCAATGACTACCAAAAGCAGCTAGTTCGACTCACGCGACACATTTCGGAACTTTAATTAGCTGTCATTGTCTCCTTTTTGACCCGGCCTGTCCGCGTTCCTCATTACAGTGTGATTCCCACGTGACATGCCCACTATAACAGATTACTGATTCTAGCAGTATAACAGCTCTAAAACCCTGCTTTCAGTTACTTAACTACTATGGTCCGTGATTCTTCTTCGGGACCTTGACTTCCATAAATTTCATTTCAGCGAGCCGAGTGATCCAGTATTGACGGTAGTCAGATCGTTCCCATTATCATTATTCGTCATCATGAACCTGTGCAAGCGCCGAAAAGCCACAGAAGTTGGCCCTTTGGATAAGCGCCTTCGTGTGCGTCGGTGTGAGCAATGCCGCATACGTCGAACAAAGGCAAGTTGCGGGCAAACATAGCCAAAACCACAATCTTGCGAACTAACCCAGCTTGACAGTGTGAAGGAAACCGGCCCTGTGCGGCCTGTAGGGAGCGGTTGACCATCTGTCGGGGCCAAACCTCTCAGGATGCAACACAAGTTATGGCTATTACAAAATACAGGCTGGCCGCCATAAATATCACACCAGAGAGGCGTTTTACATCCACGATAGCCAATGTGGAATGTCTAGCGGCTGTCAATCAATTTGTCGGAGACTCTCCCTTGCCAATCACCAACCTGTTTTCAACAGCCAAGTTCCTGCGTTGGTATCGAGAAGACAGCACTATTCGAGCAGTGTTCACTTGTCTGAGTAAAGCAGCAACTTCGAGAGGCAGACAATCAGCTGCGATTCAAGCTAGTGGAAGTGGCATGCTTATGGAACGCGAGCAACGGGAGCTCTACGCCGCTATCCAAAATCGCCTTCAAAAGCCCGATCCGCACTCGGACCAACCCCTGCTGCTGCTTGTTGTTCTGTTCTGTCTGCTACAGGTAATACATTAGAGAGCTTGAGATCATTGTCATTCTTGGCTAATCTATGCCAGCTGATGACCAGCCGAAGCCTCAATATTGGGTTACAGATAATCGATCAAGTAATCCGTAACGTCGTACAGCCTCGTGGCCCTCGTGGCTTCTCGACTAAGCTCGATAAGTCCGCTCTGTGGCTCTTTCGCATGCTTGAGGGAGTTAGTTCTTTGTTGCTGGAGCGCAAAACAATATTTTCCGCAGAATGGTGCAAGACGGTTGTTGATGTCAAGAAAAGTGGCACTTCGACCAGTAAAGCGCATGACATGTTGCTCTTTGAGTGTATATGTACGTTCATGGCATCACTAGCAGACCAGAATGCACAGTAGGTCTCCTTTCCACAAAGATGACAATAAGGCTTGCTAACTCAACTATCAGGTCTCATGCCTGGCTTCATCGAGAGGAAGAGTTCGTCAACATGCCTGGCTTCAGAAGCGATCCAACGGAGCATATTTGCCCGATTGGTGTAGAGTCAACCTACGCAGAGCATCTTGCCGTCGGGCAAGGAATCATTCGGAAAGCTTCGGAATCGCTGAAGTCCATTCAAGAGTTTGAGGAATATGTGAGGGAGTCCAAAACTGCCCAGGACCCTTCCTACGACATGTTACTGTCTCATGCTCTCTATTTCAAGATATACATGGTTCGGTTGTTTGCTCACCCGCTCTGGCAGAACGCTCCACTCTCCAAAGAAACCCTCGATGAACCAAGGATACAGGAATTCGCACACTCTGTTTTGGAGCATATCGAGAAAAGATTGCAGCATGACGGTCTTGATGGTTTCCTCTATATAGATCATCTCCTGATGATTGGCATTGAAATGAGGCACTCTCTAGATAGACTTCGTGTGATATCATTATTGGACGCTATCAAAAATCGTGGATTTGTTATTGCAGAGGTTTATATTGAGGACCTGCAATTGGCCTGGAATGCTGTCCCTGCTTCTAGGTCATCATCTATGTTGGAATTGCTTCCCGCAGATAACTCGTTAGAGCGATAATTGGGTAGGCCTGTAGCTGGGAGATGCAAATCCTCGAGACCTACCAGGCCAGTGTATTTGTTGTTTCCCAATATGATACGTTCAGGGATAAAATAAGCGAACAGATGCCTAACATATCACCCGCATTTGAGCGACGAAGAGTTTCTGTGACTCTGATTGCACATTGGCTTCGAATAGTGTGAATAGATGCGCATATGGAGGTAAGTCTATAGCAGGACGGATCAGAGAAAACGATGAAGAAGCTGAATCGTTGATAACCAGACATTCAGGTAGATCAGTTGGACCTCACCCCTGGTTTCTTGATGATCCTGCAACGCTTCAGTTCTCTTGCTGATCGCTAATGGTGATGGAGTTTTCGAGGGTGTCAGCGAACTTGAGGGCGCAGCTTTGTCGATTGGCAGAGTATTGGAGTCTATAGTCAAGTATGTTTTGGCTGAAATGCCACGGAAGAACAAGAGATCCATGCTCTTGATGAGTAGTGTGCCAAAGCTATTTAGCACAGCCTCTTGTTTTCATGATCAGTTGATCTCCAAACTGGGCGGCATCTCTGTCCCAAAAATGTGTGCCCAAGATGCGGCACCCAGTCCTGTCGCGAGCCTCGAGGAAAACAATAGATCTGTCAAGAGTTGCAACATCCGTTTCAGCGGCGAGACCCAGAGTTCTTCTACTGATATCAGCGACACACGAATATGATGAATGCCTTCCTTGTTCGGATCTGTGAGCCCTGTTCGAAGAAACTGCGAAACGGCATAGCCCGTCAATATCGCAACCACACAAAGGAGCAAATTGCTAAAGTCAACGATGAATTAGGCGAAATAAACCAACTTCTTATCTTTGAGAACTACAAGAGGTTCTTTTTTTGGTATCATAGGCCCGGTTGAGCAATATCTTGACATTTGTTTTCAGATTTATCTAGATCGAGTGGGGAGAAAGAGAGGGGGGAAAGGAAGAAGAAAGATAACAAGTAACGTGGCTAGGGAGTATGATCCAATAACAGGGAACAAGCTGCAACTTATAGTCTTGCCCAGAACACTATCCAGCTTGAACCCCTCAGCATACACGGCGAGTTGGTCACTATCCACTCTCGAGCACGGACAAGCATAAGAAGCGAGCCAAGTGCCCGGCCGCGGGTTCTTCGCTCCACGATGTTGTGGTCGATGAGCCACTGCAGAACTTTCACCCCTTTCAGACATCGCGCGAGCGATATGAAGTTCAAACAAACTATGCATGCCAATTTCAGGTCGCAACACAATACGCGGAGTCATTGGCCTTAGTATGTCAGGGAAAGGTTCAGGGATCGTACAGAATGTTCTTAATCAGAACGGTAAGGACGGTAGCCCCACTCACCACTCACCACGACGTCGCCCAGCACGAGCCATGTAGATAGGCCAGGACTGCCATGGAAAAAGACTTGGGGAAAACAGCTCAGCCTTGATTTCTGACACAACAGTTTGAGCTACGTTCGGGGAAACACGACCCAACATCGAATTTATCACTTCGCGAGTACGGGCTGGAGTCACTAGGAATGCACAGCACAGGGTCCGGTTCTTTGTTGACTCTTGTCGTGACTTTTGGCGCGTTTTTTTTATCCCGCTTACTGGACCGCGCCTGACGTCTTGCGGCAATGTCTCAATCACAAATTCAACACGATAATGGCGCCGAGCGAGCCCAGACTCATACCATCCAAAACCTACATGGCGAAGGCCGCGTAATTTAGATTGGTTCATGGCATTACGGCTTGTGTGGATGCTGCGCTTCATGTGAACTATGCTTGTTGGGCACCTTCTTACCCTGTCTTCGTATGTCGCTTTTGATGCACTTGTCAAAATGCTGTTTCTTAACAGAGCTCCGTCGTGCTCGGCCAGACGTCGCAACGAATTGAAGACCCTTCCATGGAAAATCACAACAAGATCAACCGCGACGGTGTTCTGATGATGGGCGTTACCTACTTTACAGGCTTTGGTTGGATGTATCCCAATTTCACCGCAGGTTCGTGAAGCAACAACGAAGAGCACAGCTGACGAGAAGTGCGCTGATTATATGATTGTCATGCGTAAGCGTTTCCAGATTCGCCAGCGATACGGTATCAAAGGCAGCGACGCAAGAGACTGTTGCGTCTCTCATTGGTGCCTCTCCTCTGCCCTTGTCCAACACGAAAAAGAGGTGATTGCTCGCCAAAGCACGGATCCAATCACCCAAGCTTACCAGGGGCACCCTGCAATAGATGTACATGTTCATCCCACTACATGATTTACAGATCTCATGTTTTGAAAAATCTCAGATCATTGACACTTGACTTTCTGATTCATGATGGAGGAAAGGATGGTGAGATGCCCAGTTTTCGGTGGTAAGGAGAGGGAGTCGCCTGCTTCGATTGCCTTCCATTATCGTTGCTGAGTCGGGCTGACAAACACAAAACGCCGTACTTGACTTTTTACCTCGAACTTTGCTTTTTCTTCGTTGTCGCCTAGGTATTTGTATCGGACATGTCTGTGGATTGTTGATGCAAGGCCTTCCACAAACAGCATGATCTTCAAAAGATCTCAAGTAGGATCAGGAAGGTGGCGAAAGGGTGCCTATTGTGATTTCTATTCTAGAAGAAAAAGTCATGTACTTGTCTTTGTTTGGGCCTGTTCAGTAAATGAGGTCTTCGGTGATGCCGGAGTAGTAGTGGTGAGGCTTTAAGTTAATAATCTTGCGTGATCCCCTATGTCAGGGTTGGGTGGTCCTGGCGCTTTCGGTGCAACCTTTAGATCTTCTCCTCAATTTGAGAGACAATATGGTACCGCCGATCAGCCCCGGAATACTCTCAAAATAAGGGGATCGACATGCCTAATACGCTGCTCCTTGAGTCATTGCAATCTAGTTCCTTTGCTAATTGAGATCATCTAATGTTATCAAGCCTTTGAAGAGATGGATAGAAGTACTAAGCCACACATATGATCAGACAGTCCGTCTTGATGTGTAGTAATTGACGGGATCCAAACATCGAGTGACAGCTTGATACCACTCGGTAGCCAACTCCTTGCCACTCTTTTCTAGATGATTTCCATCGCAAAATTCCATTCACCATGATGATTCGAACCTCTCTCCTGATTTGGCTGTTGATCACTTCAGTTTTCGCTTCCTCGCCCAAAGGCTCCATTGTTGCTCGGGTGTTGGATTGTTCCCCGTCGTCATCAACGGGGCTCAAACCCGAATGCTGGAATCAACTCAACGTATCGGACTACATCACAAATTGGCTTGCAGAGAACGGCACCAAAGCTGACTGCGATACATTGGGTTTCGCACAATGCTTTCTTGTGTTCAACGGCTATGGCGGCCGAACTTGCGATGCCCTTACTCGAGATACGTGCGAAGGATTCGAGACTATTGGTTCCGACGCCACGTACTACTCACCGCAACAGTTCTACACGCTCTGGAACATCTACGCTATATACCAGTTTTTCAACCAGTTTTCGGAGGCTCTTTGGAATGGACACTCGCTCGCCTCAGATACGATAGGGGACATAGTCGCAACCATATCACCATCGACCGACCCAGAAGTTCCAAGCAATCTTTTGTGGACGACGATATCAGGCGGCTTCTGGCTTATTGCTGCCAGTGGTCTCAACCCAATTCTAGGTGAAATCGCCACAGGGATGGCTGTTGTTACAGGAATGAGCTCCTTCTTCATGACCTCAAAAGAAGGCTCATCCAATGCACGTTTCATCACCCTCGGTCAGGTTGGCAGCAAACTCGCCGATCTCGTCATCGAGTATCAAGAAGTTTTGCATAATTCATTGAAGGAGCTGCAAAGCAACAGTACTCTTTTCTTGGCAGCAACGAAACCTGGTGGCTTCAGCCAGCGCGCCGTGGCCAACCTCAATCTGGAATCTACCTCACTGTACCACGACCTGCAGCTGTACATCATCTCGTTATCTTTAAAGGCCAACGGCATCGTTTCTGCTCGATCAACGGGAGTGAACGCACTCGAATATGCACCTAAGACGAACGGCGCGATCTCATGTCCCGGACTCGGCCCTGGCGGTAACTGCTCCCAATGGTGGATCGACGCAGACACGGGAAACACTTACGCACTACACAACCCCAATGACTATAAAAACAACTACGTCGACGTTCTACACAAATTTCAGGATAAGGGCTGGGCAAACTTGAGCGAGATTTTCAAGGTGGAAGACTGCACGGGCAAGGATCCTAGCTTCGACGGGAAGACCAAGGTGACGTGCCTAGCTTCGCACGGCTACTGCGAGTACAACTACACTGGACAGGACACAGTTACAAAGGCGAGGATGGCCAACAAGCAGTTTACCAATTGCGATAACGATAAGGAGTGGGGCACCCTTTGTGACTGGATGAATGGCGGCCTTGTTCTTCCTGAGTCTTACCTGGGGCCGCTCCTGACTTTGGAAGAACCAGCGTGGTGCAGGGAATATTAGAAAAGAAGCCATTGCTGGCTGTGAAGAACATTTGGGCTAGCTTTTCTGTTACATCGAATCATTAAATTGTGGGGTTGTACTATAGTACATGGATATCAACTCTAAATGGTGTGAATCATAACGAGCGGGAGACTCCACGTGTTTTTTCTGAGATGCCTGTTGGTAACACACGATGTCCGCACGTGCAAAGGAATCAGAGAAAAACGTGATCCGGGTTCAGCAAACTGTCAGCACGACCGAAAAATAGTAAGATTCGGGGTTTGATCGTCCTCAAGATGTGGGCAATTCTGCATGGATACTGAGACCGGACTCGCCGGTGTCTAAATAAGGCAATGGTTCGTTAACAATACGTCTTCCATTTCATCACTTATCGAATTATGATGGCAGAGCAACGTAGTTCGAGCATCTCGTCAATAGCTGTGATGTATGGTCCATACTTTTCTGTTCTCCCTATTTCGACGCGGCCAAGATTGGACTTTGCAAGCTGTGACTGAATTACTTCCCACTTAGCCTTAGTTAAAGAACATGTCTTGTAGAGTGGTTTGTTAAAGTTGATTCCAAAGGGATCTGTAAAAGAAGAATCCACGGCTATCATGAATATCGAGCAAGCCAACACGCATTGATAGACACCAACTGATTTTAGAGCGCTCGTGCGTTGCTGGGGTAGGATTCATACTACACACCCGAGCTGGCGAGACTCAAGTCCTTGCTCATGGCACGATCCTGGATCTACACAGCCGAAACTTAGAAGCCGGTCTAGTCTTGGGTGTTTGAAGCAATATGCATAGGCTTGTTGGGAGAGTTGAACTCACTTTATTTGGTGAAATTTGGATGGAGTCTTCCCCCTATTTTCGCGAGGTGACGAGAAAAGAATATATCTGCGCCTTCTAATACGACTACAATCGGTCAATCAACCAGAAATACCACCCTGACAGGAACACCATCACGGACAGACTGGAGCCTACCAAGTTACAATAAACCACCAGACCTCTACAAAAAGCCTAAGGTGAATACTTTCTCACCACGGGGGATCACTATTAAGAACTATTATGCAGTACTCATGTTGACCACGTGAAATTGCGTCAATGCCCAAAACAAAAGTGAAACAAGAAGTCATGACAGCCAAACAAAGCATTGGCGTGAAGGGTCTCGTTGTTATTTGGAAACGTACCCACTTCAGAAGAAAGGGAGTTAATGAAGTGAAAGCGTATCGTGTTGAATAACCAAACTAAACAAGTCACTCTTCGACGCCTGGTCTCATCTTCTTTCTACTATTGCAGAATCACTTCTCAAATCGATCCTCAAGATGCCACCTCATCATAAGAACTCCAAGAGCACTTCTACCAGTCTTTAGGCGAAGCGTCAATGTACAAACTGACGATTGTCTGCAGAGTGCAGATCGTAGACCCCATCGGGCCGCCATGACAGTAAGTAGGGACGTCGCGATAGCCAGATGCGCCACTCCTAAAGCAAAAGTTATTCCATGTTTCTGTTTGACATCTTTCCTTTAATTAAAGGAAGAGAAAATGCTCACGCTACACCCCATTGGTGAAAAATGCGAACCCCCCATGTGTCATAGACGCCGTTCACTAGGGCGAAACTGTACTTGCTGTCACCGCAAGCATACTTCTCGCCAAGGACAACCGTTCCGGTTTGTCCACAGTAGAGATTCTCGGCATCATGGCCAGTGATGTGAAGTCCAACGCTATCAACTGAGCCGTCGGTTTGATGACGAGCAGAGAAGTCAAGGATGACGATGTCCTCTGGGTTGGTAGGGTTGGCTTGAGGAGTCGGAGATGCCAAGATGGAGGCGCCAAGCGCAAGAACCGTAGCAAGACTGAAGTGCATCCTAAAAAGATTGATTGCGACGAGTTTAAAACTGATAGTGATAGGCTTGTTCAGAGTGTGAGTGTTCCAAGAATGTTGGGTCGAGTGATACTGTGGTTAGGGTTTCACGATAATGTTAAAGGATTACTGTTGACTTTATATTTATACTACTAAGATCCCAGGTTTGCAGTGACTTCGCAATACACAAGAATTGTTGCCTCGTGCAAATGCGCCTGTCAATACCAGATACATCACCAGCCGCTAGACGTGACCAAAAGTCACTACTAGACTAATCATCCGCGCTATTTTCGATACGGAGCCACTAGACAGTTGGTGACACAACGGCCCCGCTGTGGAAGTCAAGAGAGCGGACTTCCATGCCGCCTAGACACTCGTGTCGACGCATTGCCACTCGCTCCTGACCCAGGTATATCGAATTTAAAATGGGTATGTTACGGCTACCCTTTCGCTTTACAATGTTTGCGGCGATGTCTCATGAGTTGCGAATGAACTGAATGCCTTCGGATTATGGAATTGAGGTCAGGACCCTTGAAGTCACGACTTTTTGCGACGATGTTTACACTGCGCTCAGTGGAAACCTGCAGAGTAATAACTGCTTCAACAATGCTAGTGAGATTGAATCCGAGTAAAGAAAATGTGGTCTTGAGCCTTAATGGTCCAAAGCAGTTGAGTTCTGAGTAATCGCTGATCGAGACATAGAACAAGGTCATGAGTCTGCTGTTGGGGAAGGCGAACTGTAACGTCGTGCATGTGATAGCTCAACATGCTTGGTCTGAGGTGACGGACATATTGCGCTTAAGCTGCCAATAGAAGCTGCTATAATACACACTGAGTCGCAGTCAAAACCTCAACTGATCTAATTGGACCAGGTTCCAGCTGGCAGGAACACCGGGGAAGCCGACGGATGTTACATAGCATGACTGATTCGTATTGATTGAACTGCAACACGAAGTCTTGCGGCGGTCTGAGACATCCTAGTTGCTATCAATTCTGCCCATGCCGCTTACTCAGAACCATTAAAGAAATACGCGCTATATCTGCTGACCGCTCATCGCCATTGACGTCTATTCAAGAAAATTTAGAAACAAGTTGATCCTCGCATTGGCGGAGTTCCGCCACCTTGTGCATAATTGTCTTGGTGACTTACAAACACCAAGACCAAACATAGATTACACCTTGCTGTTCTAGTCACAGATTCCCTTCTGCCTAATTTTACCTGGCATACGCTACTAGTGAAAACGTGGTATGCTAATTATCACGCCAAAACCAGAAATTTTATTACATTCTCATGCCCTGAATCCTATCACAAGGCCTCAGGGACTCTGGCGGGCACTGTCGTATCGTTAGTCTTCAATTCTACTCCCGAATGAGGGTCATACCTGCCTCCAGAATCAATGTCCACCCTAAGAGCTGGATGCAGCGGCATAACTATCGAGGCCTAATTGTTCCAACTTAGCCTGAAGGGAAGTCAGCCCTACAGCAGTAAAAACTTCCCTGGTTGGGACAATAGCAGGTACTCTATAAAAGGATAAAACCAGATTATGATCAAGAAATCCGTTGAAGCTTCCAGAATTGCTGAGGCGCATCATGATATCGCGAGCGAACTCTATGATACTTTAGGATAACTAATGGATAACTTGATGATCTACAAAGCTTGATCATACCTCTATATACAGGATCATATCACTCTTTTCTTCGCATCTGCTACCTTGCCGCCTGAAATCATAGGATACAGCACCGTCTAGCAAAGAAGACGATCAGCCTGTTCCGGAAACTCCATCAGCGAGAAGTTTGCATACCACACAACGCCCTACGTTAGCTCTAGAAGGAGTTTCTAGGTATCGTTTATTACTGGATAAGTGAATCATGTATCATAATGAACTCTCACTCCAAAGCTATAACTCTCTGATCTCCTTGATTCAACTACATCCCTGGCGCTGTGAAGGTTCAGTGGACTTGAGCCGAACCGGCTCCTAACTGCCTCTGACATGATTCAAGATCGGCGGGGTCCAAAAAGCTTCAGGCACCAACTAAACTTAATCCAAGTTTCAGGCAAACTTGAACAGTCCCACCAGCGGATGCCGGGACGTATCGTAACTCTCAAATCCCAATATCCGATTGACTGCGGGGTTGGGATAAACCGATACTGAGTTCCATGGTAAATGCCTAGTCCATGTCACATACCGCAGAGTAGGTCATCCACTCGCTTTGTTCATGTTAGTTCGTCTTGTAGTCGCAATAGGTAAAAATCGGATATGAAATGTTGCCCGTGAACAATAACGGCACAGACCCATCAACTTCTGGAATCGAAACTGTCCACTGGAGCACGATGAAGGATCTGCAGCGACCCCTTAACTTAACCCACGAGTAACAGATGGTTTTCCTGAAAAGCTCAGTCTTCAGCTCGAACCAGTTTGCCTTGAAATACGGAGATCTTATCGGCATCCACCCAGGGGATCCTGATGTTCTACACCTGTCCGGGAACTCGAACACCAACCCATCGCCCGAACTGTTCAAGACAAAGTTTACTGAGTGCGTCTTCCACAATTTTGCATAAATAATGGACTTTGAGAAAAAGTAGTGACCTTTGTATCGTTTGTATCCCAGACAATATGCTGACGACAGTAATTCAGCCAGACCCAGGTGTAGTACTCCCAAGGATCTACACCTCTTGCTGCTCAAGGCAAGCCGATCAAAAACGACATCCAAGGACAGGGACAGTTCCATTTTGGTGTCTTGAAGAAGTCGATCAATCCTACTGGAGATTTGACTAAGTCTGGATTCCATGAGTCCGGCATCAGCGAGGGAATTGTCTTCGGCGGAATCTTTGAAGGACAGTGCCAATGGATGCGTAACTTTGTCTCTGTGAGCTATGAGATCAAGAAGTAGACTGTGGGACTATATTTGTAACGCAAACAGAACAATGCTTGCTTAGCGGGCCATTCCTGAGTAAGAGGACGCAGACAAGCCCATATTTGTTAACCCGACTTGTGAGGTTTACATCGATGCGTATTGTTTCAGCCGTATGCCATGTCCAACGAACAGAACATCAAAGAGCCCTGATATATCAATGTCACTTCCATCGACTTGTTACACAAAGCACCATCTTCATTGAGAGTACAGGCAATAACTCAAGCCTCCAGCTTCAGATCTTCCAAAACTTCCTTCGCAGCCCTCTGACCCGCAAACACGGCACCTTCCATATACCCATAATGCTTTGTCGCCGTCTCCGTGCCAGCCCAATGAATCGGTCCAGTCGGCTTCCTAATCCACTCGCCGAACAGGGTCCACATCCCAGGCGCCGGTGTCGCCATCGGACACCCAAAGGACCAATCCTCTTCAATCATGTTATGGAAGAAGAAGTCTTCCGGGTCTAGGGCTTCTTGCCCAAAAGCGGCGGCGAACCCGGCGAGGGCGATATGCCGTCTTTGCTCTTTGCTGAAGCTCATGAATTTGTGACATTTCGTACCGGCGATGAACCCTACGAGTTTAGGACGACCGGATGGTGGCGTCGCGTCAAACGTTACACTGACGAAACCGGCCGGATTCGTGCTCTCTCCTGTCAGACCCTTTTCTCGCCAAAAGTGTCTCTTGTACGTTGCGTAGACTTTGGAAAAAGTTCCCATCGGCATGTGTTGAAGCAACGATGTTTTCTCTATCGGTAATCGCGGCTCGAAATGGATTTTGAGGATGTTGCCTGGTGGAATGGCAGAAATAATTCGTCGTGATCGGTACGTGCTTTTTCCTGTTCGGATAGTTGCGACGCTTTCCGTATACGAGATTCCCCGTACAGGCTCCTCCAAATGAACTACTTCGTCCCCAAGGTGCTCCACTAACTTTTTGGCAATGGCTTGTCCACCGCCCCAGATGAAATGGTTCTGTGCTCCATTCTCTGAACTGAGCGCCGATGTGAAATTGACCACGCTTTTGAAAAAGAACATGGCGTGAAGCATCGATATGCAAGATGTGTTTTGCCCGATAGTCGTCTCGACCGCCAGACTCGCCATGTCGATCGTAGCCTGCGTCCATGCCCCTTTCTTCACCCACTCATGAACTGTCACACGATCGAGTCTTTCCGCGTCCGGTGTCCGCCATGGCTCCTCTAGGTTGACACTCTCACACAACTTCTCAAACCGGTGAATGAACAAGCCCATGTCGAGGACCTCCCAAGGCCACATCGGTGGAATAAGTCCGCTGTATTCGCGCGCTTTTCCCCGATAAGCCAAAACGATTTTACCGTCCGTGGGTGCAGTGAAGAGTGGTACGTTGAATTCTTCTGCCAAGCCATACATCAAGTGCTGCTGGTCGCCGATGAAGGACGCTCCGACATCCCAGTATTCGCCATCGTCGAGGGGTATCGTTTTCGCGCGTCCACCAACACGGTTACGGGCTTCCAAGACCAAGACGTTTTTGCCAGAGTCCTTGAGGGTTCTGGCTGCAGTGAGCCCAGAGTAGCCTGCACCGATTATTACACAATCGTACGTCGGCGCGTCGTCCGCCAGGGTTTCGTCCATGCTGAGTTTGTGGAAAGCGGTTAGGCAGCTGCAAAAATAGTGAGATCTTATTTTTTACTTAGATACTATGTAGAAGGAATGATTCACCTTTTGCTTACAAACATATTTCAACGAAAGCTATCTAGTCTAATTAGGTACTTGGAGAGCTGTCAGCCACATGTTAGGCAGGGCCAATCACAGTGCCTCACAATCCCCCTGTCTTCCTTTATCATCTTTCGCGTTGTTCCAGACTTCATTCATTCTAAAAAGACCACTCATGAGGCTGTGTCGAGCTGAATTAGTGTACAGCCGCGGCGTCGATCGCGATGAGACGCCAAGTGTTGTGCAAATGGCTGATTGGACATGGTTGTCTGCCACATCAAATATAGTGTGTGCGCTTTTCTTTTAAAGGAGAGGAGCACGAAACAAGTAGGGCTGAGTATTGCCGCCTTCGGATTCCGTCCAATTTGGGAAGACCCCGCCGATTGAGCTTCGCCCAGCAAATCAAAACTGTTAAAGCTGGCATTTCCTAGTATTGCCCTGTTCCATACGTATGGTTTTCCATAAGTATGATTTGTAGTTTTGAGAAACCAGGGGGATGCATTGTCAACGCCAAGCTCTGTATCAAAGTGTAGATTGAGAGTTGAAGGCTAATTAATGATGCCAGGCTTGACATGAAACGTTGTCATTGAATGCTGAAATTATTCAGGCTCGAAGTTCAAATCTCGGCGCTGTGATGACTTCCATGCGTTGGAAATGTCGAGAAAGTGGACGGAAAGAAAGTTGACCAATTCTCCCCTCAGATAAATTCTTTTGCGATGTTATGTTAATCTTCGTTGTCATACCGTGTTGTCGGTGTCTCCCATCCCGGGTTGCAGCACCTCGCCCTGGATCCTCCGCCTGAGGAAACTGCCATGACCATGCTGAGAGGCCGGACCCAATCTACGGCTGCTCTTCTATTGCTGCCAGGACCTCGCTATGCCTCCCACCGCCGTGCTCGCTGACACAAACACTCAAGGCGGGTTATATATCTCCCTGGATCGATGCAACGTTACCGTCACTACTCCTACTTAAGTGCTAGGAACCATCGAAGAATATAACCGGTGGGTAGACCAGGACTGCACGAACCGCACACGGCGGGCGACGAGGCTTTTAGCCACGTGCCGCGTCCATCGACCGAGAACGGCGAGTTCGCCGGAAACGCATCTGTTTTTGGCGAAACGACCATCCTCCATGACGCGCCCGGGTACAGCGACTATATCAGCATGCCTCCGAAAGGATCGAAGGTTGCAGAGGGCACTGCATTGAACCCCGTCCACAGTACAGAATGAGAGTAGGCGCATATTACGTAGCTCAACACGCATCGACGTTCAACATGACGTCGCCTAGACTCTCATCCTGTTCCGCGCTGCACCCCAAGGTTGCCTTCAGTGAGCTCCGCTAGGGAGGTTAAATCTTCTTCGGTGGCCCCGATGAAGTGGGAAGTTGGTCCAGATCCAGCCAGCGCGCTGACTTTTGCTTTCTTTTATCCTCTTCTCCCCGATTCTAAAATTACTTTCACGTTTCATTGCTCCTGGCAGGTTACAATCTCTTTTGCCATTAACAGGAGAATTCACGTCTCAAAAACTAGGCTGGGTTCCGTTTGGTGTTCGTAATGGGATACCCTCAGCCATTGTCAGACCTCACATGTAGCCACACGTCAACTTATTACTAATCAACATTCAAGAATGCATACTTTCAACCATAGCTCAATCCCCTGTATACACGAAAAAGGCCCAAAAACTAGTCATCAGCGGCTCACTCGACATTCACAGCGTGCAACAGCAGTGGTGTTCCTAGTGCGGATCAAGGTTTATTCACGTATGAAATACTGACAACAGGTGTGCATGGCACCAGCATTCAGACTGTTCGCATGTTACATATTAAAGATTTCTATTTGCCGTTCTCTGTTTGCCCAACGTGTCAGTTTCTAGGGACGTTGTGTACTTGGCAGTAGTGAGCCACTCAATGAGTGCTCTTCCCTAATTGCCAGGAGAGGTATATCACTAATGAGAGCGATATACTTTAGATGTTATTTACTTACAGTGTAGGTCAAAGGACATAGTAGATAGTGTAATGGAGACTGAATGACAGCATGGGACTGAACGCTGGTGGAGTGGGCCACCATCGTGAGATTTGCTATAGTGGACCTAGAACATCAAATCAAAAAACATACAACACCAGGTATTCGCTGGTCGTCACCGACCCAACTACTAATCCGGCCCTCACTGGCTTATCTATGGGAGAGCGGACGGGATCCCGAGTTTTCCAGTGGGTATGGTCGTATGTGCTTGAAACCTTTTGCAAGTATGCTTATACACACACAGTGAGCCTTTGTCAGCAGATGGGCACCGGCTGAAGCTACCAATAACTGAACACTGCCAAGCGAGTTGTTGCCCGAATTCTTCCCGTGAATGGCTTCATTGCTTAATTAATAATAAGCAAAATGTATTTCAATTACGTTCTTACTCTCTTCTAGCTACTCCTTTGACGTCAACACCCTAGCCCATATACTTGTCTAGATATATATAAGATTGCCGGCAGCTTCCACACGCCTAAACCCCCAGGATGGTATCCTGGCAGGGTCTTATTTGGGTTTAGACAACTAGGTCGCTGCCTCCTTCCTCGCCCGGCACCTAAGGATAGCATGCGTGACGCAGGCTTTTTCGCACACAAAATTGTAGGTATTATAGAAGGAACAGTTGGATTCGCAGCGCACGAACCAATAATCTTTATAATGCTGTCGTTCGCTGCAAGAATCGCTGGGTCGGGAGGACTCGCTGCTCCCTTCGACTACAGCCAAGGCTGACTCGGCCGCTGAGTACTCTCCATCTTTAGGCTTGGCCTCGGTTACTCTCTTCTCTCTGCACCGCCTTTCCGTGATCCCCAAGAAGCAAGGATGCAGGCAGACGCCGAGAAAAGACCCGGCGGGACAGGCCTCGAGGCAAAGATACAGTTCCCTTTGACTTGGCCAAGAGTTATCCAACTGTGGTGGCCAGGCGCAAGGGTTGCCCATGGGCAGCCCTGGAATGATTCTGTCATTCTCCCCACCACCAGCCAGGACTGCCACGGCTGCCAGGTGCTGCTCGCTTTGGCCCTCGTTGTCGGTCACGTTCCAGAAAAGGTGCTTCTTAAGAGGCAGAGTGTATAGCTCGTCCCGAGCGCCTATCTCATGACTCTCACTAGCGAGAGATTCCTCGCCTCGGCCCTTTTGTCCGGGTTTTCCTTCTGTTCCCTGGCTCGCCCTGCGGTAGGCGTCCGCACCGCAGCGAAGTCTGCACAAGAAGGTGAGAGGTTGTTTGTAAGGATGGAGCCCTGGGATGACGGCCGGGCACTTCTTCAAGCAGGCCAATTCCTGTTCGTCCTGGGTGAAGTCTTTCTTGGGAGTTACCGAGTCAGGATGGTAGATGACGTCGTTGGGGCCGATGGGCGTACGGGGACTGTTGACAGAGTGAAAGCCGGAGTCGGTGGCCACAACGGAGCTGGTAGAGGGGGTAGGAGAGGCGGCCACAGAGGCCAGGACAGCGGTGAAGGAGAAAAAGTTAAGCTTCATGATGGGTGCTGATCGACTTGGTTGGTGAAGGAGAAAGCTGGAGGGGAGAGTTATCTAGGACATACGAAGGTATTTTCCCATTGTTTATATGCTTAGTGTCCTCTAATACCTGGAAGGCCTTTTTTCAACCTTAGTAAACGATCCTCACCATGCAGGCTTAATTCCCTGGCCATTTGAAAGTGTCCTCGAGGATGGAGCATCATGAGGCCTGAGAGCATCTCCAACCTTGTTAGCAGATTCACTTCTTGTAGTGGCCTCAAAGTAGAGTTGAGTTTTATGGCGTTGCGGTTTTCATCTGTTAGCCCGTTATCATAAGGTGATATACCCTGGCGAGCTTGGTGTTGAATAAGAGTGTGAGTGAGAGTTTGTATATCTGCCGGAAACTCTCGGTATTGAGGTTTAGAAAGGCTATGGCTCACACAAACACACGCGCAAGAACAAGCCAAAGTCTACTAGAATAATTCACAATGCCCTTGGAATTTCGGCGCTAGCCAATGCAATAAGACCTCTTTGTAGCCTATTTAGTGTTGGGTACAACAAGTTCCCTCCGATGCTGAGAGGGCTTTATCTACGGCCGTCAAAATTGGCCAACGAATCGTACAGTTCTGTAGCAGATCATCGTGCTATAGCCGTGGGCCATAATGTAGCGAAAGTACCTCTCCCACGGCCGGGTTTCCATCAACTTCATGCGTCGTAATATACAAGAAATTTCAACTGCGCTATTTTTCGTCCATCTCCTCATCGTCGTCCCCTTCAGCCTCATCATCGTCGTCATCATCGTCATCATCGTCGCTCGAACCCGAGCCTTCACTCTCACCTTCGCTGCCAGGGTCATAGTCTTCTTCATCTTCATCCTCGTCCTCCTGAAGAGCTTGCTCTGCCTCAAGGTGAGCCTTCTCCAGCTCCGTCATGCCGTTAGCATCAGCATCACCGTTCGCATCAGCCTCGGCATCGGCGGCCTTCTTCGCCTTCAAGTTCTCCGTCAGCTCCATCTTGGCCTTCCTCTGCTCTGCCATGCTGCGGTCTTGTAATCCATGACGCTTGACGTAGGACTCGTCGATGCCACCATAATCCTCTTGATCTAGCATGCCAAACTCAATCTCCTCCGTCGCGTCGCCCTCGGTAAAAACCTCGACGACAATGTTGAACGTGCGCTGCAACACGCTTGTGTAGCTAACGGCCACAATACGGTCAATGGGCAAGAAGACAAGGGGCTTCTTGAAGCCATAGAAAATGCCGTTTGGCAGGAAGAAAAGGTACCCATCCTTGGACCCGCGAAAGGCCTTGACGTGCACCGCCTTCTCATTGGGCCTGTGCGGCTGCCGGACAAGACTATGGAACTTGTTGGGGTCTGCCGCGACGATTTCGGCCCTGTTGCCTGCGGAGCTGAGATGTGTCGTCAGCGCCCAATCGAATAGGGCACGGTAGGTATCGGAGACTGCTGCCGCGGCGTTCGCTCTCGGGCCGCCGATTGTGCCCTGCTTCGGTGGTGTAGATGGCACTGTGAACACGAGCGCTTCCTTCTCGAGGGAGGCTTTTGTAGGGAGACAGGTTCCGCGCGGGAACAGGACATAGTTGTGCTGCACCTGGGTCTTTTCGGGTACGGGGAGGTAAAAAGCGTACTCTGGAGGACCGGGTTAGTTCTGTTTTGTGCTCGTCAGGCTGAAGTGTACGTACCGATGTCTTCCCACGCGTAAACAATGCCCTCTACGGGGGCAGTAGTGTTCGGTGCGCGAGCATACAGGTGATTCGCCGTGAAGCAGAGGTCGTACTTCTTGCGCTGTGGTACCGAGACCGAAATCTCCTTGATCTCGAGCAGAACCTCCTCGTCAGCCGCATTACCCGTGCCCGAGTTAATGGGCGCAGTCTTTCCGGCCGCACCATTTGTGTTCGTTGCCTTGAATCCGTTTGCAGGACCCTCGTCTACCCGTCTACGTTTTGATGCAGGCTCCGGCCCGTTGATCTGTTCATGGACGAAGTTTGCAATGCTGTTAAACAATGCGACTCGAGCAGGAGTGTCTGCATGAGAAAGGGGTTAGCACTTCGACGTCGACGAGAAAACTCTGCGCGAGTAAGGGCCAACGGCGTACCAGCTGCTTTCTGAATGCCTTGCAGGATGTCTGGCCGCGACTGAAAGACGGCATCTAGCCGCTGGTTATCGAGGCTGGCGGGCATTATAATGAATCACCGGGTCTCGGTGATTTCCTGGAAGGATTCGATGGGGTTTTCGGTTGATCGGAAGGTATATTGTAGGTTCTATGGGTGGGTGTAAAAGGAGGAGTTGTCAAATATTCGGGGAGGAATTGATGATGTTTTCTTTGACGCGACGTCAACCGAAATTTTGTGAAGTGACGTGTCGGAGCTGGACGCTGGACACTCTCTGTTCACTGCGTGTTCCTGGCGCGCTACAGCGCGGACTGTGACTTACATAATTTGGGGGTCCTTGGGGCAGCAGCAAATTACGCCCCTTTTCTCGAGTTAAGTTGCCACTAGAAATCGTCCAACTCAAAACTTCAGTCAAAGGACTGAGCGGTACAGTGAATCAACGCGCCGGATGTGCCATTGAGCCTGTTGGTGCTGTTTTATCGACACATCGTATTAACCTTTCCCTCATTTTTTATCCCAATTCTATAAGTTTTTGTTGTTTTCGCCGTTTCCAATACCAATCATGCACGTTCAACCCTATATCTACTCAGAACTCGCTCCCATTAACCATGACCCAATGGTTGCCCAGGGCACCCTAGACCGCACGTTTTTAGTGAAATCCTTGATTCCCAGCTTAGGCGCGAATTGTTCCAAGGAAGCCCGCAGAACGCCAATCTGCTCGAGGACACTAGACCTGCTGGTACCGCCCTTGGCGGCCCGCATCTCAAAACTCTTTTTTCGTAGTTAAAGGTCTCGGCAATGTCCCCCTCGAAGCGCTCATCAACGGTCTTCAGCTGCTCGTAGCTAAGCTCAGTCATCTGTACCCGCAAATTTTTATTAATCGGAGCTCAAGTCGGAGCACTGAGTGACCCAATACAGACCTCTCTCAGCCTTGCCTTAATTATCTTCTGCGGATGTATGTCTTATCGCGCTCGAGCAAAGGAGCTTTGACCACCCTGCTTTAGGGGATTAGACTTGCCCCTGAAGGCCCCGACGTCACAGTGGAGGATGCGACCCAAATTCCACCGCCACTGGTTTGACGCGACAGCCTTCACCCCGCGATTTCCACCGGTCCGTCACAGGTGGTCTCTCGTCTTAGCTAACGGACCATTTCCTGCCCCACGTTGCTGTTACCACCATCCTTACCTACCTCATCCATCCTCGAACGTCACAAAACCAGCGTCTCGTGTCCCAACGTCGAGCCCGTCTGACGCCGTCCCGCCCCCTGGTGTCGGTGATGACAAACCTGTCCTCTGAGGTCGTACACCATTTTCGAGTCGAGTCTGGACATACAACACGACGTCTGCCGTGATCGCCGACATCATGTCCTTCCCCAACATCTACACCCATCGCAAGGTTGCCGAGACTGCGGCTAAGGGCTGCGATGTATGCTATCGCGCTACAAGCAGCGTCCTCGTCGCGTCGGAGAAGAAGGTATGAAGAAGAATTTGCTTCCAACAACGGTCGCAGCTGACTCAAATGTTAGGACTTCTTCTACGTGTGCCCCAGCCATCTGAAGGACAAGAACTTCTGTTCCCCCATAATCGACAAAGAGGCTGTGGAAGCAAGAAAGAAGAAAGAGCTCGAAGACGAAGTGGAGCGCGTTAAGAAGGAGTACGAAGAGAAGCAGAAGAAGAAAAAGGAAAAGGAAGAAAAGGACAAGAACGCGGACAAGGGCAAGGACAAGGAGAAAGATAAGGACGACAAGACAAACGACGACAAGATAGAAGACAATGCTAAACCCCAACAAAAGGTGAGCCCTTGCAGGTGTCTCCTGAGTCTTCGATCAAGCGCGGCTGCCACTGCACCGAGGCCCAAAACTATGACTGACGAGCTTCTAGGACGGTGCCGAGACACCCACTCCGTCCACGGAAGAGGAGCCCCGCGTTTTTGCACTCCACAAGTAGGCAACGCCCCGCCATACTAGAATCCTCCCAAACTCAGTGTCTCAATAGGAACTTTTACGGCATGCGACTTGAGAAGAAGCGGCAGATCGAGATTGCGAAGAGGAATCGAGAACGACTGCAACAGCCGAACCTCTTCCCGTCAGTTCCGAAAGGCGCGCCAGGCGCACAAGGTAATTAAGATATATCTCTAATGCCGGAATGAGTATAACTTCTCGACTCTGCCGGCATGAATATCCTCCGATGAAGGGCCTCAACAATAACGTCGCTCTGCTGTCCAAGGAGCATCAGACTCCCAGACCACTCAAACACCTGACTGTGTCAGCCATTGTGAAGGCCGCCTTCTGATATATACCAATTTCCAGTTCCAATCATAGCTAGGACAGGGATTCGAAAGCCAACTGAGGTTCCGTCCAAATTAGGTATGCTGCATTGGTTGTCTTCGCTTCTGGTCCGCGGCGGGTGTCATCCGTTCCCTTGCCAACAACGCCTCGGCGTCGCATTCCACCACCCACTGCTTCACTTCTATCCGAACCTGGCCTTTCAATTGGCTGAAGTACGCGTATACAGGGCTCGCTGGCTCAATTATGTTCTATGTCTCTGTGCATAGTAAGACGACCTGCAGTAGCCCGAGTGGGCTGTTGCCGTGTGCGGGAGCACAAGCTTGCCGTTTGAGGTGCAGTTCCGTCAGAATCCTTGTCGATGATCACGGGCGTGTCGTTATTATCTGGCAATCCGCCATTGGCTATGCCAGGGATTGTTCAAGAGATCCAAGGCTTCAATCTATTACCGACGGCGCTGACAAGTCCTCGAGGAGCGTCTCGGGAATAACCATCATCAATGCATTCATTGCAGTAGTTGGCATGCACTCAAAACTCCCCAGAAAACACACCCCCTACTCGAAAGCATGGAAAGCAATCCATGCGTACTACATATCACCTCAATCACGGACTGTTTTTACTTAACTGCTCGGTATGAAATCAGTCTTACCAGCCTCAATCAGCAAGCTTCCGCTACCCAACTTGCTCAGCATCGGCTCTCCGGCTCTTCATGGTGCAATAGGCCTCCAAAGAAGTCATTGGCGATATCCCCTTGCGACTTTCAACACTTCTTCCCACCTCGCCCTTGCCATGTACAACCTGACTACTGTCGGCTCGCTAGATCTAACCTCCTTGCAGGCTGGTGCTCGTTCAGCGGGGAACTAGTCCCCTTGCCTCGAGGGCTCCAATGATCTCCGGCCGCGTCCTTTCTGCCACTCAAGTCCCCTTGTCAGGCTTAGTGCTTACACGCGTCAGCATGCTTACGCTGCTGGGCAACATATGCATATGCCTCTATTCAACTAGCCAGCAAATCAAAGCACCCTGCACTTCGCAGACTACACTGCATTAAGACGGCCAAGAGTAAATCCGAGGAGGAAATATGATTAATCCGTGATGTTTACGATACGAGTAGGCCCCATCAACACACAGGAAAACCACACCACACAATTTCAGACGAGCTTTGCAGCGGATCATACCCTGTCGAACACCACCTCACGCGGACATAAAATCGGTACCGTCGGCCTTTGGGAACGCCGTATCTTCCTATCGCCGGTTGCCTACATCAACCTGGCGGGAGGGCCAGCCAACTAGACCAAGCTGGGCATTGTTCGAGAAATCGAGCTCGGCGGGGCGAATCGGACCCATGGTCGATCTCAAACTCAAAGATGTCCGGTACTGTTCGACAAGGACTATCCAGTCACTCCATTAGCACAATGCCAAAGCCCCATGCAACCCGCGGCATGCGACTCTCGTCCGGGGAGCTTAGGGCTGACGACTGCTTGCTGGACACACGTGCTACACGATGTCAGTCGGGTGGCGATCAATCGACACGCCATTGTGAGCACTGGTGCAAGGCAATTCGTTCTTAGCAGTCTGTCCCGAGTATGTGGCGCAGAGTCAGGTTGGTGTCGCAACGAATCGGCTAGGGTAATATTTGCTCTGATGATTATCTCTGTAACACCCCTCTCCCCGGGCGGAGTTAAATCTTAGGTCAGCTACGGCAGATGTAGTATCTCTGTTGTTTTAAGTCATGGTGGGATGTTTTAGCCGGCTTGATTGTCGAAGGGATCGGCCTGGGCTCATAAATGTAATTACCAGCCGATGAAAAGTGGTCGAGTCAATTCGCCAAACTTGAACGTTGGAGAATCGAACACCAGTGAAGACAACCCATACGTCAGCATAAGCCATAACGGAAAGCAATACACTTCGAAGATACCTTCAACGCATTTGGCTAATAGTCATCTGGTGACTGATCAGGCAACCTCGACCTCAAGTGACTCAGGTTGAAGTGCGCCATGGGTGTTCCCTTACCCCACACATTGCTTACCCCTTCGCAGGGTCATTTTCTCCACACCGCATCGGGTGACAAGTACGAATCAAGAATCGGGCAACACGTTCGAGCTCATCGCTGCGACGCCATGACGGGAAATGCCGCAGGATAGTAAGCAGAATCATTAAATATTCTCTAGATTAGGCAATACGATCGGCAAAAATCGAAATTCCTCAAGATCAAGTTGCCCAGGTTCTGCCTCGAGCGGCGGCTGCATAGCCGGGGCGTATGCTGACATTGTCAGGGGTGTTCCTCTCAAAAAGGACTGTACCAGCCGAAGAGCTACTAACCAAGTCTTATTTTTGGGTATCACAGTCGGCACCCACTCGGATTGCTGTACCCGCTGGGACAAGCCGAGGCGGTTGTTGGGCTGTAAGATGAGGGGTTGGGTTTGCCAGTATACAGTGACCGACTTGATGCTGTATCTACGGCTCTGAGGCTCAGAAAACAGCGGATATTACATTGTTAAGCTTCGCACTAGGCGCTTTGACAGGCTTATTCGATGCTAATGGGCGTCATCACGTCAGAAATACGCCGTCCCACTCCAACATCTTAGAGACAAAAACAAGTGTATCTAGAATTCTTGATTAGAGAGTGACTTCATCTCACCTTCGAGCGTCAGCAGTATCCACTATGAGAGGTTGGAAAGATCACACCTTCAGGCTCTCACCGAAGACATGGAGGAATCCTTATTGGCAGTTGCTGACGCATAGAATGGCGAAGCCAATGAGACAGTGACAGCCTTGCGGGTAGTTGGTGGCCCCAGCACGCTCTTGATTTGATAAAGATTTGTCCGTGTCCTGTATCCCCTCAACTTTGTCGAATTCTCAGCCACAATGTATGAGAATGCTGAGAATTTCCTCGATGAACTGGCCCAGTTAGCCCTTCTTGGACTGCCGAGATGATCAAAAGCCCGGTGAAGCAGCCCGCTGCGGCGCCACACCACGGAGGCAGGCCCCTTATAGACAACATATTCAACCTCTAGACCCATTCAATTCCACACACCCCATACGATGATCACCGATCCAGAGGAGAAGTCTATTCCGTTCAAGGGTATGGCACAAGATGGTGTGGGAACCGTGCTACCCCCTCCTCCATGCCATCCCGTTCCGCTCCCCGTACCCAGCCGAGGCTCGATGTAGCTGATAGGCTTTTTGTGGATAGAGCTACCCTGACGAAGAGCACACCCGAGAAGGGGGCGTAAGCCGAGCAAGCTCTAACGTTGTCCAGTCAAACGCCAGTGGTGTATCCGAAGCCGAGTGTCTCGCGCCTCTGGCGTGAGAGTAGCATGTTCATCTCTCGGCACGGCATGGAGGGGGGCGTGAGTTGTAGCATGTGTTTGATTTGGCGTATAGAAGCCTCACCAATCTTCACCGGGTATCAGGTGTGCTATGTATGCCGTTCATCTTGCCAGCCGGACCGGTTAGCAAGGTTTATATCACCGTTGTCAGGTTCAGGCATGGCGGAGAAGCACATGAAAAGGCTCAACGGGGATGTTGCAGCTCTTTAGCTCTTTGTCAGCATCATGACCATCGAACCGTCCCATCTTCTCTTAGTAATCACCATGTCTATAGGGCTGAGATTGCTATGGCAATGTCTCTTGATGCCGTCAGTCTCAGATCTTCCGGCATCCTGTTTGAAGTGCTTGGAGCTTGGAGCTTGAGCACGGATGCGTCGCCTCATCTGTGTAAGCCATTGATCGGCCCCTGGGAGTTGAGATCTCACTCATCGCATGGGTGGCGGCGATGTCGTACCCCCTCAGCTCCTCGGCAGTTGCATCTTTTCCACTCAACGAAGAGCCGGCCCCCGAACTAGCATTGCCAAAGAATCCGAAACGAACGAAATGATGACAGTGATAGTATTCAGCCCGCTTTGTACCCCGCACATGCTGTGCTTGCTCCCAGATAAGTTGAGCAAACTACGTGAAGTGCCCACTCTTGGTGGAAACCTCTTTGCTTACGTGCCACCTTCAGTGATTGGCTCGCTCGGATTTGGCGATACATTGAGTCGAATTCGTGACGCCAGGGGTGAGGCGAGGAAAGTCGTCATCACTGGGCAATAGGGAGAGATTTGTGCTTTGGCACTGGGGAAACATCATAATGTACCGGTGCCGGCGTGGGTTAGAGCTCGGCCTCAGTGACAGTCACGGTGAGAGCTCCGAATACTAATTATGGCAATGGGGTTGGGGTGTTAAAATGGCGTTTCAACATAAACAAGAAAAGGATGTGGGATCATTGCACGGTATTGGTGTTTACATATAGTCTTAAAGCCTGAAACGCCGATGATGGCGAGCATGGAGTGCGCAGCTTACCATGTACCTCGCAGCTTGGCTGTCGCGAGGTGAAGATACTGGTCACAAAAGTGAGGAAGATTACGTGAGAATTTTGTTACTCGCGCGCCAGCCAGCTAGCCACGAACACCCTTTAGTGAGAAAAGTCAAAAGTTGACATAGGGGCCTGACCATGTCACAAGACTTTTGATATCCTTTTCGGGTTTTTTTTCGTATGGATGTCCTGCAGTGCGGTGCGGAGGTGTGGCTGCTGACGGGAAAGCTTTGTGATTTTGGGGCACACGGTTCATGTGACTGTGACGCCCTGGTGACTAGCTCCGTGACGATACGCCGAGCAAGTCGACGGCTGTCGACAAGCTGATAAGCTCCTTCCACTAGCCGATGTAATGTGATTATGATGTGACTAGAACTTAGGTGAAACAAAAGTCGTTTTTCAGCTGGTTGGGAGATGTGAGTTGTGATAAGTCCGTGAATAAGGATAGGTTGAGCGGCGACAGTGTTTATTGCCTATCAAGTCCCGGTCTCTTAAAAGTCCGGCTTCTACTGGAATACACTGTTGAAAGGCATATGAAACGTTTATTGTATCTTTGTGAACTAGTATGGAACCATTGGAGGAAGTAGAAACCTAGCCAAAAGTGCAGATATTGTCCTTTCTCGTTAGCTTGTAATTGGTACTGTTAACAGTCACACACTTCTTCGATATCCTAAATGGGAACTAACACTACTGGAGGAATTGAGTTATTTTGAGAGTTGCAGATGAGTTACTTGAGACATGTCATATTGCAAGCTTGGGCTTAGTCTTGCAAAAGGGAGTAAGATTTGTGAAAGATGTTAAAGATTACAATCGTCTTACTAACATGAGAATACATCCGCCATATACTTAAGTATTAAAGTGGAAAAGCACCCAGGTCATCACTAAAACGGCAATAATCAAAATTCAACATGCAAGTTTGAGGGTGCTGATTGTTCGACTCAGACGCTGACTACGCTTGCTAAAACCCCCATAAATATGTACATGAGAAGTATTTGACTTTGGTCGTTTAAGAAACCGTCAAAGTTGTCTGTGTCCGGAAATCTCTGCTGCTAGCTCCAACATACAGCTTATACTCTCCACTCTCAACCTTCCACTCCTGTCCGGCGACATCCCAGACACTCAGGTCTCTCCGCCTCAGGGGGAAGGCCACATCAACGCTTTCTCCAGGCTGAACCGTAATCTTTTGGAAACCACGCAGTTGCCTGACGGGCTCTCCAGCCACGTCAGGGAACGAGATATACAATTGGGCGACCTCAGCCCCGACCACGGAACCCGTGTTAGAAATAGTGGTTGATACGATGGCTACAGTGTCCCACAGATCCTCTCGCCCGCCAATGGACCTCTCTCCTACAGCGAATCCACTTGTGAGCTTGTCAGTGGCGTCAACCTTGACGGTGGATGAGTAATTGAAGGTCGTGTAAGATAGACCGTATCCGTACTCGTACCGGGGCGTGATGTTGTAGTAGTCGAAGTACTTGTAGTCAATGTAGTTGCCGTCTGAGAAGTCCAGATCCAGCTCTGTAGAGCTGATGATAGTATCCGGGTTGTAGTCGCTCTCGTTCTTGGCAATTGTGTGCACAAGTCTGCCCGAAGGGTTCACGGCGCCAAAAAGGACGTCGTCGATTGCGTTTCCAGACTCCTGTCCCAGCGCACCTGCGTAAAGGACACCCGTAACGTTCTCATGCTCAATCCAGTTGTCTACCAGGCGGGGACCGATGGTGTTGATCACAACGATGGTATTGTTGCACACGCCAGCCACAGTTTGGACGAGAGTATCCTGGTCCGCGTTGTACAGCTCTGAGCGGTCAGCGCCCTCGCCGCCCCATGCGTTGAGGAAGACAACACAAGCATCGGAGTTTTCAGCCACGCCTGTCGTAGTCTCAGTGAGCTCCGTGCCGGAGCCGACCATTCCGCTAGACGTTGTCTCGGAGGTGTCATTGAGCCACCAGCGGAGCATGAAGCCATCCTTCGCGGCCCGCTGGTTGAAGAGCTGCAGAGGTGTGGTAAGGTAGGCGAGCGAGCCCATGGCGGATCCTCCAACCACGGACATGTGACCCTGCATAGTCGAGGGCTCGCCAGCGTAGACAGCCAGAGCCGTATTGGCACCGACATATCGCGGGCCAGCGTGGTATCCAAAGATGCTTACACTGGTCTTGTTCATCAAGGGGAGCGCTCCGTTGGTGTTCTTGAGCAAGGCGATTGACTCGGCGGCGTACTGCCTTGCCAGTACACTGTGGTTGCCGCGGTTGTCCACGCGGTCAGTGGCGCCGGCGAGACTGGGGTAGCCATCGTCCTGGCCCAGATGGAAGTAGCCGATCATGTTGCGGATAACCATGTCGTCGAGTCTTTCGGTAGTAAAGCTACCGTTGGCGAGACCTGCTCCAAGCGTGGTGTTGGACCAGTACGAGCTGGTAGAGAGATCCATGCCCGCATTGGCAGCGTTGATACCTGTCTGCTGGGCACTGACATCTGCAGAAACAAGGCCTGGAAATCCAAGCTCAACCTTGAGGTACTTGGCGAGGAGGTCTTGGCTCTCGCAAGAGAAGGTGCTGTTGACCTTGTTCATGGCGCACATAGCACCACCCATGCCGTTGTATATGGTGTCGTAAAACGGCCACAAGTACGTTTCGTGAAAGGCTTTGTCGCCAATGGTCACGCTGTATGGGGCGGAACCGCCCGAAGCAGTCGTGCCGTTGGTCGTATTGCCTGTAGAGGGTGTTTGGCGGGTTGTGAGTGTGGCGTTCCCTCCTCCGCCGGGAGGACCGCCTTGTCCACCGCCCATGCCACCACCGGTAGCCATTCGGTTGGTCTCTTGTTCGTTGAGAATGAAGTGCTTGGCGTTGGCGATGACGCCGGCGGACGACATCCCCTTGACGACTGAGCCGGCCATGATGCCGGCCTGATAGCTGTCAACACCGTACGTCTCACCAGATCGACCGCCCCATGCTGAGCGACCGAGGGGCTCCAAGGTTGGTCCGTATGCCATGTTGATGCCCTTTCCCTTGAACTCTTCGCCAACGCCATAGCCTTGACCCTGGGCGGCTGCTGTATCCCAAGTCATAGCCATCGCTAGGCCAGCGGGCCACGTCGTGACGTAAAAATAGGTGAGAGGGTTCGTGGCCGAGTCGAGGTTGTGCAGACCGGACCAATTGCCTGCACTACTACCAGCCACGATGGAAATCTTTTCATCGTTAGTCAGAGTCGCCACCAGTGCTGCTGCCTTATCGTAGGCGTCCTGCCATTCTCCGAGCTTGACTATTGAAAGATCATTTAGTGACCGTCTCTTGCGCAGAGCAGAAAGGTGAGGAGACATGGACAAACGTACTCGTGCCTGAGCTCAACAGTTGCTCGGTATAGTTGGCCGACGCATCTTCGGCCAAGGTGCCAGTCACAAAAGTGAGTAGGGCTAAAGCCCAGGCGGTTGATGGTTTATGCATGGTAGGCAGAGTGTGTGCCCCAATGAGAATATCTACACCTAACCACGGAACAGTAGAACGAAACAAAAAGGATTTCTGTGTTTAGCGAATGTGGTTGAAGAAAACCAAGCCAATAAACCGTTTCGTTTCTACGGTCTACAGTAGAACTATATGCATAGATTACATTTTTCAAGGCTCTGCTCTTCTTTTATTGTTGATCACTCTCGAAGCTCGGGGCCTCCTAGCCTGCCTATACAACGTGCTGAGTCCAGGCGATTTGAGCAGAGAGGCAAAAAAGTGGTACAGAGCTTACGAGCCGTGTCCACCGCCCCGTCCGTGGCCAAATCAAAACTCTGTGGTCTGAGCAACAACAACGAATGTCGACCACGCCATTGTCTCCAATGTGCGTGGCTTCCCTCCTGAGCGGAAATTGTCCGTCTGGCTGGTATAGCGAAGACGGTTGTGGCGGGCGTAAATTCAAGGAAGCTAGGGGCTAGGGACACGAAGAATTGGGGCTGATGGTATCGTCGCATCAACCTAGGTTACATTTGGGTCCCTTGAGGACGCGGCCTCATCTATTCAGCATGTATACTAGTTGATGAGGGGATGAGAACTATGCATTCGGCGATGATGGGGTAGACGCCCCCACACTGAAAGGGGAGAGAAACCGCGATACATGATTCTCGTCAGGGGTTGCGCATGTGCTGGTGTCGCTGTGTCGATCCTGTGGCATCCCAGTCATAGAAACAAATCCGGAAACATTGAAGCGCATCGCTTGGGCTTCATTCGTTTACTTTGCACGTGTTATGGGCCATGGTCCCAACTGCCAGGTTGTTAGGATTGTGGGTGAAGATGTGAACCCGATACTGGGATTTACGGTGGGGAGCCACGTGTCGGATGCTTGCCGATGATCCAAAGAGGAAGGGGGCCTCGAGATGGCCGGTCTACGCTCAATTTGCTCCTTTTCTCCGCTGTCATAGCCGCCATCTCCCATGCTCAGGACAAGAGAATGAAAACGTTGAGTGGCGGTACGGATAAAAATATCCAAGAGTCAAAGCAGATATGCCCTTGGTATACATTTATAGTCGAGCAGTTGGTGGACCCTGTCAAGTCAGCAGCTTGGATATAATACAAGGGCCAAAAGCTTAGGCTAGCCAAATCGACAGGCCCCTCAAATGCCAGCCATTTCGTGTCGTCATACGGAGGTATTGTGGATTAGTCCTTTTATCAGAATTTTGCCCTTCAAGATAGCTAGGATAAGGTTGAATCACAATCGCCAAGGCCGGCTTAAAGGCTCATATTATAGTGGTACTTTTCAGCGGGTATCCGTGGCTGGATGAATACTCCATTGCGCTGTTCATCGCGCCAATCTTCGCCACTATTTTGCGTTTCTGAGTAATGTCGAAGGAAGAACTTGGCATTCGACCATAACTAACATGACTGCGCCTCTATAATGTACCTTAAACCCTCCCATTCCAATTACTTTTCCCAGATATTCTCGCTTCTTCGAAAGCTGCATTCAACCCGTCTCGTTGCTCGTCAGTTAATCTCGCACTATGAAGGCCCAAGTCTCGCTCCCTCAGCGTTGCCCCGTTTTCCGCTAGCATAACAGACAACTTTATCCTGTCTCCGCCCAACAGCGTTGTAACCAAGCACAAGTCCAATGGTGATAGGCTGTCTGTGTTCCGCATGTTCGGGTCTGCTCCGTACTTGAGTAAGAGCGATAACGTCTTGGTGTCTTTCGCACCGCCTTCAACTCGAAACCTGGAGTCGATGTGGTGATGAAGGGGTGTGTTTCCCGCAGCATCCAAGATATTTGGGTCGATTTTCATCACTCTCAACAGAAACTCCGTGACCTCGACGTTGTCGTACGCAGCGGCTTGGTGAAGCGCATGAAGTCTGGCAGCTTCATGCGTCAACAGCGAAGAGCCGGCCTCCATGAGAAGCTTCATCATCTCCAGTGTCTTGCCGTGGTTTCTCAACCTGCTCGTCCCCAGCAGGAAGTAGAGCGCATTCGCCCCGTTGGAACTTACGTGGTTGTATCCCATGGTCGTCTGCAACGCCACGCATGGAAAACTCGCGTTGTACTCGTCGCAGTAATCTTCCACATACCGCAGCGACCCATAGTTTCCAGCCTCTAGCCCTGGTTGCACCGCGGCTCTCTTGTTCGGAGATGCTCCTTTCTTGTGACGCAGAAGAAGCTCGAGAACATTGGACTGCCCGCATACCGCCGCCCAGTGAAGCGCGCTCATATCGAGCCTCCTCGGTTCTCTCCACCACACTTGGTACTCGCAATGCTCACAGTGTCGGAAGCACTCATTTGTCCACTGCAGCGGCATCGTGTGGTCGTCCTCATCCGCGTTTGCGCCGTTCTCCAGCGCCAGTTTCATAGCGCGGATATTGCCCCTTTTTGCTGAAATTACCAGCGCAGACGAGTGGTTCTGCTCCGCGTCGCGTCGGTATAGCACAGGCGTGACGAGCTCGTAAAGCGCGCGGCATGTTGCCGCCAGGTTCGCCACGTCTCTCCAAACCTCGAAGCGGGGGAGCATGCAAAACGGACACATCTTGTCGGTCTCGTAGGGAAGACACGAGGACTCCCAGTACTTCTCGTAACCTAGAGACACCTCCTTGGCGCACATATCGAAGAGGGCATCGACAATGCAGAGGATGATCTCGGATGGCAGGCGCCGTACAATGCCTGGCGCATTGGGCTTCGCCAATGCATGGTAATAGCTACGCCGTTTCTGAGCGTCGCCGTAAAGTGGCACATGGCTCCATACACATGGGCATCCGAATAACGCTGGAACTTTCTCGTTGCTCGTGGCGGGGAAATCTGGTACAAGATTAGGTCGGATTCGACGACTCCGGCAGTGCCGGTGAGGCTTGCACAGCCGCAAAGCCGACTGGGACTTACGTGAGTGGGCCATCATCATAGACTGAGAAAAACAAACCAAAAAAAGAGAGGCACAGTCCAAATCTAGGAGTCAAAAGAACGATCTGTTCATCTATAATACTGTACTTGCTAACTGGCAACTCTTCAACATGGGGCGTAACGAGTGTGGTGGAGAGAAGAGATCGCCTGGGGGAACAAGTGCAAGAGCAAGAACGTCACTCAGGCGATTTCAATCATCATCGCCGAGAGTCAGTGGCGGAAATTTTTTCGTCTCAGTTGCCGGCCCCTATTTCGTACATCAGGGGTACACCTGTGTGTCAATGCAGTGCTGTCGCGACTCTCGGTAAAACGTGTCATTTGGCTGTCAGAGTTCAAGGGACGTTCCTTGCTCAATGCGTGGTGCTGCAATCCTGCTTACTCATGATTTCAATCATCGCATGAACACTTCGGGCTCAGCTCGGAGATCACACTTTGTTATTACTATTAAGCATCATTCAGCCATCATGTTCGGCGAAACTCAATTGTCCCTGAGTCAATTCGATTATAGTGTGGTGTGTTGAAACTCTTGATGGGCCGGCATACAATGTCACCTAATTACTGCCAACTCCACGTTTACTAAAGATGTCTCTAACCACGAATTAACAACCTCTCTCAGTGTTTCTCGTCAATGATTCTGAGTCAGGGTTGAGTCGGTGTGACCCTACAAATACAGATATTGTCTTCACCTGTTTCAGAGACACCAAAGCGACGTCGCAAAAGTCTAGGGGTTGGGAGCACAAACTACCATTCATCCTAGTGATACAGGCAAGTTAGTACGATTATCGACATTACTGATTGTAGTTTCAGCCTAGTCACAAAACAACGCAGAGTAAACTTGTAAGCTTGCAGATGGGTACTTAATCCTCCAGTGAGGCGTACTTGACGTGGAGCTTTTGCTATTGACCATACAGGTAATCGCCTAGAGGGTAGGAGACACTCGGTTGCAGCAACAAATCAAGATTACGTCTTCAAAGAATGGCTTTTCGCGCTTGGTATCCAATGTGAGGTACGTCGGCGTGATGTAACTTAGCGTCCGAGGCCCAAGTTCTGCGAAGATGAGTCGCAAGGAACGTTGTGTTACTTACGCCGCAAAGATAGCCCGCAGATGGTGTCTATACCTATATCACAAGTAGGGAAGTAACGGTAGACCAACTGCATACGGTCATAACTGTGGAAGGTTCTGTTTAGAGTCGTACACCGTATACTGACCAATCAGTATGCTCGAGCACCAGTCCCGCAAGGACCAATTCATCTCAAAACTTAGCTCCTTGGCCTAGATGGTTGTGACAAGTGGAGAGCCGCAGGTTGAGGTCTTTCAAACACGCCCAAAAGTTCCTTTATTGTACGCGTAATCATTTTTACAATCACTAGTAGCCTCACGCCGCGCATCCTCTCCAGACCTGTCGGCGTCAGTGACCAGCATGTTACCATTGCCGGTAGTCGACAGAGCCCAGAAACGGATATAGGGGAGGCACAAAACTTTCCATGAGCCGCCCCGACTCACTTTTGTTTGACAAGAGGCGGGGCGCACGGGGCTGCTGACCGTTCGTTCCCTGCTGTCCCGTACGTGCCGGGATGGTGATCCTTCAAGCACAGATGTGCAAAACAGGAGTCGGTACAAAGATTGGCATCATGGACATAAATGTTGCCTCTTTAGGATGCCTTCGTTTCTCATCGGCACCATGCAGATGGATCTTACATGCTCGAGGATCTCAATTGTTCCATGCCCGTGGGTGGGCGTGTTAGCTGAAGCCTCAGGAGGTGACGATAGCTGCCGGCACTAGTTCGTAGGAACTCTATCCATGCTGCCCGAGTCCGTCCCTACCGCACCCCCACAGCAAAGACCGAAAGGCCGCGGAGATGAAATCCCGCGCGAGATTGGCAAACTATACGGTTCAAGGGGTACCGCTATTACCGCCCCCAAGGCCCTCACTGCAGCCTTAGGGAAGGAAGGAGTGGATGTCCTCCGCCGCGGCCACCATGTCCATTACGGCCACAGGATGTCACTTTGGTCTCCATCGAAGGATTCTTCACAAGGCATCAAACGCCTAGGGCAGTAGGGGGGAGGGGGAACATGCTAGTAGTTGGGTCCTTGTTTCTGTCCCCCTCGTGACTGGTTCGTTCGTCTTCCAACATGCTTCTCGAGCGCGGTATTACGCCAGTGCCGGCCCCTTGATCGGCCAGTCGAGCATTGGGTAGCGACAGGCTGTCACATGGATGGAGGTTCCGCTCCGGGGTGGTGTAGGAGTATCAAGCGTGCCGCTGCGCCTCGCTGGCCAACATTGGAAGTCCACGCCGTTGGAAGTCGCAGTGAGGGATTTCGACCGCATGCCTCAAACCAAAGAGAAGGAGTGCTAAGGTTGTGCGGCCATTCTACATCGGAGGATTCTCCGGTAAGTCACAGGGCGAGGCGCCTCCGTGATCATCAGTACTTACGAAAACGGGCATTGGATGTCGCTGAGACCTAACCTCCATTATGTTATTTTTAAGCCCCCCCCCCCCCCAAACGAGCAGGATAGACAACTTAGCAAGGCCCAAAACTGTCTGGCTTTATGTTCGATGCTCTCTAGCTGTGGCAGACGACACAGCTGCAACCTTGGATGGACCTGCCACATCCGGGGTGGTGATGAGTAGCGGCAAAGGCCCCTTGTTGATGCATGTGCAGCGTTTGTTAACCCTGATATGCAGAGAGTCTGAGCAGTTGAGAAGCTGCTCCTTCTGATCCTTGACGCCTCATTTTCCGTAGAGGTGATGAATTGTGACCGTTCCACAGGATATCGTCCAAACTCAGCACCAGAGTTTCACAAGGTTCGGGCACCATTCAAATAGATCGGCTCGCTCGCTATGCAGACGCCTTAGCCCACAGGAGGGCGAGGGGGCTGAACAAGACTCTTGCACCAGTTTGCACAACTGGGCCGACAGAACCCTTGAAGCAAGCTACGGCCTGGTCTACTGTCCAGGGCTGTGGAGTTCACCGGGTGAAGTCTACAATGAAAGTAAAACCTCCCGTTCGCTGGATATAGTTGCGGAGTGGTTGTTGCTGTAGATTTGCACGTTACACTCGTCAATGCGTATATATCTATCGACGTGCTTCTTACATGTACTGCCCCCCCCCCCCACTCCTTCAGGACTCATGCAACCCGTGTATGTCATCAGTGAAAGGCGACCTATCCTGCCACAATTCCAACCTCTCTATGCACCCACCGCCTCTTTCATTGCCCCGTACCACGAAACCAGCCCAATCACAGTCTCCCGGCCCCGGGAGGCATCCGGATGCCCAAGGACGCCATTCCGGCCGCGGATGCAGCAGCCCCTGGCGCCCTCACGGCCACCTCATCGACCCGCCCCTTCTGCAGACTGAACCCCGGCGTAACCCACCCACCACAACTACACCGGAACCCCCGCCAGCTATACCGCCCAACGGCCGCGCCGCACTTGCCATTCGGACAGCACAGCCGCCCCTCCAGCGCACCCTTCTCCAGCTCGTCCCTCATCCAGCTCAACGGCTCCACGAAGACATGCCCGCAGGCCTGGCCCCTCGCCTTGCCCTGCGCATCCTGTTCGTGCTCCAACACGAACCGCGGCGTCGCCAGCGTCTTGCGGCACATCTTACACCGCATCTCCTTCCCCTTGGCCTCCGCCGCCTCCTCCTTGCTCGTCTCCTCGTCCTCGAAGCGTAGCCGGCTCGGCGCCTGCCCCGCCGCGAGGCTCTCGTCGATTTCGCGGCGGAAGTCCCAGCGCTGGTAGACCGGGTGTGACTCCACGTCGTCCGGGCAGCCCATGGTCCACCACATCTCGAGCTGCTGGATGAAGCCCGGGTTCGGCTCGGCGATCTCGCGCGTGTTGCGGACCCATTTCACAGCCGCGGCGACGGCGGCCGAGGCGCGCTCTGCTGCCGCGGCGGCGTCCTCGGGCTTCGAGGCCTTTTGCGCTGCGGCGGTGGAGGTGGAGGAGCGACCGAAGCGCGAGGGGTACTTCCAGAGGAGGTAGGCGACAACGGCCGTGACGGAGCGGGACTTGCCCATGGCGCAGTGGACGTACACGGCACCGGGGGAGCTGGGGTCAGGCTTCTCGCCGTCGGAATGGAGGTTCAGGTTTTTGAATAGGGGTGCTGGGGTGATGGCGTCCGGGTCCGTCGGTGCAGCCGCCATGGCCTCGGATTCGGACTCCGACGAGGCCTCCTCGTCCTGCTCCACAGCCGCCCTTAACCGCTTTGCCTTCTCCTCAAAGCTCTCCTTCTTCGCCTCCTCCCCCGGGCCGCCGGCGTCCTTTTCATCGTCAACATAGTTCTGCGGGTACAGCGCCTTGTCGATGAAGCGCACGGCCTTGGGCAGGTGGACGAGGATGTCGGCGTCGTCGACGTCGTCGACGTCAATGACCATGTGCTTGAAGCTCTTGCCGTAGTTCTCCCACGTGTCGGTCTCGCTCTTGAGGCCGGCCGGGTCGAAGCGCACAACCGAGAGGATGTGCGTAATGTTGCGCTCCTTGAGAGCCGACGGACGGCGCAGGGCCCAGATGCTGAATGAGAGAGGGTCAGCCACATGACGTGGTGAGAAGTAAACGCGCAAACTCACCCGCCTACGAACAACTCGTCGTCCCCGTCCACGCGATTCATCGCCATCTCGACACAGCTCCTCCGTAACAGCCGGTGCAGCTCCTCCGATTGCTCGGCTCCGTCAGGCTCGCCCTCGTAAATCTCTAGCACGTTGTTCCCCGTCTGTTCCGTCTTTTCCTGCTCTGCAGTCGGCAAGAATTTCGACTCAATGTCTTTCAATCGCTTTGTTACGTCCCCTGGCGGCAGCTGGCCAGAAACCATGCGAACAACGATGGGGGGGGGGACGAATGCAAAAGAGTGTCTTCACACGAGCTCGCACAAGCCACAAGTATGCTCAGGGGTTGTCGGATTCTTTTTGCTGGGTCCAGATGAGTGATTTCAATGATGTGAGTGAAGTGAAATGTGCTAGCGGCGGGTTGCAGTTCCTCTCCGTCTCGTGCGCTCTTCCTCTTTCTCTCTCTTAGCTCCCCCGTTATCAAACACACCAGATCCGAGGGCGGTGGCTTAGTAGTGAAGGAGGATGACGCAGTTGAGCAGGTCGCTCGGCCGAGGAAAAGGTGCATTGGGTTCGTCCTCCAAAAGTTGTTGGCCGAAAAGAGTCGCTAGCCCCGCCTTTGAAGAGCTCGCTACCATAAGGTACGCTGTACTTCTCCGTACGTACCCTCCCTAAGCCTGGGGGATTTCAAGCCCTGGAGGGGCTGGACTTCTGCTTTTTTGTCCCGCTGACGGGGAGGCGTAAAAAGTTCAGAAATAAAATAAAAATAAACCCCAGTGGCTAGCTCCCCCTCATTGCCCCTCATTGCCCGAAATTCCCATCCTTCTCATCTCTGTCACCCTTCCCCTTCGCCACACTGCTCAACGACGCGTGTGGCTCGTAGGGCTGAAATCATGTGACATTAGGCTGCCTCTCCAGCCTGCTCAACTGCTTCGCTGGCAAGCCTCGTCATATTGCCCATGTGAATCCTGTTGCGTGTTCCTCGTTTTGTTCCCTCCCCTTGTGCTTGTGCAGGTGTTGGTCGTCCCTGGCCAAGTTTAGTGAACTGGAGCATGCTTTCACAGTTGGATGTCATGTCTGGACGGACCCGATCATGTGCATTTGTTTTGTTTTGATTTGTGACCTGCTAAGCTCAAGTCTTTTTGTCTTTTCTTTGCTCACTTGTCCAACCTGTGTTCCAAACCCTTTACAAAGTACAATGCCAGCCAGCCAGCCGGCTCGCCACGGATCGTGCTGTTTCTCCTCTAATGCTATCATGTCATCGTATCGCTTCCTCCCCCCTCTGGCCCAACAATACCTGGTATACCCTCCAAAAGAAATGCGCGCGCAACTGACAACATGCATGACTGTGTATCCGGTGCCTGAAAGCTCCAATTTGCAACCACCCGTACTCCAAGAGCCCCGAAACATGGGCGCTTTCAAATGGCCAGCCTATCAATCCTTAAATGCTGTCCATATTACTCGAGGGAGCTGCTTTTGTATTTTGATTTTTGCCCATGATGCTTGCTGGTGGTGAGGAATCCCCCAAACAGAGCGATGGGCGGGTATTTCCTTTCCCCTCCTTATCTCAGAAGAATCGAAACAAAGTTCAGACAGGTGTCGCAGAGGCGGCCACCTGTCCCCCCAATCCTCTGTATCGAATCGTCCCCTCAAAGGGCCCATCAGGTACTTGTATCGACACCGGCCCTCATCTTCCAACCTTTCGCATAGGCCTGGCCACATCACTTCCTGCAACTTGCTGACATTGGTTTTGATTGCAGGAATGAGCCCAAGGAAGTCTAACTTTCTGGAATTGACTCGTTTTGTCTTCGTCCATTCACCTTGGGGTCGGGTCCTCGTCCAACATGCAGGCATTTTCCAGCATGTTCGTCCATTTGCCACTTGTCCCGGCGTGGCTGTGCTTGAGATGCTGCCGGAAATGGTCCGCACGGAAGAACTTTTTGCTGCTGTTGCACTCCCGGAACTTGTGCACCTCCTGAAGATGGCGGATGCGCTCCTCCCAATCCTGATCGGTGGCGTGACGAGGGGCCGAGGCACCAGGGCCGCGGCCGTTTCGAGTGAACTCCTCGCCGCAATAGCCACAAGTGTCTGCCTCGCCAGGCCGGTTGGTGCTGTCGTGAAAGGCTCGGTCATAATGGCTAAGCGCCGAGCAGCTCCAGCTATGTCTGCGGACGTGGAGACTGTTCTGGTGGCGCTCCGCCTCGTTCTTGTTCTTGAATCGATTTCCGCAGAAAGAACATTCGTATTGCTTTTCTTGTTCGTGAGCTCTGTTTTGTGTTAGTCAACTGACGGGTATGATGAGTATGATTCAGGCTTAACTTACCCTAACTCCTCTGCGGTTTCGAACTTTTTGGGCTTCTTGGGGCAGCACTCGCACATGAAGAAACCAGAGATCTTGGTGCCGCCTGGCTTGCTCACCTCAGTGAGCTTGCGGGGAGAAGCAAGAGGCCGGCTTTCGCTTATTGTCCGCTGGTGAGGTGCGCGTGAGAGAGAGCCACGCGGCGAAGGATTCAGCGACATTGTTGCGCTGTACGGAGAGCTACAGCTGGGGTCCGTACCGCCGGGCGAGATGCCTCCCGGCGACAAGCCGCCAGGGGAGACTCGGCCGTAAGAAGAGCTCATGCTGGCGATGCTGCCAGTGAGCAGGGACAGGTTGGAACTGTAGGATCCTGCACGCCCTCCAGACGAGATGGAGGAAACAGAGCCCTGGGGAATCACGCTCAGGCGAGGTGTCGGCGAACCTCTCTGGTTACCATCACGGCGGCGCAACAAGTCACCCTGAGTCGTGAAGCCGAGGGGGACACTATCGTCCGGATCGGCCGAGGCGCGTCGTTTTGTCCCAACGCCGTCATAATGAGCTCGCATAGGATCCTCGATGCGTAACCTCTTCATCGAATTTGTCTCCTCGATTTCCATGTCCTCCACCTCATACCCGTGCGAAGATGTATCGTCGCTATTATTCCTCCTCGATCGCATGGGCGGTGACCGCTCAAGGTCAGAGACTGAACGCGGTGACCGATAATCATGGCCGAGATGAAGACTCCCCGGAGACGGGGATAAGGCAGAGTGTGGCGTCTGGGTGTACCGGTCCGGCGAGTCTAGAAGATTTGACGTTTTCAGGTGAAAGGGCAGATTCGTGGGTACGGAGAGCGAAGGTACACGTTGGTCGCCGGACAGTCTCCTTGAGAAGGGGTCGGTAGCAGATGCGCTCGAGGCACTAAGAAGGGATACAGAAGGCTTGTTGTCGAATGTCTTCGCTGGGTCCAACTTCTTCTTCATATCGGTGAAGGCATCGGCGCTGGACTGAAATTGGAACTTGTTGTGGTGTAAACCAAACCCAGCAGAGATACTCGGCAAAGAGCATTCGGACCTAGAAGGAAACGCAGTCAGATTCGTAGAACCTCACAATGGACCATTCTCGTTATCACAGGGAGGCCCCCACAGGACACCTACCTTGTCGAGGCCGAAGCCGAGCCCATGCTTGCATATCCTTCGTCTCTCTCATGCCTGTAACCAGCTCTCTTGTAGTTGGGCCTGTCGTCCAAGCTTCCAATGCTATCATGATAACTGTGTTCCCTCGGACTGTAGGATGAAGGGTCGCGATGGTACTGTCTAGGCTCATGAGGATGCATGTGGGCTTGTTCCAAAGGGAATCGAGGAGGAGGTAAAGGCGGAGGAGCCGCGTTGTTGATTCTATCCGATCCGGGAATGGAGACGGCAACGGACGAGGAGTACATGCTAAAAGGATCCGTCCGGGCCGAGGTCCTGGGGTTCGAAGAATCTATAAGGATACTCGGAAGACCGGCGGGCTCCCTGTATCGTGAGGGTGCCTCCATTTTGTCGGCGGATACCTGTGCAAAGCCAGCTGATGTTTAGGACAGTTACAGCTGAACCGGAGCGCCACCAAAGGTTTATAGCGACGGGAGCACGGGCGTCATGAGTGATGGGTCGGCGTTCTTGTTCTCTTTCGGATCGCGATGAGATACGAAGTGGTGCGTCCGAGGCCAAGGCGGTCTTATTGGAGGCCGCGGGTGGCGATGAAAGTCGGGTTCGCCGTTGGGTGGTGACGGGGGCCAATGCAGGTCAGGAATGCCTGTCTCTGGTTTTTTTTTTGTCTTTCCTTCGCTCTCACTCCTCACACGTAGAAGCCGAAGCGAAGAGAGGGAGTAGAAATGCAAAGACAAGGCTAGACGTAAGAGATACAGGCGGTGCGAATCGCAATGTGCGGAGATGCAATAATGCTCGACGGGGCGGGCTAGTTGTACAGCCGAATGGGAGTGTCCGGCGGTCTAATCGCGGGGACAAGCAGAAACAATGCAGGTCCGGACGGCGTCGGGGAATGCTCAGAGAGCAAGGTTCGTCGTCGGAAGAAGGGTGGTCGAAGCCGGTCGTATTGCAGTCTTGTCAGTCGTAGGGGAGGGAAGACGACAGCTGAAATAAGAGGCGATGTGTGACGTTCGCTGAACAACCCCAGGTGATCAGGACTTAACGGCGGAAGGAGGCGACAAGGTACCTTTATGAAGATGGGAGAGCGGGTGGAGGAGAGAGACGATGGGCAACAACCTGAAGAGGAGAACAGAAGAGGAAGGGGGGGGGGCGTGTGGGAAGCTGTCGGCAGCGGCAAGCGAAGCAAAAGGCCAGCCCAGCGGCAGCGGTAGAGGGGCGGTAGCGGTGCGGTAGGGTTCCTTAGAAAGCGGGTCAGGATGAGAAAAGGTACTAGAGTACATTCTGGTTTTTACCCACAGCTTCAACTCGGTGCAACGCAGGTGGATTGGTTTCCTCTGAAGTGTCTCCCCCAAGTACAAGCCCAAGCTTGCCCAGGACAAGAGTAAAAGGATAGGCCAGACAGGGCAGTTGGCAGGGCAGGGCAGAAAGAAGATGGATGGAGACGAAGCGGAACGGGGGGTCAGACAGGGACGGGGGAAGACAGCCCAGTGACAGGGATGGGGGATGGAGAACGGGTACGGAGACGGGGAGCACAGAAGGGGTGGGGAGGGGGTGAATCTTGGAGAAGGGGAGAAGGACAGAGACAAAGGTAGAGGGGAGCGGGACGTCTGGTCGGCGAGCAGCCCTAAGAGGAATAGGATGCGGAAGAACTGACTAGCAGCACACCAGGGAGCACGACGACGGCTGGCGTGTGTGGCTGTTCCTTATGGCCTTCTCCTCTCTCCTCTTGTTTTGATTCGTGTGATGCAAGCACACAAGCAGCAGCAGCAATGCAGCCCTGTCTGTCTATTTTCCTGCTATTTTCCTTTGGTCGGGGGTGGGGTGTGAAGGTGCATGTACCTAATATGTGTGGTATCCGAGTTGCTTGGGTTCGAGGGGATGTTCGAGGGGGGGGGGGGGGGGGGGGGGGGGGGGGGGGGGGGTAACGAGGTGCAAGTGGGAAGGAGTTGCTGACAGCAGGGTACGGTAATGCAACGAAGAGCACCACCCAAGCAATAGTAATCAAGGTGCAAGGGAGTTTGTCAAGGCGCGAGTGAAAGAGGGACGGTGATTGCTCTGCTCGGAACCGTAATGCAAGTGTATGGACTGTCGCTATGATCGAGAATCTGCAAGGCGTACCCGTATGTAAAGGGAGTACCCGAGTCGACCGACGAGCGGATCCGGGCTCGTGAGGCGCCTTCCCGGACGATAGTCGGAGTGGTGCGGACAATAGGACGGCGGTGACGGACGTGGCAGGCGGCGTCGGCGTCGTTCCTTTTGCTAGGTGTTTGACAGATGAGGACCGTTCCAGGTGAGACTCGGAAGCCTTGACAAAGAAGCCTTCGTGCTGGGATTGGGAGACACAGCTGGAACACAACGCCGAGAGACGGACAAGCGAAGTCAAGGACGGGATTGACTGTGTCGTGTCTGCGGTCCGTGAGTCGGTCAGATGTCCACGGGGTCGACAATATGGTGTGTTTTGCTGATCGAGCTTCTGAGGAGGATTCCGACATGGGGATAGTGCAAGAGACGTGGGAACGCAGTGAATTTGAATGCTGGTCGACGTGCAAAGACGGCTTGACCCAAAACTGGCCCAGGTGCCCCAAAGTTGCTACCTGATGCAGAGAAGGGGCAGGCAGACATGCTGCTGCCTTTCGGTTCCTTCCCTGTTGACGAAGCTACATGCGGGTCGGCGTGAGAAACACGCGCAAGGCAGGCAGGCACGATGTGATGCGATACGATAAGGCAGGTAAGACAGGTACGACATGTTGCCCGGAAGAGGGGCTTGACCTTGGTGAAGGAGGGAAAAAAGAACCGGGACAGAAAGAAAAAAAAAGGACTTTGGACGCTCATCAGTCCATGCATCATCCATCGTCGGGTTGGGAAGAGTGCGCCAAGCGCTCATCAATCCTCCTGTCGAACCGTAGGCATGGTGGCATCGTCCAGGAAGCACGCCGGCCACCACCAGCCTTACAGAGCAGCCTGCTGCCAAGTATCCCCCAGTACTAGCGTGTATGGAACGGTACTCGGGCCAACTCCGTTGAGCTAAGGCCCATCCATCCGTCCTCACTCACCTCACCTTACCTAACCTCACCACGCCTCGCCTCGCCATTATGTAGGTAGGGCACGGACATGTCACTGTCCGTCATCCGCCGCCGTCAGATGAGGCACTTCCTTCGCGGCTCGCCGGACTTGCTTTCCTTGCACCAAAGGCTCACCACAAACGTTTGGTTTGCAACCTCAATTGGGTTCCTTGTCTCTCTGGATCGGTGATGTCACACTCGACCGTCATAGGCAGCATGCTCCTCCGTTTGTTGCGATTGTTGCGAGCTGCTATACTATGTACGTACGTGTCGGAGGGGCAGAGGACAGGACGCCAAGGGTGCCCTATCAGGCTTAGTGCGTGCGACCCACGGAGATGGGGTGGATGAGGGGAGCGAAGGCTGGAGCAGGGGCTGACAGGGCGAAGACCAAGACTGAGAGAACCGTAGCCATGGACACCAAGAGCTAGGCAGTTCAGAACGAGTCAACCAGTCCAACCGGAACCATTCATTGGTCGAAAAGGCGGGGTCCCTCCTACCGTTTCTCTTATTCAATCCCATTGCTTGCTCGTTTACGGCTTCCATGGGTCGGTCACTCACCTCACTACCTACTGAGTATGTAGTATAATTACCCACGAGAATCAGGTAAAAAGGGAGGTCATAGTGGCGTGCAAAATCTCCAAGTTGAGTTGAAGTTCCCTGTGCAGTGCCAGAGCCGAAGTTGATAACACCACACAACTTGTGTCTCGGCTACGCAGCTGCTGGGCATGGTCTAGCTCACACATGACTACCTACCTCCTCTTGTTGCTCGCCGCCAAGCAATGTAGGAACATGAGGAATACGGCAGGTGGCCCTCGCCCTGGGCCGACTACGTGAGATAGAGTATGTACAGGCGCTACATACCTTACTATAGTACATACATGGAATCTCAAGGTGAGAATACTCATCTCACTCGCAGAGACGAGAGCAAGAGATGAGAGAAAGAGGGCGTGGACGGGAGCAACGATCGAGAAGGGGTGTGGAAGGCAAGTGCGGCCCACATCTTGTCTGTCGCCCAGAACTTCGAGCAAGGGGCGTGTGCAACGCGGGTAATCAGTCAGTAAACGCACCCCTCTCTCCATCTGACAGAGGGGTGGAGAAAGCGTTGAGGTGGGGTACAATCTAGCCCTGCTAGCCTTGCTGGCCCTGCACCTCCCCCCTTCCTTCTTCTCCTTCTCACTCCCACTCACGGGGAGGTAAGAACGATGGTGGGATTGACATCTGGCGGGTACGTACCGTTCCTGTCTACCTGGATCTCACCCTCTCCAAAAGAATTGGAAAAAAAATCACCTCAGAGCTCAGGCTGATCAAGGAAGGCCAATGGGACAGAACACTGCAACTGCAGAGACCAGGCGACACACGCACCCAGACACACGATGACATTTGGACAGAATTAGCAGGACTAACAGTCTATCGTGGTGCTGCAGCGCGCTCGGCGATGCAAGTACGTACCCGAGCCGAACCTTCCACTGAGCCTTCCACGACGTCCAAAGGCGTGCGAGGGTCGCATTTGCTGTGGCAGTGGCTGCAGTTTGCCCAAGTTCGGTGCCGTTCCAATCATTCCGACCAATACTCCACAATCCCATCCACAGCCCTCCAGTGAGTCCCTCTTTTTTCCCTCCCTCTCCCTCCCTCTCTTTCTCTCTCGCTCGCTCTCTCTGTCTCCTCAGTCAGGCCTAGTCGGGCCCAGTCCCGTCTAGTCTTCGGGCTGTGGCCGTGTGTTTCTCTCGCAACCTCTCCACCTAGCCCTGTTGCTCGCCCGGTTGGGTAGTACGCCACCGCGATACGATATCCGCAAGACAAACACCATTCGAGTCATCGCCATGATTGTCAGCAAACGTCCACCATCACTCATCACCCATGCCGTGGTCTACTGTATCGGCTGCCGTCGATGCCGGCCCTACATAGTCTTGACAGCATCCACTGATAACTTGCTCGACTCGAGCCGCCTCCACGTGGGGCATGGACCTACAGTAGAACCATGCAATGACAGTCCCTCTCCCTTTCGTATTTCTGCCTGGGGCACCATCACTTCCGTCAGACGTCGAAGTACATGGTGCACACGACTCTACATAGTATACTCCGTACACCTCAGTCACCGTACCACGGTTGGATATCGCTACTACACATGACACATGACCTCTCGTCTCCACCAGGTCGCATCTCGCAGTTGCTGCTACACTACATGGTACACGACTACGAGTGGGGGTCCTTGCTCGGTTTAAACAAACCTATGTCGATTGCCAACATACTGCCAGATTTCGTCGCCAGTCGTTGACAACCCCTACCTGCCCATTTGGCTGGGTTGGAAGCATTCGTTCGAGGCCGTT